ATTCCAGGTTCCGGTGATCGCTGAAAACTTCAATGGGGAATTGTGCTCCTTCCAGATGATGTCGCCATTCCTCAAAACATCGCACAATTGCTAGGAGTTCTTTATCATAAATTTCATAGTTACATTCCGCAGGGGAATGTTTCTTGGAGAAGAAAGCGACCGGGTGTAAAACTCCTTCATCATCACGTTGCGATAGGATTCCTGCGGAAACATAGTCGGATGCATCGGTTTCCACCACAATCTTTCGGTCCGGATTGAAATGAACTAATATAGGTGCCGTTGTGAACATCTTTTTTAGGGTCTGAAATGCTTCCTCCCTTTCATCTGTCCATTCGAATTTAACATTTTTCTTCGTTAGAGCTGTAAGCGGGGCAACAATTTTTGAATATCCTAAAATAAACCGTCGATAAAAATTTGCAAATCCCAAAAATACTTGAACATCATGGAGATTCGTTGGTGTAGACCATTCTAAAACATCAATAACTTTCTTCGGATCCATTCTATTGCCATTCGGGGTAAGGATTAAGCCAAGGTATTTCGTTTCTTGAACCATAAATTCGCATTTCTCGGGTTTGAGATGAACGTGATTTTCATCAAGTACCTTTAAAATCTTTTGAATATGATCCTTGTGCTCTGCGAGGGATTCAGAATAGATGAGAATATCATCTAAATAGGCTGTCACAAATTGATCGAGATAGGGGCGTAGAATATTATTGATCCAATGTTGGAATGTAGCCGAGCATTCGCTAATCCAAAGGGCATTACCGTATATTCAAAATGCCCATATCGAGTCCGGAATGCCGTTTTCCATTCATCGCCCTCCGCTATTCTAATCTGATTATATCCCCAGCGTAAATCCAACTTGGTATAATATTTTGCTCTCGACAATTTGGCCAGGGTTTCCTTCAATAATGGCAATGGATAACGGTTTTTAATCGTAATCGCATTAAGGCCCCGATAGTCGACACATAAACGAAGGGTTCCATCGGCTTTCTTGACAAATAGTATGGGTGCTCCCGCTGGCGATTCGCTATGGCGGATGATTCCCTTAGGTAAATTTTCCTGAATGTAGTCCCAGAGTGCCTTTAACTCAGTTTGAGATAGAGCATATATTGGTCCCCATGGTGGTTTTTTGCCTTCTTCCAATATTATCTTCATATCATGGAACGGTCGATGTGGTGGAAGGATTGAAGCATCGTATTCTTCAAACATGTGGATATAGCGATGGAACTCTTTTGGTATCAGTTGTTCAATATCGATGGTAGGTTTTTCGGTCGCCGAAACGGTGATGGTATGAGTTTCCGGTAGAGGAATCGATATGCCATGAACCGTAATGACAGTTCCACTAAGCGAACAATGTTGACAGCAACTTCGAGAGTCAAAAATAAGCAAATTTTCCTTAGGTCGAATCGTAACATCATGGCGTCGCATCCAAGGTATCCCCATCACAATTGGATAATGTCCCAACTTTGTCACAAAACATGACCCAGTCTCTCGATGGCCATGAATATCTAGCGAAACATCGACAATGTGGGTAATTTTTCCTGACTTGATAGGTCTGCCGTCTATAACGTCTACGTAGCGGGGTATCTTAAGTGGTGTCATGGTGAGATTATTGTGGCGTGCAAAAGATTCATCGATGAAAGCATATCCTGATGCTCCGGTATCAATAAGGGCGTAGGTGGGTACGAAAGTATTTTTATTCTGTGAGATCGAACAAGTTACTACAAATTGGTTCCCATCCATTTCCTCCTCTGATACCGAAAAACCAGAAATATGCATTTCAGAAAAATTCTTAAATGGTCCCTGGGCTAAGCCACTTAGTGCAGGGACAAATCTTTTGCCGACTCGTTATCACTTCCATCATTTTCCTCTACCCTCAATGCTGCTCCTCTCATCACCGGTCTTCTCGGTTGATTTCCAGTTGCCCTTGCTTGGGGGCAATCTCTAACCATGTGTCCAACTCCTCCGCAATAGAAGCATCGGCCCTCAGCTAAGCGGGCATTTCTCTCAGTAGGGGTGGGGCGACGACGTCCACCAGACAAATCCATCGGTACATCACCTCCCGGGCGGAACGAGGGATGATTCTCAGGAGTAGGTACATTGACAGCTGGGGCGGTAGCACGGGGAGCAGGAGCAGGGTTCGCTGGTGGGGGCCGAGAGGTCGGAGCAGCAGTAGCGTTCCAAGGCTTTTTACTTCCTCGCTTAGCTTCTGCCGCTCGTCGTCGATTATCTAACCGTTGCAAGAGTGTCGCACAGGCATCTACTATCGCAGGAGTCTCAAGGTGTATCATCGATTCGTCGAGTTCCGCATTGATACCTTCCATCAAAGCCTCAATCCGAGAAACTTCATCCATCCCTGACTCAGCAGCATATCGTTGAAATTCGGCGAAATAATCAGCAAAGGTTCGATTTCGTTGGCGGATGTTCCTAAGATTCCTCCTAGCCGTACGCATTCGATCAGGGTCCCCGAATGCAGTATCTAGAATTTCATAGAACCGCAACATGGAAGGCAAAGCAATGCCTTCTTCTGCGACGTATTGCAAAAACTGATTAGCGGCAACACCCTCCAATCGACTAAATGCATAGGATAACTTGGACTGTAGTGTGGGAAAGCGGTCGGCATTTCCCAATAGCTTAATCCTCATCTGTTGTTTGAATAGGTGTAATCTCTCTCGATCGCGGTCTCCCCTAAACACCTCAGGATCTGGGAGCTTCTCCGACCGTTGGGTGGTAGTCACAACAGGTGGTATTGGAGGTGCAGGTGGGGCATCATCACCACCAATCGGTTCTTCATCAGGGGCAACTACCTCAATAGCAACCCGTTGAGTTCGAGCAGTAGCAAGGTCTTGTTCAAACATCTCCCTTGCATTTCCAGCCTCCCTCTCTACTTCCTGTAGATCCGTTGCATACTGAGCAAGCCCATGTTGGGCACGTTGGAGAAGTGCATAAGCTTCTATACCGACATTGTTGTCTACCTCCGGATGTTCTTGGAAAAAGATTTGGAGGGCTTCGCTTAGCTGTTGATAATCAATAGGGGCGTGTCCCGACATCGTAGGCTATTGTGTTGTATTAGTTGGCGATAGAGGACGGAACCTTAGTGTAACGGGGGACTATGAGCGTAGGGACTATAGTGCCAAGGAATACAACCGAGGCAAAGACGTAGCAATAGGTATTCTTGGCTATGGACTATGGGATGGTTCTACCTGGTATGACAAACCAGTCGAACCCTATGATGAGACGTAGAACAAACGTAGTATTCGTGGAGTAAATACAAAGATTCCGTGAAGAGAAAAGGAAAGGAAAGGAAACATGAAAAGACACGAGGCAACGCCCCCTTATATATTCAACCCCTAGTCCATTGATGACTAATACTCCGCGTAACGGAAACCGAAAGAACATAACAGAAACCCCATTACCAATCATAGTTCAACTGCGCAATACTTCCTCTTCACGATCCAATCCATCACCCTAGCCAGAATATAATATTGCCGTTACAGGCTCTGCCTGGTATGATCAACCAGTGGAGCCCTATGACGAGACGTAGAACAAAAGTAGTATTCGTAGAATAAATACAATAAGTTGCTTGAAGAGAAGAGGAAAGGAAGGAAAGCATGAAAAGGCACGAGACAACACCCCTTTATATATCCAGCCTCTAGTCCGTTGATGACTCATACCTCGCGTAACGGAAACCAAAAGAACATAACAGAAACCCCATTACAAATCCTAATTCAACTGCGCAATACCTTCCCTTCACGATCCAATCGATCATCCTAACCAACAGGTAATATTGCCGTTACATAGGAGATGTACAAATTTGGGCCACAGTTGAGCAGGGCATTGATTGATATTTTGCGATTTTCTTATATGTCCATCTGGCCTTTCGCAGGCCTTGTATGTAGCAGCGCTTCCCATAGCTAACATCGGCTGTTCTGACTGTCACCATTGTGTGCGCAACTAAAGTCCTTTGTCTATGTAAACTATCTATTTATCGCTACTTTCTCATTTAAATCTCTAACTTCTACTCTCTACCCTTGACTCACCCAAACTATTCTGGAAGCTTCGTGTTCTTTCAGTTACGGTGTAGTGAATATCAACCAATCGGAGCACCCACTTCACTGTCGCCACCAGCGCACTTCCCCCTGTTTCCGCAATAATTCTACCGGAGGCTGTACCTGTCCCGCAAATTCGTACGAGACAGCAAGAGATCCGAGATATCGAATTACAAGATAGCGAGGTGTGACTGTACATATCAATCGACATTGCAAGGATGAGCCGGCTAAGCTATCTGCACCAAACCTGCTGGGGGTCTTGGCACGAATACGAGTGCGCACTTGTGGCAGAAGAGGACTTCTGCGCCAAGAGTTACAAGTACCTAGAGCATCAATCAACTACATGTATTTTTAAATTTTTTTCTGCCATAGCCCAGGCAACTCCACTCACTCTTAATATAACCTGTGCTCAAAGTGCAAATCACCGATAGAAGAAAAATACAGTAGAAAGGACAGGGAGATGGCAGATAGAAAGGAGCCCTGCCGACCTGATTTGACTGCCAGTGGTCTTTGGGGTGCCGGTGTGCCCCGAACAAATGGTATCAAATTCCTCTAGGGATATATATATACTGTTGGAAATTGATACTTTATTAACGGAACGCTTATAGAAACACTAATTCAAGTTGACATGATAATATCATGATAGAGACAAAGGTGACATGAGAGAGAAGAGGAGGTCTAAGTACTTTATGAGGCACAGTGCATGATTGATCCAGTAGTATGAGCATCCTGCGATTACTCCTATCTCGCCCTACCACTTCCGCCTTCGCTGTCAAATCCAAACATATACATGTATCATAAAAAGGAAACTTTGATTTTGCGAGGTGTAGCTCTCATACAATTTATCTCCTCTCACCCTTACATCCCACATATATCCGAACCCCCACTATCAACATAAACCTGGCCTGGGTAAACAGCACCTAAATCCCGCTGGCCCCGGACATTCCCCTACTTTTCTTTTCGTTAATTAAAGTTTAGAAGAAAGTGTATTCGGGACATACCTGGACCCAGCCTCCACGTCGGTGGAGTACAATCAGATGTCCACATACAGCTTCCGCACTGGCCAGAAGGTCCACAGGGCGCTTTTGTGCAACAGCGTACGTTATCTGGATCATTCGGGCAATAGTTACGGGTGCTTGTCCCTCCGTCGCGAGCGCAGTTCTGGGTGGTAACGCAAACTCCTGAGCCACGCCCAGGGACATGGCAAGGGTCATTGATGGCAGCGTAAGCTAAAGTGAAAAAGAGAAAGGTGATAGCGGGTAGATACATGGCAAGTCGAGGTGAATGACGTGCGGGTGACCGTAGAAAAGGAGATATACAGTTGCCCGGACCGAACAAAAGCGAGAGGGGAGGCACGGTCTTTTATAAAGACGGCTCTCTTTCCAAACGCTCTTGCCTGACGTGGGGGAAAGAACTAAAACATAGAACGCTTAGGACGACGGTTGTTCGTATGGCAGAAAGGCGCTGATCCCTTAGCGATTGGTGTGTTGAAACCTGGCAAAACCTGAGAACGCGGTCTGGAAGGGCTTATATTTAGTCTTGGGACCTATCGGAACATATAGAAATTAAACCTCCTGCGTATTCTGGATACAATAAGGCTCTTCACCTATTGCCGACTCGTGTGATTGATATCTGACGGTACTGGCTTGAATACTAATCGCCTATTGGTAAAGACGGCTAGAGTTTTAAAGCTACGATATGTACAGTCTTTTACGAATACTGCCACTTGACGAACAGGGATTCCAAGTATGGCAAGAAACAGTGAAGCAACAGCCAATTCGTTAAGGGCAGCGTTCGTCAAGCGACGATGAACACTGTAGATTAAGGTATCCTCTAGGTCTTGTATCAGATCTCTCCCGACTACATCTTGTGCATAAAAATTAAAAATGCAAGACGTGACGATACAGGAATTATTTGTATGGAATGGCGCCGACCATACCGAGACTAATGGTTGAGTAACCGTAACTATTACCTTGGTAATATAAATACTTGTTCTTAAGCACTAGTACTTCACATTCTCTAGGTGGACTGAATCTTTCTCTGAGCTGCTGCCATCCTGCAGCGCAGTACAAGTATCACAAACCCACTCAAAACAAGGTACGAATTACTCATGGTAACTGATTCAATATGCAGTAGTCATTGACGTCTTTTTTTCTTTCTCTTTCTTTATTGCCGAATCAAAAAATAAAAATAAAAATAAATTGTGAAGCCCATAATATGACATCTTTTGCCCCGTTTCTCGTCTATCCCTTAGTCTGGCAATGCTGACCCCCCTATAATAGAGGAATTAAATTTGTATGGGAGATCTATTATTTGATAAGAGAGACAACAGGATCTGTTAGTAAAGCCACACAAAAGTTTGCTTTTTTGGGGGGGGTCAGCATTTTTTGCCAGACGAAGGGATAGTGTCTCTAATTTCAAACCTTATGGGCAGTCGCCCGGAGATACACAGCACCTGAATGTGAATGTCCCCTGGTACAATCCCGCTATACATTCTCTGTCAAGGTTCAGGAGAGAGAAAATATTGAATACATACCTAGATATACCTCCCACCCGCCGTCAGGCCAGGTCAGTGAATGCATTTGTCTAGTCACAATATCGGCAATATCTATAAGCTCCACAGCTCTATTCCCTGCGAAACACCTCATGTCAACAACCACGTTTACTAGTTCCTCCATCGCGAGCTCAGCTTGCGGTCGTAACGCAGACACCATGAGGAGCCGTGAGAAAGTAAAAGAGTATGATTGGTACTAGGTGCACCATCATCGATAAAGTGAACCAATCTTTGGGTTGATAAGATAAATGCCTTACCCGCAAACGAAACTAGGAAGGGAAATTGGAATACGAGGTGGCGTCGGTGTTTGCTGTTTCATGGGACTACAATGACATCAGGCTGGGCGACGGAACTGGCGTTGATACGATAGGAGTTGCCCAAGACAACTGCACTTAGCACTCACGTGATGGACTGGCTGAAGCAAAACAACAAGGCCCAATGAAGGAATGGATGGTGTTGCCCCTAGCTTGGTCGATTGTAAATGCCTAATATTTAGCAGCTCATATCTTGCGCATGAAAATGTGCCACAATCAGGCAGGAGATCTAGAAACTACTGTACTTGATCAATACCAATACTATTCCAACGCCGCTGTATATATGTATGGGATCATGCCTCCCTTCATTGCTGGAAACGAATTAATTAATTATCTATCATTTAATGCCACTCGATAAATCTGTTTTGCCAGGGAAATCTCTCGCCAATTAATCATTAGACCCCGCTTCATGACAACGAAAAATCTAGAAATTGAAAGGGAGTAATTTCGATTACCACATTATATTTAACGACTGGTTTTATTAAGGCCTGTTGTTATATCATTTTCACACCAAAAACTATCGCTAAGAACTAGATATTTAGGTTCAGAAGTCGTTGGCCAAATCGCTCTAATACACTCCTATGGCAACTGAGTAGCTAGGAGAGCGAAGCTGGAGCCAGTTAGATTCCTGGACAAAGCTACATTATATTACCCCCCATATTTTTTTACATTCAGTTTTTGAAGTGTGGTGGGTTGGCTGGCGGCCTATTGATCGTATGCAGCCCGGAAGCTATGACTGAGGGGTGAACCAGGAAGTAAGTTTGGTTAGAGGAAACTCAAAACTCCCCGAGACTCCCCGAGACTTGTAGCGAGACGTTAAGGGCTGGCGTTGTCTTGTGACTTACTCTCGGGACAACTGTGGAATTCGTCCAGGTAAATTTGCTTATCCCTTCTAAATACAAAAATAGACCCTTTATATAGGCGGCCAGGAGAGAAATAGGGATTGTGACCGCACCCGCTTAGCAGAGCCCTTAGTGCAGTGCGCACCCTAAGCCCTACCACAACTGGTCTCCTGCACATTACTAAGCCGAATTTGGCGGAAATGGTGTCATTTATCATTTATTTGTATTAAAAGATATTTTAGAAAAGATCTGTTCTACTTACTATGAGACTGACTATGATCCCAGTAACGATTTTAATTTTTTTTTAGTAATTTTAAATTATCGCACGCCTCCCCCACGAGAAAACATAAAGATGAGTATTACATATTAGTTCACACCTAGTGAATTTGGCTATAGTATCAATGACTTAAGGGCAACCGAAGTACGACACAAACGATCAACTCTAGAGCTTCGTAAACTAAAGAAAACATCTGTGAGGGCCTAGAATTCCTCGGTCGTTTATCCCATCAATTAGAGGTTGTAGGGTGCGGTAGCGAACTGATGAGGCCTTTTGCGTTGCCACACAGATACCTTTGATTTTGCAAGTATTCTTCGTCTTTTGGCGCGGGGTGCGGAATCTTTGGGCGGGGTTCGGTAAACAGGCCTTGATAATAATATCAAAGTCACAGGCGATCACTCGCATGTTTCACAAAGTCTCGAGACTTTTCTCTTTTTTCTTGCTTTACCTCCTCTCATTCTAGCTATATTTCTTCAGTACGTTTGGTATGTCGAGATAAAATCTCGACAACTTCAATAAACTTGTGCCATTATCATTCTCCAAATCTCCATACCCACAAACAAATATCCACAAATAACACATCCCGGTAGAGTGCAATAGAGTGGTTTAAATTCGCTCGATGGTAGTGTGGTCGACGAGACGGCTCAAGTCGAGCCCTGGCCATGGCTCGAGCCAACTCGACTCGTAGAAGGTTAGGCTCGTGCTCGTGGGAAAAATCTCAAGCTCTCAAGCTAATCTCGAGCTAAATGATGAATGTATTTGTGGAAAATAGGTCCCATTTCTGCTTGATTATAGGTATTCCTGCACATATTAAAAACTCTACTGAAAACAGGACAAAAATAAGTGATAGAATATCTACCCAAAAACTATCCCATGGGTCCGAATACCTAACAATGGAGACATACAAATAGCTCAAGTCGCGACATCGATAGGGCTCGAGCCAACTCGACTCGTGGTCAACCTGGGTTCGTAGAGCTCGAGAGAAAAGCTCAAGTGTTTGGGGAAATGACCAATGCTAAGCGATAATTCTGTAGCGTTTAAACTGATGATATTGTAAACCGGATTCCCTTTACTTGTTGGCTGATGATGCCTCTAAGTATTCGGAGAATCCTACTCTATTTATACATGTTGGAACCTATACCAAGGCCCGCTCTCCCATACTATCTAGTATTACGATAATAGAATAACATAACGCCCTGAAGATAACCCAGTCAGAAAAGCGCCCCTGCATAGTTCTGTCCTCCATTCTAATTCCGATATGTAACCTTGAACCTTGCAATTGCCAGTCATTGGGCTGTATCATACTATTGTCCTAGACCTACTTCCCTAAGTAGAACAGCCTGCACCTGTAAGCTCTACTTCTATTCTGTTTCGGGTGAGACACTCAATAGTAAGTGTGCCGTCACAATAGGCTAATACTAGTGTGGTAGCACTGCGTGCACCCACACTACCCGATACATTTCTATGCTTGTCCTTCCGTTACCCCACCGTCCTCGCATCACACCTCGTTACTCGTTTCTCTCACTGTTCTCCATCCCCTTAGAACAGTGTTCCGTGATTCCTGTAACATCAAGGCAAGAACTTGAGACAGCTCGACTCCTCGACCACACTACTCTATGGTATCCTTGCCCTGCGCTACTAACGAAGTAAGGAAACGGCATCGTAGACGTATATATTGTGCTCGTGATTCCGACTTTATTCTGTAGCTAGACTTCATTAAAGGTCGGACTCACTAGGGTATCACCGTCACCGCTGTTTATGAGCAGAAGAGAATCTTTATTAATGCTTATAAGTAATAAGCGCTTAATAAAATCCAGAGATATCGAAGTCAGAAACTTCAAGATTTGGTACAAGCTGGTTTGGCACAGGGTTAGGGTTGGACGTAAGAATCTGAAAAAAAGGAGGGGTGGCAAACTCCCCTTCCAAACGAATCTAAATTTTGAAAGAAAGAAGTCCGGCCAGATTCTCTGCTTCACCTAGCGTCTAACTGGTCTCAGCAATAGAAACAAGCGGCCCACGGTACGAATTGTAAGGTATCCTACTAATTATTGGATGACTCGGGCCCTAACCCGGTCCTCCTCGTGCGGTTCTTGGCTTAACGGGGTCCGTGTTACAGTTTATCGGGGTTTATAAAGTAAAATGGCGGAACATTGTCGTGTATTATGCTGGAGATAGAGCCTTTTTTTCTCATCTGCATGTCGAGTGATAATTCATGTACAATGGTGAAATATATTCCTTGCATCATAATCACAAAATTTTAGAGAGCATCCCCACCTGAAACAAAGTGAACTTCCGTGGGCCCTCATTAATACCAGTTCTACACAGTGAGTGCTATATTACGAGCTGTCATAAGGATCGCTTGATAAAGTTTGCTGCTTCTTTGTTATCAGGGAATAGGGACCGAATTACATCGAGTTTGTGCTTTATCGTGGCTTAAAGACATCTCACACGTGGGTGACACCTAACCTGTTTCTCATCTGGGTAGAACCCGATGGGTACGGGCTAGGTAGGGCGTTCCCTTCAACGGGTCGGACCGGGCCAGGTACTTATGGCCTGTATTCTTACTCTGGTTTACCCCGAGTTTCTATGTGTGAGAAAAGAATAGTTCATGGTTGAAGAAAGGTAGTTCATCGTAAGTAAAGTTATATATCTCCAAACCTGCACTATGATAACTTTCACATTCCCTCAGAATGATGAATAGTATGCTTCTGAGCTTTACGGCTCATTCACGAAGACAGTTCGCTCGCGAAACCCCGTGGGTGAACCAGTTCAGTCAGGAAATATTGGCTACTATGGATGACGATATTGGGTTCTTGGAGCTGATCTCCCTCCTCAACGTATTGCAAAGATTATTCCCTGACTACACAGCAAAGAAAGACCGGAGGAGCACTGCGGTACCTTGTATGAGTGCCTGGAAGTATGTATGAGGTGATAAGCGACAATGGGCATCAGGCTTAGGGTGGAGTAAATTCGGGTTTTTCCCCCCCTGTTATATATAATATAATCACGTGATCCACAATTAGACCTGACCCATATTTACTATGTGGCAAGTCTCGAAACGATAGCTCGAGACATCTTGTCTTGTGGCTATCCCCGAAATCCAGGTAGAGGCCTAGCCTACATAATCCCCGCTTACCTACACAAAGCCTACTCTCCCCTTTAGGGAGTGGTGTTCAACGGCAAAGGTTTTATATACATACCACGAAATGGGTTCTGATATCATACCACTTTCGAATTTCAACTTTACAAAGATTTCGGTTATGACTACAAGTATAGTTATAACATTCAGACCCCGACGCTACTCATGTATCCGACATTAATTAGAATGTGTGGTAAGTATGTATATACATAGTACGCGCCAGACTTCGAATCATACTTCATAAGCAGTTGACTTGAACTCGGACTAATGTCCAGTGTGGGTCATAAGTCGCGGCACAGGTCAGGGGCGGTGATGCTCCGGGCCGTTGACGGATATGACGGATTCGTGAATGGACTTGAGGTATTCGCGAATGGACTTCTAGGCTCATAAATCAGTGGCTGGACCAGTCTATTCGCGAATGACCTGGGAAGACTGTGGTTTTACTAGGACAAACAGTTCATCACTCACAACTATTAATGATTTCTATCAATCCCGAACGGTCTCTACAATTATTAGAAACCTCTCGACCCTAAAGTCCAAAGTTACAAAAAGAATTAGCATCTTCAAGATTTTTAGCGAGCTTAAGAGCTCGGTATTAATAATTGACGCCTGATATGTGATATCCTGTGGTCCCTATCAGCTTCAGCGACCCCTACAGCCACTTATTGGGGTCCTATGAGCTCCAGTAGAGCCCAGATCATTCTCGAGTTAATTTAAAGACTCAATTTCATCACCCTTTATTCAGTCCATTCACCAATAAACCAATCCCGCCCCCAATATATGGAGCAAGCAGTCCATTGGCGAATCCGGGGTATTTGCGAGTCGCCTGGAATAGTGATTTCAAGAGATAGATTGATTCAGCATTAACCACGCCTATTATTTGCTTTTTTTTGTCTCCACAGGATGAGCACATTATACATAATGAGGGATAAGTATTTACCTCAAGTACGTATTCTTGTCACCGACATGAACTTCGATTAAGACCCACGGAAGATTCTGAAACGAGCAGGTTTACTTCCTCATGACTAGTTCGTAAACAAGTGCCTATCGAGTAGAAAGTTTCGTTGTTCCTACATATGCATGTCCTTTCCTGTTCCCGCAGACACCTGGGCTGTTGAATCATCACACTCCAAGGCTCGCACATCACTTCCATTATAACACTTCGATCGATGTTTCGTGATCTCAAAAAGCAAGCATAAAGATTCCCCTCCTCCCTTTCAACTGCTACTAGCTAAGTAGCATCAGATATGAGACATTTGAGTGGGTATCCCGGCCTTGATCCTGAAGGATGCGTATAATAATTCCTTCTTCCGCTGACACATCCCTGCGCATGATTCGTTGTACCGGGTTAACCATAAATACCGAGAATCTGATAAGATAAACACACCTATTTCACGCGGGTGTACAGGGTATTGAGGGTAAATACAAAGAATCTGATAAGAGAATCTTTCTGTGAGAAAAGTGACGAAATAACGAGTGCCCAGAGGTAAGCAACAATGTTTCCTCATTTTTTTCACGCGGGTGTTCTTGTGTGTAGGAGATAACGAGCTTCGGCCTGCCAAGGGTCCAGGCCGTGGTGGGCTCCTGTCCTATCTTTCTCTTTTCCTGTTAGCTGAGCTCGCTCTCGTTCTCTTTCATATCTCTTTATTATCAACTAAACTCTTCACGAGCTATAAATATGCTCATCCTTCACCCCGAACAGGGCAGAGCCAGGCCCCACAATTGGTATACCCGGGCAGAAGAAAGCTTAGACCCGGCCCACCCAACTCGTCAGAATCTCTGAGTACCCAACCAACCTAACCTACTGAATATTACCCTGTAAGAGGTTGACAGGCAGAGTTTTTGGTTCTGAGCATAAAGTAGTAGCTGTTGGGCATAGAATAACAGTATATTTGGAGTACCTCTCCGAAAGCATTTATGTCACTACTCTCTCAGAATAATTTCTCATTAAAAGAAGCAGTTGTGATTTTTCTACCCAAGATATATCAGTTACTTGGGTAAAAGGAAATGGCCCTCTACCCAACCCACTATCCCTTAGACATATGATCACTCGGTATGAGACACTTGAAGAATCCCTCTCATGCATTAGTGTGGCCTACCTTGGAAACGATTTACTGTAATAAAGCAGCAACTTGCGAAGTTTTTGGCATCTCTGAGTATTCCAAAGACCGATAAATGCAGCAAACTGCTTATCAGGACTTTTTAACAGCCAAACTCAAGGCCACATGACCGCCAGCTCGCGCTAATGCATGAGAGAGCTTCTCCAAATGTCTCATACATCTAAGGGATAGCTGCGTATCCATCGATGCAGGATCGGGGTAACACAGGTCATTTTTCGATTATCAGGAATCTCAAAGAACGAATCAAGTTGGACTGACAATCCTATCATAAAGCGTAGCTTTTAATTTCCTTCACCAACGGGGGTGTAGAGTAGTTTCAGATTAGGTATTCTTGATATTTGTGGAATGCGCCCCGCCCGATGTAGCTACCTACGAGTCTACGGAGCCCACTATTGTAACGAACCACGACCCGTTCTGACCGGACATGGAGTCGGAGTCGGAGTCCCAGTGTTAGGACCGAGTCGAGGACCCCTCCGCCGTAAAACGTGAGGACCTGGGTCATACCCTCTTTCGGAATCGTACATGAATAATCTGAGAAACATATGTAATTTTTGCTACCACTGCTCAGGCGTTCAGTAAAAGGCCGTGAAAAGTCTCCCCGTCCCATCAAAATCGTTACGATCCGAACCATTTCAGGGCCCGGCCCTGAGCTACACCGTCGGTGCCTACTGGTCATTTTAAAATGGACTGCTATTGCATACGCTGTTGCCAGCCCCAGGGCGATCGGGTATCGGAGAATCATCTTCATGTACAGTCACTCACGGGGTGAAGGCGGATCCTGTCTGATGGCGGTCAGGGATTTGAGGCCAATAAAAGAATTAGATTTTGGACGCCAAGGGCAAATTACTGTAAACAGAACCATCAAACAGGATCCGCCGTCAGTAGGTGAGCGACTGTAGTCAAGGAGCAAGTTGACCAAGTTTGTGCTTTTTTTTATGGGGGGATGTGAAAGTCTTTATTAGCAGGTGCTACCTCTCAATTTTACTCAGCTCGCATTCTCTGTGTAGTAGGTAGTTGTGCTGGCGGATATTCCAGGTCTTCTATTGCTCTAAGGCAAGACAATATGCTTAATATATATAAAGCACGCTGGTCCCCTGTCTAGCGAGCCTCTCCACCAGGAAAACCCACAAATTCGCCCTACTTCTACTGATCCATCTCCCCCAAATCAAACATTGCACTCAACCGCTTTTTTCTGGCCCAACCATCTTGGATTATATATAATCCTCCTTGTCTCCTATTCCCGTTCAAATGGACTACACAGGCAGAATCGTGCAGGGAGAGAGCGGAGAACTTGTCTGTAGGCCCGCGGTCTGGATAGACGTCGTCAAGTTCTTTCTATTGAATTACGTGCTACACGCCTTTACAGTGGTTACCCCCCCTGGCAGTGGTGGATTAGAGTCGATGCTTGTTGCCATTTCGTCTATTGTCATGCCCTTCTCCGGGATCGTTCGGGCTATCGTTGGAATATTGAAATATTCCCAGGGTCAATCGACTCACCTCAATGCCGCACATCGGGCCGGTGCATTGTGTATGGTAGTCCCAGCCGAAAAGGTTAAACGTCTAAATCGGTAAGAATTGCCATGGAACAGAATGAGATAATACGTAGCTGACCATGTGGCTTCAGGATGCCGACTGTTTTATCGCATAAACACCACGTATTTCACGGCTACTATCGAGATCTAGTCAAACGGTCCCCGAATCAAGGCGAGGACGATGTTATTGTAATGGTACCCCCGTGGTTTAAGGTTAAGTCGCTCGAGGAACCCGAGGGAGGCCCTACCAACAGTCCACGGGACCAGGCACCTCCTCCAAACCCCAATTTCCTCCGGCGGTTGAAGGTTAAGTTGTTTGGGGGACCCGAGGAAAGCCATACCAACACTCAAAGGGACCAGGCACTTTTCGCAAACTTCAGTTTCCTCACGGCCTTGATAGCAATTCTTCAAATACTATACGGGTGTTTCGAGCTATACTCTGCCCGTGGGAAACAACTTGAAAGGTTTGGATACGCTGCCTACTCCCTCAGCGTGATTCCATATATTCTCATGTCTCTATCAAACCTTATCTCCTCTCTCTTCACCCCACAGTTCCCGACGTTCTACTTTGTCCACTACGGGGGAATCAGCGATCCAAGCGCTCCGGCCGCGGAATGCCAACCATCGAGCAGCGATAAGATTGAGGTTGGTGTAGCTGTTACCGTGAAAGAACCAGCGAATAGTACGCCAGATTCCACGAAGCGTTTAAGGGACTTGGTCGATGGGGCTGTTGGGGAGGCCTACGGAGATTTCTCATGCCCTTCGAACTCACTCTATTATTACAAATCGTTCTTTACCAACGGCAACATCTTCAGCTTCAGAAACATGGACCAGAGCTCGCTCTGGATGATGCGATTCATCGCAAGATTCTATAAGACACCTAAGGGATCGAGACGGAAGATACACATCACATTTGGAATCGCAACCGTTTTCGCGTTAATAGTAATTCCGGCTCCAGAATATATAATCTACATTCTGACAAGGTTTGACGGGAAACAAAGCACTGGACCTCAAAAAGCATGGACAATTTCTTGGCTGGTTATTGGCCAATATTTTGGACCGGCCTTCCTAATACTCGATTCAGTCTACCTAGGAATCATTCGAAGGGTGTTGGACATTGAGCCCCGGTATATGCCGCGGTTATCGTTCATAATCAGAGTCTACCTCTGTTTGATTTTCGTTGGTGTGGCAGCCGGTGCTTTTCATTCTGTTGCCAAGATGATTCTCAGTGACGTAACTTGTGTCCAGGTTTAGAGAGAGACGGTACGGGAAGATGTTTGATCGTGATTAATGCTCGTTGGTTGCGCCTTTGAGATCTGATAATTCGATCATTGCGATCGGTATGAGAAGTAAGAGAGGTTTGATTCTTGCCCTGTGCTAAAGGGGACTCACCGGCTAGTATTTTGCTGTATCTGAGATATATGTATATATACATTCTCTTTCTCACTTTCATCAATAAATTCATCCATTCATATAGTTCTTGGACATAAAACACCGTCTTCGCGCCAAACCACGTGCCAAAATTGGCAACCCTCCTAACCTTCAATTCCTTATCAATTGCCACAAAACCTTCAGGGTAGGGAAACACACCACGCGTAGGGATCGGTAAAATACGTATTTTAAATAAAAGACCGTACTATACAAGTATTGTATGTATCAATAATACCATACATACGGCACCCTTGCTGCCAAGGCCATGAGACCTGAAAAGGAGAGGTGCAGACGCCGATAAAGACCAAACCAAACGTGGTCACTATGCGTAGGCTCTACCATGGTACGAAATGCATCAGTAAATGCATCATAAATGCATCAGTGAAAGTTGTCAGTCAATTTATCAAGCCTTCTTCCTAAAATGTGTGGATAATGCATCAACCAACGCATCAACCAATGCATTCTTAATGAATCACAGTCTCGTTTTGCCAAGAGTCCGGGAATTACTTATACCAGGAAAATAGAAATGCAAACAGCGCCAGATTTCTGAATCACGGGTTGAAATTCATCAGTAAAGGCATCAGTAAAGACATCAGTAAAGGCATCAGTAAAGGCATCGGTAAAGGGATTAGTAAATGCATCATACCGAAGAACACTCCGAGTTCTGCCACGATGCAAAACAAACGAATGTGGAGGGATTGAACCTGAATCATTCCGATTATCTAGCTTAGACCTGGAGCTTACCACCTGTACCATTATATCTTTTCAATATATAGCACTTACTACTAGTACAAGCAATACGTAGTATAAGCTGACTCAATACTATCAGGTATATGTAGCCAAACTGGAGATGCAAAAATATCTAAGTCAATAATCAGTAGAGACAAGAAATACCAAAAACAGTACTACTAGTATTCGCAGTCCGACGAGTTTCCCTACTACACCTTTACCTACTATCGACGATATTACCTAGTACACTTTTCCCTACTAAGTACATACTGTTGATTATTTCACTACCACTAGCAGCATCTTTCCCTACTTTGAAGTACTGCCAACGATTTCACCTACACTTTTCCCTACTGTCGACGATTTTACCTATACCTTTTTCTACTAAGTACATAGTACTGTCGACGATCTGACCTACATCTTTCTCTACTAAGTATATACTGTCGACAACCTTACCAATATCTTTCCCTACTTTGAAGTACTGTCGACCGTTTTGCCTGCACTTTTCCCTACGACTTTCCTGTGGAACATTGTCAGTCAGTAGTAGGGAAAAGTGTAGGTAAAATTGTCGACAGTAGGTAAAGGTGCCAGTGTAGGTAAAATCGTCAGCAAATGTGTAGCCTGATGTATTTATTGAGGCCTCGACAAGCTTATACATCAACTGATACATTTGCAAGCTGCTTTCGTATGGAAAATGTATCAATTGATGCATTTCCTGCCGCGGTAGAGAGGAAGGCTAGTGAAGTTGATAAAAGAGAAACAGTACATAAACCAGTTCTGCCGAAAAGCTGGAAAAGTGGGTGATTTTTGGTGATTTACACCCCTGCATTCCCTATTTAGGATTAGTTTTCTTAGTCTGTATTTTTTCGCCATATTATTGGGAAAAATACAGTAAAATACATAAAATACAATACATTACGCTACCGTAATTTTACAAGTCCGAACCCTAACGGCGCGAGCAACGCCAACAATCCTATGGGTCACGCTACTACTTATTCTGAGATCTAAGCACCAAATACTGAAGGCTACATGCAAAGAATCGATCACATGACCCATAGTATTGTCGGCATCGCTAGTAGAATAACATATATTTCAAGGCGTAGGTTTGTTCAACAAATGTATAGGAAGATATGTACAGCAACAGTTAATAAGTGATTGTACGCCTGCATGGAGCGTGCTGAGCAATCTGAGACATTGGCGTTGCTCCCCCCCCTCGAAGACACTCGAGGATATCACGAAATGGCAACGAAACTTGAATGGCAACGAAATACATCAATTAATATATTTAATAATGGGTTGAGGCCCCCTTTCTCTTAATATATTCTATAACTCTCCTAGGCATGCTCTCTATCAACCTCCTAAAATCATCCGGGGTAAACCTATCCCATTCTTCTTGTAGAGCCTTGATAAGTTGATCCTTCTTGGTAATTGAAGGGTTTCTCTGGCCGATTCTGTATTTCATTTTTTGCCAGAGGTTTTCTATTGGATTCAAATCTGGCAATTGGGCAGGCCAAGGAATTCTTTTGTATCAAAAGGCAGTTCTTAGCTTCTTTGGCAACTACAGATCGGTGTATAGGAGCCCCGTCCTCCATGTAACGGGGGCAGCCTATCTATGTATCGCTAGAATCCAATAGAATAGATGCGGCCGTGCAAGATAGAAATCAGGTGCAGATTTATTCAAAGATACTATCGCTAGATCTCAATAATCTTTAAGGGCTCTGCTACCGATAATGGTCTACTCGAAGATGAGGATCAGGTCAGTTGGGCGGGAATGATCCTGAGTACTTATACTCCAAAGGATTCTATTCTCTGCTCCTACTTCCTTACTAAGTTCCGGTGCTGCCTCCTAGTGGAAGGGAAGCAATACCATCGCTACCCCGCTTCTCTCTAAGCGTCAGCGAGTGCTTCCGATTCCGAAGGCAACCACCCTTAGTCAAAGCCTTTGTAACACCTGCAGCCTTTGTTGCCACACAACTAGGGGCCTGCATGAATGAGCTGCCGCTCAGGTGTAAGCTTAATCATTGCTGTAGAGCTTCCGCTTATTGTAGACTTCCCAGGCATAGTCTCTTCCACTACTGGCGGACTTCCAATGCTCAGAGGATGTGGAGGATCGCTGAGCACTCAGAGCTTCACTCTGGCTAGCCTTCTAATCATTGGCGAGGCGCAGACTCGTCAGTCATTGCTCCCATGAGTAGATCCTCTTCCTAGCGCTCAGAATGTAGTTACTCTGACAGTTGGTAGCTAACCACACTGCCGGTACTTGCATGTCACTGTGCAACTGGCTTCTAACAATAACTCTCAGCATGTAACCGGGCCCTGTGTGTACTCATACACCAGACAGTTGAAATGGCTCCGTTACACTCCATGACCATTGCCTCTCCATCTTGTCTTCTGGTTTGGGTATAGAAGGGATAGAGTGCCGGAATGATGAACAGCTTGACATAATCATGTCCTTTGAGCGATCCAGAAGGTAAAATAAACATTGGCCCTTTAGTTCCCAACTTGATCGCCCCCCAAATCATAACCGAGGTCCTGTCACTCTTAAATGTAGGTAGAAGGCAGTCAGGTAAATCTTCTTACCCTTTTGCTCGAGAACCCCAGCAGGTGCCTGCATGAAATCCGACCTCAAATCTTGACTCGTCTGTACAGATAATATCACCTCAATCCTCCAATGACCAATGTCTTCGTCCTTTACACCAACTCAATCTCCTGTCCATGTGAACCTTTTTAAGAAAAGACTTTCTCCTTGCTCTTCGTCTATGGATGCCTGCCCGTGACAAATAGGATCTAGCAGTATTGATTGTGATTGATTTAGGTAGGATTTTAATAAGCTGATTGAGAGCGGTACGACGGCATCGACGTGCTGTCCAGATAAGGAAATGTCTCTCCCTATAGCTAAACTTCAATGGACGACCACTCCTAGCTGCATTCTTTGTATAGGGAGTTTTTGCACTGGCTTCTCTGTGCTGTTTATCGCGTTTGACAATTGAAAAACAGGTACTCTTTGGTATACCTGTTCTCTCGGCTATTTTATTTAATGGGTACCCCTCCTCGTGTAGAGTAATTATCATAGAGCGTTGGGCCTCGGAGGTTTGAGATCTCTTTCCCACTGGCAGTGGCTTTGAATCTGGCTTGATTACCGTCATGTCTGTTTTGCCGTTTGGTTGACCCTTTAAGTTTGGTCGACCCTTTAAGTTTTAAGTTTCTTTACGGCGTTTGCAATTGACGATAGGGGGTGGGTCGACATCGCCAAGTGTCTCAGATTTCTAAGCGAGACATATCCGATCACTTTTTGGATGTCGCTGTACGTAACTTTGAAGCGGTCTTGGTGCATTTCCTGAGAATAACCGAACAAAAATCTCTACTATGTATCACTTCTACAACGAATATTTCGGGGTTAAAGAGTGTGAAGCGATTTTACTAATAACTAAGTTGCGACTAACTGTACAAATTTTGTCTTGAGATGGCGTGTTCTGGAGCTATATGTTAGAAAGGTGCCGATTTCGACGTTCTTTGTAGTTTACTAACAAGATTTTTGGGTAAGAGTTGATGTCGGAATAGAACCACAACATTGGTGAAGATGCACACCACAGTGTCATCCCATGAGCCGTAGCTTGGGTATTGGAGTCTTTTAGCTGGGCGAGTTGGAGAGAAAATCGAGCACTTGGACAAAAAGTCCTGCACATCTTACTGGTTGAACAACTGCAAGTCTATTCCTAAAATAGATAGACTTTCTGTCCAATCTGCTCGACTTTCTGTTCGACTCGCACAGCTAAAAGACCCTGATAGTCATCCAGATATTCTGTGATTGGGCATGACATCCAAAAGATATGAGTCAAATAAGCTCTTGTGACGAAACTGTGTAATTAATGTAGGACCGTGCACGCAACCTCAATCCCATCAAACTCTACATATGTATGGACGGCATTTAATCAGACGCAGCAGTTCGTTCGCGCCGGATCCTGGGCCAAGCGTCATTGCCTCCTGATGCGTGGTCTGCAAATTCTTTAGCAGTAAGGCATGATGGGTGCTGTCCACCGGCACAACGCCAAGACATAAAACCATGGCATTCATCATCATAAGGCATCACTCGATTCTAGTTGTTCCCTCGCGCCAGCCGGCGCATACCAGATAGCCATCTTTGGGATTTTTCTATGTAGCGCTCAAAGATCTCAGTGGGTACACCGGGCGCCAAAGGGGTCCGCAACCAACCTGGCCCGGCCACGGAATGTTTGTACCCAACCCGGGCGAACGCGCCTCTTATGGGGTACAAACCGGGAGGTATGTCATTCCTTTCATATAAAATTGATGATATTTGGGAAGTGTACTATCTTTTTTTTAATGATGAGGTAACTTTTTCTCACCCCCCAAACAGCTGGGGATACCGGGTGAACATATAGGCCATACCCGGCCAGGCCCGTTGAAAAAGAGGCCGTACTCAGCCCAAACGCGCCGGGTGCTATTAGGGTAGTGGACGAATTGGGCCGCCCAGTGAGATGTCTGATAGCGCCTTCCTGTGATGTCTGAAATAGTATCGAAGTCTAGCTCTGTCTTGGCCAAGTGGAGAAGCTAAGATATATTTAGGGACACCCGACCTTTAACTGATAGAAACATCGATTACGATTTTAACTAGTGTGTTGGAAGTAATTCTACAGGTGGTCATGTCTAAAACTTGGAAGACCATAGTTAACGAAACTAGCGTAGGTACGGCTTCCCGCCAATGGTTCATGAGTGTTTCTTATCCAATCACCAGCTATAGTAATTATATAATATGCATGACAATACGTGGAGGAAGAATCTACGCCATAGTTTATACTTTATGCGACCATTCTGTACCTAGAATCAGAAATGAAATGACTACACACACACGTGGAGGAAGAATCAAAGGATAGGGAAGAAATAAGAAACATCTAGCACATAAACGCTAAATACATGTGTATCGGATATCTGATGTACTGCGCCGGTAGAGATATTGAGGAGTTGAAACACAATGTTCAAAGAGTTTCCTCAGCTGAAGACTTATAGGCAATGGCAAGCACCTCCTATGCGATGACTATCATGAAAGGGCATAGGATACGGAAACGAAATAACCCCTACATCCAGGGACATCACTATCTGCGCTCTATCTACCGCAATATATCAATTTCATCAACTTTTCTTTGGCTGTCGTCAGAACTATCCAGAAGCTCGACATCGTTCACCTCCTCCATCACCTCCTCCGCCAGTTCCTTGATTTGGTTCTCGTTTCCCTCGTTCCCGTCATTTCCCTCATTCTTCTCATTCTCATCGTTCTTCTCATTTGACTTCTGTTCCTCATTCACACCATTCACCTCATTTATTTGATTCACCTCTTCCGCGTCATTTCCCCCATTTTCTTCATTTGATTCGTTTCCCTCGTTTCCCTCATCTATTTCATTTTGCCCATTTACTTTCTTTGTTTCGTTGGCCTCATTTGCCTCGTTCGCCCTGGCCAGCAATGATAATATTCTTTCATTCTCCTCCATCAGCTCCTCATCATTCAGCCGTCTCATCTCAAGCTCATCCTGCACCGCCCTCAACAGCTGGGAGCGCTGCGTGTTCCTCGACTTCAAATTCGCAATCTCGCAACCCTTAAACTTGATATCCGTCTTCGCCGTTGCCAGCTCTGACGTAAGCTCCTTCCTCGTCCTTTCCAGCTCCGACGCCAGCTCCATGTTCCTGGACTGCAGGTCCTTCTTCTCCGCCTCTGCCGCATCGTGCCCGTTCATTGCGGCCAACAGCCTGATTGCCATCTGTGACAGGCTTTCCTCCGCTGCCCGGGCTTTGGAGGTCTGTTTCTTCAGCTTCCCCTCCAGTTCAACTATGTATTTCAGTAGCGGCGCGTTTTCGCGGTTGGGCCGCTTGTGTCCCGCGTTCTCTTTCTGGGGCGCGTCTAGCGCCTCTTTCTCCGCCGTTACTCTCTGTAGCTCTGCTCTCACCCTTTCTAGCTGTTCTCTCATTGTGGCGAGTCCGATGCCGGCTTGGGCCGCCTCTGGATTCCCCTGCGAGATGCTCTCCTGATCCGCCGGGATGTTCGTAGGTGGGAATTGCGATACCTTGTGGTCTAGCTGTGGCGCTGGCGTAGATGTGTTCTGCAATTGGTGCGGATAGGTTTTATCAAGGCATACATCATGTTCTTTTGGCGCCTCGAGATAGGTGCTTGTACTTGCCGGTTCCAGCCTCATCCGGATCGACGCGACCTCTTCAGCCGACGATGGCCCGTCCGCAGCCGAAAGCTCCGTGTTCTCCGCCCCCGCCCCCGCCCCCGCCCCCGCTTCCGCGCCCAACAGGCCCGGAGCAGCCCGGTGTCCATCATCATCCGCCACCACGGTCGCAACAACTCTCCCCGCTGCCCGCAGACACCCCAACTCCTCCTCAATGCGCGCCACCTTCCTCTTCAGCCCCTCACTCTCCTCCACCCACCCCTCCACATGCAGATCCCCTACCCTCAGGTCTTTCGCCACGTCCTCGTCCTGCTCCGCCAGCTCCCCCCGCTTCTGCAAAAGACGCTGGCTTTTCTTCTCTGCTGCACGGAGCCCATTGCAGCACTGAATCAGCTCCTCGTTCTCCACCGTCAGTCGGGTGTTTTCGGCGCTGAGGCGCGCGACCTGCTCTCTGAGGTGTGTGTTCTCGGTGCTGATACGCGTGTTCTCGAGGGTAAGACGGGCGGTCTCCGGGAGCGCTGTGCTTGGTGTGCATGTGCCGTCGGAGGTGCGGGGGGTGCGGGCGCGTTGTTTTATGCGCATTGTGCTGTCTGTGTAGCTGGGGAGCTACGGGGAGCGGAGGGAATTGATAGGAGATGTGGTCTTTTATGGGTGCGTGGGCACTGAGTAATCGGGGGCTGAAGGTGGAACCCTAACCCTGGAATATTAATGTGGGGGGCAGAGTCATTATTACTGTGAAAATGCGTTTTTGGAGAGGTGTTGGACTGTGGGTCGTGGTACTGGAAAACCTCCTTGTGAAGGTGGTCCATCATCTAAGAGGCCAGGGCCTGCTCTGAGTACATACGTACTACAATTTACCCCACATGACATTGCAAAGAAAATGTTTCAAAACATCATATTTGAAACAACATGTGACATATATCAAATTGCGAGAATAGACATCCGGAGGTATTCCCCCACAACCTATTCAAGGCCACTGAGGAACAACGGGTTTTCACGAACGGACTTGAGCCATTCGATAGCACATCAGCCACCAACCATCGGAGAAATAATGTTTTGTAGAATTTGTCTTTTACAATGAATACAATTCTGGAATCAACACAGTAAGAGCTATTCTAATAATCACAATGTATATCCTGAATCCGTTAGTGAGGACGCGTGCTTCTTCGATGGCTCTAACGCATTTGCAACTATTTTTCCCATTATTAATGCTTACGGGAGATTTGATCTCTGTGCCTTAATTGCAGCACGGCAGTTTGATACTCTTTTGCACACTTGCAATCTCTACTTGTGCAGCGCTATTCCAGTGTAACACAAAGAACTCAAGACGATACAATTCCAGGACAGGATCCTGTTTGGATTCAGGATAACGACGGGATTTGATTGATCCCACCCTATGCAGACAGGTATCTAATGTCTAGACCTGCGAACTACAAGCCCCGGCGAAGAGCACCACAATCTCATCTAACCTCTACTATATGTAATAGTATCTAATCATGAAAATGAACCCACAGCCCTCTATGTTGCGGATTTAGATGGCGAGTGATAGTCCATGACTCCCAACGGAAGCTGCGTTGATCACTAGAACATGTCAGACTCAAGCAAAGCCTTGAAACAATTATTCATACCCAGAGCACCATGAAAGAGCGGAGATCTCACATTTTAATAACGCCGTCCATAAAACTTTTACAAACGCCGTCCCTTACTGTCATGGGATGACTAAGCACTTTCCTTGGCATTCTAGTTAGATTGTACTTTTGTAGTCGGCTAAGCCGTTCATAACACTTACCCATCATTTCTTGCCGTATCACGTGAAGCGATTGGTGGTGGGTTGCTATGCAGCAACCGTTGCCATGGAAACTGTTGCTACAATGGTGGAACATTAGGGCATGAAAAGCCATCCTCTCTTCCGCTATTCATTTATTTTTTGAAAATAACCACCAAAACCTTGCGTGGCAACCAACATTCCCCACCAAAAACTCTGTAAAACTCAGGCTTCAAAATGCCAAGCCCCACCCCTGACATGACCAAGGCCCTGGACGCCCTTGGAATTGGCAACCTCGACCAAGAACTTGTAGGCATAGCCAACAATACCGCCCTCTCCGCCCTCACCATCGCCATCCTGGCCAACCCCAACACCTCGGACGAAACCAGACTCGTCATCACCCTCCTGTGCGGCATCGCCAAACAAAACGCAACCATGGCAGGCGATATCGCCTCCCTCCAACAGGACCACGAAGACCTCCAAGAGGAGGTCCGCCGCCACCAGCGCTCCCCCGACCCCCGCATCCTCAACCGCCTCGATAACATCAACTCCCAACTCCGCAACACCCAGGCCCCCACAGCCCCCCCTGCCCCCCCCAGCCCCAAAAGTAACCACCACCCACCCTTCCCCCCCAACCCCAGACCCTCCTCCTACGCCGACGCCATCAGATCGGCAACAACCCCTCCCGCACAACCAACTAGGCCACAAAGACGACGCGGGAAAAGGAACGAAAAGGCTGCAGGATCTCCCCCCAAGGACGCACCCCTTCCGACCTATAAACGCCGGTTTTTCGCCACAAAGACCACACCCACCCTCATCCCCGATTCCGACCGCCTAACAGCTGAACTCCCCATCCTCTTTGGGCAGTTCCTAGCGAGACAAGGCCTCGTCGCCCCTGCCACCGCCCTTTCAGTCACCATCAATGCTAAAGGCACAGTAACCATTCTCGCGGCCCCGACAGTCTCGAACTCCACCTTCGCCCCCTTCTATGACAGCCTCACCGCTATACTCAACCAAAAAATCCCCACCCCCGACAACCTCTACACCTCCTTCCGCCCCGCGCCTGACACCATCGACGTCGCCGTACACGGGGTCCCCCTATACAGCATCCGCGACAAACCCACGCTACAAGCCACCTTTCCCGAAGCCGTCCGTCTAGCCACAGGCATCACCCCCTCATCCTGCAGATTCCTCGTCGCCGATGATACAACCCGCAACGCCAAAACCTCCTCCACCATCGTTATCAGTGTCTCCCGCTCCGAAGCCGGCGTCATCGGTACAACCATACGCCTCTTCTCCCGTCCCCGCCGGTGCGCCATCATGTGGTCAGCCTCAGCAGGAACCCAATGCTCCCACTGCTACAAGTTCGGCCACGTCATCAAAGGATGCAAACAAGAACTCCCAACCTGCCCCTACTGCACTCTCTCCCACACCAAAGCGGAACACCGCTGCCCCGTCCCAAGCTGCCAGGGATATAACACATCAACAATGGACTGCTGCGATGTCTCACAGTCCAAATGCTCTAACTGCGGAGGCCCTCACTCAGCCTTCGTATCCTCCTGCCCGCACAAACTCGCCCTCCAGAGACAAGACTCGGCCAATAACGGTATGAGAGACGGAGGCCGGATCTTCGCCCCAATTGGCTCCCCATCCACTCACCCCGACGAAGAAGCCACCGAGATTCCCCAGACCTCGGTGACGGAGATGGACCTCAACAACGCCTAAATGTTAGGAGACCTCAACAGTCCCCCGACACCATTTCTACGCATCATACAACATAATTGCGCTGGGAGCAATAATGTCTTCATATCCCTCTTCTCCTCCCTCGCAGTCTCGAAAGCCCACGTTATCGCGATTCAAGAACCCCCCTATTCAAAGGAAAACCCCTCAACGCCCCCTCATTCACACTGTACTCCCCCTCCCCATCCAACGCAGAAGACAAGATATCCACCTGCACCTACGTCTCCAATCACCTCCTCGAACGCAACTCAGTAACAGCTACCCCCTCCCACAGAGGAGACCTCATCTCAGTCAACCTTTTCCTACCAACCTCCCCAAACTCCCACTCCACCTTCACGATAACCAATATCTATAACAGACAGTTATCCAACTCCTCGAGATCGATCAGCCCGATTGAAATCTTCACCCATACCCCCAACCCCCTCATCGTAGTGGGGGATTTCAACATCCACTCCCCTGCAGCGGACCCCATGAGGAACTTCTCCGACGGGGAACTTCGCCTCTCAGGGCCATACATCCATTCCGCCACAACCAACAACTTCTCACTCCTAAACTACCCAGGCACCTACACCCGTCTCTCCCCGGACCCCCGGAAAAGACACGGAGTAATCGATCTCGCCTTTGCGAACGCAAGAGCCACCTCCCTATTCAACAAATGGCAACCCCTCCCCGAAGCCATTGGCTCCGACCATAGAGCCATCGCCATTGCCTTCGCCCTCCCCAACACTGACTTCACACCCATTATCGGCCCCAACTGGAAACTCACAAACTGGCCAAGCCTCCAACCCGCCCTCCAGAACCTCACAGTCCCCAGCCCCAACCCTTCGACAAGCCTCGACGATTGGTTCGAACAATCGCTGCAAAAACTCACAGATACCCTAAAGAGCCACACCCCCTCCAAAACAATCACCAAATGGTCGAAACCATGGTGGAACCCCAACATATCCCAACTCCGCACAATCTACCACTCCGTCCACCGCGACTTCAGAAGAGGCCTCAGCCCCCCCTTCGAAGTCAAAGCGGCGAAGAATGCCTACTTCAATGCAATCAAAAACGCAAAACGCACCCACTGGAACTCCTTCGTGTCCAATGCGGCCACCGGCGATGTCTGGAAACTAAAAAGAATGGCAACAAGAACAGAAGACAGAGTCCCGTCCCTCCCCAACTCCCCCACCCCCGCACTACTAAACCAGAATCTCGTCAAAGCATTTTTCCCGCCCAGACCAGACACTGGCTCTCCCCCCCCCTTAACTTCGCTCACGTCCCGGACATCACCCCCGAGGAAGTAAGAACCACCCTCCTCCCCACCTCTAACCTCTCTGCCCCGGGCCCAGACACCATCCCCTATTCAGTATGGAAAGGGGTCCATAAAGCCAACCCACACATCATCCCAGCTCTCCTAAACCCACTCCTGAAAAGCGGCTATCACCCCCTCTCCCTCAAAAGAGCAAACGGAGTTATTCTGGCAAAACCGAACAAAGCCGACTACACACTTCCCACCTCCTACAGAATAATCGTCCTCCTCCAAACCTTTTCCAAAATACTCGAAAAGATCGTTACCCTTCGCCTCGCATCTATCGCCAAAGCGGTAGGCCTCATCCACCCCCACCAATGCGGATCAGTAGCCGGCCTGTCCACGGCAGACGCGGTCACTACCCTCCTCCATGAGACCAAAGTCATGCAACACGCTAAACTAAAAGTCTCCACCCTATTCCTCGATATCAAAGGTGGCTTCGATAACGTCGTCAAACACACCCTTGCATCCACCCTCGCGGCCAAAGCCACCCCCCCATACATCATCAACTGGGTCCTGTCATTCCTCTCCGACAGGCATATCACCCTCCTCTTCAAAGGCTCCCCGAGAATCCCAACCCCCGTTCAAGTCGGAGTTCCCCAAGGCTCCACCATATCACCCCTCCTCTTCGTCATATACATGAACATCCTCCACCTACACGACCCCTCTTCAGGACTCACCCTATCCTACGTCGATGACTTCGCAGTGACCGTGGGCTCCCCCAGCTACCAACAAAACATCCTCATCCTCGAGAAACACTTCAAGGCAATCACAGCCATCACGGCCGCCCAGAACACCACCTTCTCAGTCCCCAAAACCGAACTCATGCACTGGCGTACCCCCAAAGACAAGGGGCCGATCTGCACACTCCCCATCACCCTCGATAACCAGATCTTCCACCCAGGCCATCAAGTCAGATGGGTCGGATTCTGGCTATCCCCAAACTTCAACCCAAACACCCACTTTATCCGCCGCCTAGCCTCCGCCCAAGCCAGCTTCGGGATCCTTCAGAGATTCTCCTCCCCTGGCAAAGGCCTCTCCTCATCCAACTGCAGGAAAATCGCCCTGCTTGCCATCCGCCCAATGCTCACATACGGCGCATCCGTCCTAACACCCACCAGCTCCATTAAGGCGATGAATAAATTCTGGAACTCAGTCCTCAGATGGGCCACCGGCTGCTTCAGGGCAACCAACCAACGCGTCCTCTGGGCCGAGGCACACTGCCCCCCACTCATCAACTACATCCACTACCTGAAAACAAAGTTCGCCATCCGCGTCCTTCTCGCCCACCCCCTCAACAATCCAGTGACAGGACGCTGCCACCCCTCCTTCCCCACACTGACCCCCGACAGGGTCCCTCCCACACAACCCTCCTCCGTGGCCGCCCCAACCCACCTAAGAAGTGGAACTCCACGGCAACAAAGGGAGTAGCCCACCTCCCCATCGAACATCTCTGCCACCTCCTCCAACATCCAGTCACAAGAGGAACAGATCACAAACTCCTCCCAAAGCTAGCAAAACAACAAATGCTAGACAATTGGGCACACGACTTCCCAACACCCCCCTACTACTCCTTCCCCTCACCACAAGCCCTGAACCCTTCATGGACCTACATAAATTCACGGCTACTCGAATCCACCAAATGAGAGCCCAAAAAAGCTACCTCAGAGGCCACAAATCTTGGCTCAACCTCCACCTCTCCGAAAAGTGCAACAGATGCGGCGAGGCCCCTGAAACCACCGAACACGCCATCCTCCTCTGCCGAGCGAAAGCAACCCAACGCGCCCAACTCCTCCCAGGAATCAAAACCCTCGAGGAGATCTGGAGTAACCACACCAACACGCTAGCTCTAGGAGCCTTCATCACCGCCACCAAAACGAACTTCCCCAGAAAGGAACACATCTCCCCCCTCCTTTCTGGATCTGAGACATCAAGTGCCCTCAGCTCTCCCCCCTCCACCACCTAGCCACTACAAAAGCCAACCCAAATCAGGGCACTCCACACCCACAAAAGACCCTCAAGGGGCAACAGGTTATTTGAAACCAGCAGGAAGATTTCTTATGTCGGATACGGGCCGCCAAAGCGTCAGTTTTTCCTTGCAGTCACTAAGTCAGTTTGTTAGTTTGTTTTGCGTCATGCTTTTCTCATTGCTTTCCTTTGTTCATCTGGGGTCGTGAATTTCAGTTTCTAAGTCGGGGAGAGGTATTTTTATGCCATAGTCTAAGACTGCATGCAGAGTTTTGTACCTAGAATTAATTAAAACTACATGATATAAAAAAAAAAAAAAAAAAAAAAAAAAATAGGGCATGAAAAGCCTTTGCTAATAACCTGACGTTAAAATCTTTTTTGATATTGAGTAGGCTATATGAATGAATAATGCAGCAAGGGCGGTAAACCAATTGACCGAATCAATAAATAGCGTTGTTATAAATGATGGCACAAGCACCAAGCTAGAACAAATACGAATGATATGACGCAACGAAATGCGGTAGTAATGGCTGTAAAAATGGGAGATAAGACACCCCCGAAACTCTCACACCACCAAACTTCATGGACAACTTAACCTCCAAGAGTATGAAAAGACGTAAAGAAAACCGTGGTAGAGATATCGATATGTCGGAGGAACTAAAAGGAAAGAAACAAAGAAAACAAACCCTTTTGTAGTTCATTAACCTGTTAGAGTAGATAGGTAAAAGAGACGTTCGATTCTCAAGGATCGAAAGTAGGTAAGCCGTAGATGTTAAGAAGAGATAAGCAAGTAAATAAGGAAAGAAGAAATGAGTAAAGCTACTAGATTTCTGCAGCCTCAGCAAATGCTTTTCCCTGTGCTCTAGCATATGCTTTCAAGGCGCCCCGTAATTGGCTGTTTTGCTTCTGAAGCTTCGATTTCTCTTCGGTGACACTCCTGATTTCGACTGATAAGACCTCTAGCTGCCTTGATTTCTCTCCCATAAGAGCCAATTTCGACATTGATGACCGGTAGCTGGCTTGGGTTTTCTTCTTTTCTGCGGCGAGATCTTCGGAAAGAGTCGCGTTACGCTTCAAAAGATCTAGAGTGACCTTTTCATGCTCAAGCTCAGAAGACGAGGGCAATCTGTCATGTCCAACTCGTAAGGCCTTCAGCCCGGACATCGCAATCTCCTCTAATAGTCGCCCATTCTTTGTTTCAAGACGTTTTATCTCTACTTGTGCCGTATCAATGCAGTTGTTTGCTGAGTTTAACTCTGTCTTGACGGCCACAAGCTCTTTGGCGAGAACATGGCTCTCTGCGTGGAGAATCTTCGTGTTCTCTTTCGTGGATTCGCATTCTTGCCTCGCAGCTATTAGTTCGCATTTCAGGTGGATGTTGCTATCCTGGAGTATCTTCTCTCTAAGAGCAGCCGAGACGATTTCGTTCTTCAAGTCCACAACGAGGTTCTTATCGGGCTTCTTCCTCGCCGCACTTGGGTTCACGGAAACGACGAGCTCTTTTGCACAGCGTGCATTAATGTCATTTAAAACCTCCATCTCCGCCCTCCATGTCTGCAGTTCCTTGCTTGGCGTTGTTGACTCTTTACCGGCTCGGATGCTCTCCATCTCCATCTCCAAGATGGACTTCTCCATTGCGGAGCCATCCCTCCGGGCGGCCGCCAGATCGTTTTTCGGGCTAACATTTGCAACCCTCAGCTCCTCACTCAACGCCTTCGATGCTTGTAGCTCTGCCCTCAACACTGTCATCTCCTCACTGGCCCGGATCCCGTCCATCTCCATCTCAGAAACACGATCCTGCATTGCCACATTCAGTCTCAAAGCAGCTTCCAACTCTTCCACCGCGCGTGTATTCGCAGACTGCAGTTCTGCGCTGCTCGCCTCCGCCATCTGCAGTTCCTTCCTTAACTTCACCAGCTCTCCTCGAACCCCAACAAACTCCTCGTCCGCGCGAATACCCCTCATATCCAGCTCCTGATTCTCACCCACCAGTCTCGCCACCTCCGCCCTCAAAACACCCAACTCATGCCGTACCGTCCTAAGCTCCTCCGCAGCGCTCTCTCTGTGTACGTGCACACTCGAGAGCTCAGCGGTCTCAGACTTTGCCAATGCCAGTGCCCCCGCTGGTTGTTCGACCCGTTTGTTCTTCTCCGCTAGGCGATTGTTCTCCGCACTCAGTCGCGAAATTTCGACCGTCAAGCGGATATTCTCGCCCGTTAGGCGTGCCGTCTCCGTCTCTGTCGCTTCCTTCATGTTCACAGTGCCCAGCGTGCTGGCGCTCTTTCGTTTCGTCTGTTTGTTCCGCATTGCGAGTATGGAAGATGGACTGATGGTGGAGAGACCTATCTACGGGGGTGTAATGTTATATGACTACCTTATATGCACGCCGCTTCTCACTGATCGCTTCGAAACCGCTGGCTAGCGTGTTTGCTTCTTTAGAGTAATCATACGTGTGTGGGTGTGTGTGGGAGGCCTAAATATGCAACCCTAACCCTAACACTGACTACTAATTCTATTACAGAGGGCGCGGCTGGGGAAGTGAAAATTTTTGAGATGAGCTCTAGGTTATGAGTTGTTTCGATTTACAAAGTGTCTTTGAAGAAGTGCAACGACGGAAATGGCGGCATAAGAGAGGAGCCTTACTTCCCGACGGGGGACTCGATGCGCTACAATATTACCTTACTAGGATTCTCAAGAGCTGCATTACTAAATGCAGGCATTCAGTAACCGCCTGATAGCGTGTAAACTTGATATTGACCAGTCAATAAGCGCCCCCAAGTGCTGCCTGGAGGTCATATCAGCGCCCTAGTGCTGAGGATAGGGTTGAGATAGGGTGCAATATACGTTTTTAGGCAGAATAGCTGAGCGGCTCTGCTGTGAGCGTGTTTTAATTTTGTGGGTGATATACATTATGGGAAACGTAGCGGAGGTCAGAATATCGATAACTGGCCTAAGAATGGCCCCTAACCCTAACAACTAACAAAACCAAACCCTGATGAACTGGGAGTGACGATGTTCTAGTCTCGTTGTGAGCGACGTCTATCCGCGAATGGACTAGCTAATTCGTTGATAGTCCGTGGTCATCACTCGCTCGTCTATTCATCAATAGATGGTAACATTCAGGACATTAAAGTTGTCAAGCCATAACAGCGGAAGAGATTTGGAGTACTTTACGTTCGTAAGCTAAGTTTCCATTGGGTATTTTTGTAAGTGGGGTAATCACCAAAGATAATCAACTGCTGAACGTTGTTGGAACTTTGGGCCAACCAATAGTCAGTGGGTCTTGTATGAGCTGGCCCCTCCAATAGATGGTGTTCACGGGGAGACCAGATATGTTTTCTGTTTGTGTATTACAAAGGCATCAGTACATGGGCCTCGATCTCAAGTATCGCATCTAAAGCTATGAGGCACCCATGGGCGGATTCTTTTTCATTAATGTGTATAAAAGATTAACGAGGATACTTCAGGCCAGAGCTCTCCCTTCTCCACATATTTATGTTAACCGAGCGTGACATTTAGCTCTCGCACCAAATCTGACTAACACAGAGAGCCCACATAAGCTCCACTCAGTCAGGTGCTCATCCTTCCGATTTAAATACTCGGGGATGCATGCCTTAATGCTACCTTTTCCGACCCAGACCTTTCGCCGTCGGTCTTGCGCTTTATTACCGTTCTATTCCCGGAAGAAATCGCCGGACCAAAGAAAAAAAAGACTTTGGCTAATCGCTTACCCCAGAGCCCTTGTGGGGGCCGAATGATTGCATTTGTTGATTGATTGATTGATTGGTTGAAATTTGATAATTCATTACTCATCATTTGATCAATTGATTACTTCATTTATCATATCCCTTAAACTGTCGGAACTTTCACTGCTTTTTAGCACTGGCGATCGCCTCAAGCAGGAAACCAGGACCCCCGGAAGAGGTTGATACAGGTCACAACGCTTCACGGCTAGATCTAGAGAGGTGCTAGTGATACCCAGAGCGGCATTAGCAACAAATGAAATCTTGATGTAGTAATACTACTGCCCACTATAGCTAACCACCCGTACCTTGAACATAGAGGAGAGGATGCAAATTCCATTCGACAGGTCACATTAAGGCGATTATTGACGTAGTAATCTGGCTATGGTCTAAGGTTGATTTGGTACATGAAATCATTACTTGAGACTTTAAATCTTAAGGAATTATGCGCGCTTGTAAACGCCAATTAGCCCAAAGGTTTGCCCTGACTGGAGTCCTAAGTCACAGCATTGATATGTATTGGTAACCTCTGGAAGAACTCTGTTGCGGGTACTGAGGCAATGATCATACATCATGTTTTTTTTTATACCTTAGACGGTCAGGCCTGATGTAAATGGGGATCACTAGGTAGCTAGCCGCATATAGCAGGTGTGATATTATGAACTCTACTAGTACGACTGGGGGTGTTTTGTGCCGCTTGAAGAGATACTGAATACACTTAGAGGACACCATAGTAGTTATCATCTTGGCCTTGCGAGTTGCGCACTTTATATCCCTATGGAGGGGAAGTGTCAATTGTCAAAGATGGCAGTACTTAGTAAATACTGTCTATTAATCTAAATACAAAAACAAGAGCCTAAAATATCCCTTAGGGCATCAGGACAAATCCTGGTCGTGTTACTCAAACCCAATACGGAAGTCGTGATATAAAAAACTATGGGTGCATAGGTCCTCACGATTTTACAGTACTAGTTCTTATCGTTAAAACCGTGATGGATCACCTCATCATGTTCAGTTCTCTGCGGTGTTTAATTTTGTTGGTCTAACACGACTTCCGTGTTGAGTTGAGTTAACGCGATTAGTAGCTGTTCTGACCGCTTGAAGGATGTAGACGGGCAGTGCAGGTAGTAGGCGGGCAGTGGTAGGACTTTGTGGGTGCTAATGGGTGACGATTTGTGGCCACCTCCGCTAGTAACTAGTCCTGAAGGCAAGCTCTGCGGCGTTCACACCAATACGGCGGTCATCGGAGTAATAAAATATCCGGCATTGCTAGTAGTGCATGTTTTAGTGCATTTTAAATCGTATAAAACGTACATATGTTGAAAGAGCGCCGCATCCGGACTAAATCATTAAACGTTTGATGGAAAAGGCCTCTATATGGTCTTGACATTTCCAGGAATATAGCCATCACGATTCACTTTCGTCGGCGTATATTAAGAGGTACTCCCACTACCATATTTCCGGTACCATCAGCTAATGTAAATGTAAGGTCCTCTGACCATGTAATTATTGTAGATTTCACACACGGAGCAATGGAAAGACCCTTAATTGCATGTAGGAATAAAGTGACTGCTTGAAAGTCATGAATCTAGTTATCCCATGGTAGGATAAAAGTTTTCCAACTAGCAACCTCGCTAATTTAACCTAGTGTGGTAATTGTTGGAAATTCTTGATTGGCCCTGTTGATGTTGCTCAGCGAGATAATTCCCTTCCTAATTGGTGCACAGGTCGCATCCTACACCCACATACGAACCGCATATAACATATGGTTGAAGAAGCTCTGTAGAGTACAGGTAGGATGTCAACCCTGCACACACCATCTTTTACAAAAGATTTCACGCGCAATCCACAGTTCGCCCCAGCAGTATGCAGCAACGAGGTCGCTAGGATTGTTTGATAGGCCAAAAGTGAGAAGTGTATGCAAGGCTGACATCCTACCCGTATAGAGCTTCTTCAACCATACTCCCAAAACTGCAAAAACTCGAAAAATTGGCTCTCTCCCGCCAGGCATTATCTCCTTAACCATTGGTTGAAGAGTGTAGATCAGGTCCGCTAATGGTAATTTTGGTCTCGTATGTACAGCCAATCTTTCGAGTTATAGCGGAACTTCAACGGCCTTCCGAACTTTGGTGCCTAAAGTGTACATGATTCTTACATACCGCTATTCACGTATTAGTGAGTTGTCGATCTCCCATACGGGTTTATACGGGGAGGTAGTTGTGATACTGCAGCTTAAGGAATATATATGTGGCTCTAGGCCTATGTACATCTTGCCAGTTATTGTTTGCTTAGGCCCGCGTTCTGTTGCCGCGAAATATCATAATATTTAGCTAGCTTGGCGCAATATGTGATGTTTTTTCTGTTGGCACTGTTCGAGAACCGCTTTATGTGATATTTGTCATCGATCCTATTGGAGCCCAATATCACAATGTAAAATATTCTACTCAGACCAAAGCTACCGAAGCCACCAACCATTTTGAGCAGTGTAGGGTGCGGCGAGACGGAGGATCTGGCTAGCAAATTGATGCGGATCCTTTTGTTGGAATTTCGGTTCGTGGGCTATTGCCCCGTTATACCCTCCGTCTCGCCCAACCCCCACCGCTCTACTAGTATGCATGTTCAGGCAACCCACAAACACATGATAAGGCAACCCATAACCATATAATACATCAAGATACACGTCCTCCCTGGTGATAGAGATATTCCTCAAGCACAGCTAGATACCACTTACCCGAAACCCCCGAAACCTCAGCTATGGCGGCAGCCTACAAAAAAAGAAGATCTCTTCCTAAGGACTTTGTATCTTTAATCTTCAACAAAGAGCAAATTACATTGTCGGACTGCATTCCTGTATTTGCCGAACTGGAACGCAATCCTGAGTCCCTATCCCGTTTGTTCTCTGACGAAGAAAACCTTTTGCAGCTTCTATCCAACTTCAATCACTATGCCTCAAGAATCTCAAGGTTTTTCATAATGTTCAAAAAGCATTCAGTGAACCATCCAGTGAGTGCAACACATCAGAAGCCCTGGTTAGGGTCCACTTTTTCAAATGAGCTCACTGAGCGCATTCTTCTCCAATTGCTCAGTGATAGTTTTAGCCAGTTTATGTTATCAAATAATTTCCTAGACGCATTCGGTGCTGTTCTAGAGTGCTGCCTCCCGCACAGCCCTCGATCATTTGAGAAGCTAGCCGAGCGATTATTCAAAGAAAAGCTTGTTTTTAAAGCGTTGATATCGGGGAAGACAACTGGTGGAATCATGAAGCAATGGGTTGTAGTGCTCACCAAGGTGATCCACGATTACCAGGCTCTCAGTGCATGGACAAGGACGATAATTGAGCAATGCGACTCTTGTATGGGGAACCATGATATTGATGAGCCAAAGAGCCGCTGGCAGGCACTGGATAGTCTCCTTCCACAGTTGATTCGGGCTCTCAGAAACAAACCACAAGGAACGTCAAACATGCCATGGCAAATACGGCTCGATCCGGGTCTGATCTTTGAATTGCAGCGCTTTGGAATCTCACCGCCTGCTTCTCAGCGTGCTCTGGAAGACGCTATCTTCACATTGGAGAGGGATGAAGCAGTGCGAATGTTAAAGGCTGTCAGCGGGTCGTTTCCTTGCCGATATTGTTACAAATCCTCTACGGGTGGAGAAGTGGCGGAACTTGAACTGGAGCAGCGAGAAACGTGTCTTAGCCTTGACATTGGACACTTTTCGGATCTTCTTGGGTCTGGGATAGGTATGTGGCGAGTCCTAGCCTCTGGGGAGGCCTTGGAGGATATGCAGCAGGCATATCAAAAAGGTTTGTAGGAATAACCTGCTCCGTCACTCTGGCCAATGCTAATATTTCTACACCACACAGGTTTGTTTGGCGTGGTCGAGCGTGTCATTACCCAGCTGGCCTCCGGTAGATGGGAGGATCCTCCGATTCGCGAACCGCTGGGGGGAGTGAATAGTTGTTTGTATCTGGCACGGTATGGACAAGATAAAAAGAGTGGTATACTATGGCAATTGGACGTTGAGTTTGATGAAGCTGCGGAAGCATTATTGCAACTGGTCAGAAGTAAGTTCTGTTCGTCCTCCTTAAGCAAATACTGTTCTGATTTTTTATCTTAAAGTTTGGAGGATAGGAGAAGTTGGAACGGTTAGTATAATCCTTGAGCCAGGAACTCTTTAGAAATATGGTATTTCCAACTGGCAACTGACAAGAACTGGTTTAGATTGAGCAAGCCGAACCTCATATCCGTCTGATACACAAAACATTTTCCGAAGTCCGCCTCGACGCACAGAAGCAGTTCTCAGTGGATCAAGCTAGCAGAATAGCATATCCGAACTATTACGGAAAAGACAGTGATACCTTGACAGGAACCCTTGAGCTCGACGACAAATCCCAAAAACAGCTCGGTGAGAGCCTTCTGAGATTTAGTAAGTATACGTTCATCATGTAACTCAAAGCAAATGGAATACTTACATTTTCCGTCTTCCTCTAGACAGGTTTTACAGCGTTACCCAAACTACATTCAGCAATGTCCGCGCTGGGAATATCACCGCACAATATCCTCTGAGTCTTGCCCAAGAAGAACTGACAATTGTCAAGGATACCTTGAACTCAACGCTGATCCAGGGCAGGAGTGGCACGGGCAAGACAACCTGCCTTGTGTATAAGTTGTTTGGGCGTTATCTTACTTCAAAGAATCTTGATGCTAGGAGTTCGCCCCGCCAGGTAATCTTGTATACCAATTTACTGGATCTGCACGCTGCTAACTCCTACTTTAGGTATTACTCACGCGGTCCCACGTCCTTTCGAACAAACTGAAGGACTACACCAAACGGTTGATTGCGACTCATGATTTAAAACCTGATCCTACTGAGGGAGGGAGTGATATGCTCAGCTATATGCTTGGTGACGACGAGAGAGAGGTCAACCACACAATCTTTACAATGCTTGCAGATGATTTCCCTCTAATTTGTACATTCAACTATTTTCTCAAGCTCTTGGAAAATACTCTGAGGTGCATCCCTTGGTTCTCATATATATATGGTAGCGTATTTACTAACAGAAGATCAGGGCTTCAGATAGACAAGACTTCTCATTTCATCCCAGCGCAGGCGGCCCGGTGCGTGATGTTCTTTCCAAGAAAGCGCCCGGCCGTAGGGGTCTATACAGAAAAAGCCAGGTAGTCGACTTTGAAGTCTTTAGCGAACAATATTGGGGACAGTTCTCAGCCAAGTTGACAAGCGGAGTATCACCTACGCTGGCGTTTATGGAGATCATAGGCGTCATAAAGGGCTCTGCATGTCATTCAATAGACTTTCAGCCCCTAACACGCGAGAAATATCTCCAAGAGGGACATAGGATTTCACCAATAGAAGTTGATAGAGATCTGATATACAATATCTACGAACGCTATGAGAAGGTCAAAAGGGATCATGGAGACATTGACGATATTGACCGGGCGAGGGATGTTCTTAAAGGAATGGCTAAAAACCGCGATGTCAGGAATAGGATCGAAAAAGCGTTTGATGAGATTTATATCGATGGTAAGGCAATATTACTCTTTATACCTAACTATAACTAACTGTTTTTTCCCCCTTGTGTCCAGAAATTCAAGACCAAAAGCTCCTCGAGATTATGATGTTGTTACATTTGGTCAAGCGTCCTAACGCCGCCCACTTTGGTACGGGATACACGTATCTATCCTTAATCTTATAATAACCAAACTAATGGGACATGCTTAAGCCGGCGACACCGCACAGTCGATCTCAAAAGATTCCGTCTTTCGTTTTGAAAATGTCAAAGATCTTCTCTATGCGCGCTTTTCCTCTGGAAAGAAAATCACACCACATGTGCACAAACTATATAAAAACTACCGCACACATCAGGGCATTCTCAACCTTGCAACCTCAGTCATGAGGTTATTGTATAATAGTACGTCACTTTGAGACTTCCCTCCTAGCTAGCCTGAGGGAAAATCTAAACCCAATAGATTTTCCGAACATGGTGGATCGTATGAAGGACGAAGAAGGACAGTTTTCTGGGCCGAAGCCAGTAATGTTCGGTGAGTAATACCTCTAGTCGTACTAGCACGGTTACTAACGAAGAAGTTGGCGTTGGCTCTAATGTTCTCTCGAGGAATATGTTCGGTGCTACTAATCTAGCTGCAGACTCCGCTCAGTTCGGCGCAGACCAGGTCATAATTGTTCGGGACAAGGCTCAGCAAGACAGTGTACGCAAGGAGATTGGTGATTTTGCTTTGGTATTGACGGTTCTTGAGAGTAAGGGAATGGAGTTTGAGGACGTGCTGCTGTTGGACTTCTTTAGCACGAGTAAATGTTCATCTGCGTGGCGTGCTGCTCAATCGCGATCCGAAGACTTTAATTCGATCAAACACCTGGTAAGTATCTTAGCAAAAGTTTAATTAATGGCAGAGTACTGATATATCCCTACTTGATTCTAGGCGTTCTGCTCAGAGTTGAAAGTAAGTTGACTGCAGCTGATCCTCGATGTTCTGAGCATTAGTTGATAGACCCAAGCAACTTTACGTTGCAATAACTAGGGCACAGTACAGACTGTGGTTCTTCGAAAGTGACTCAGCTAGTGCGAAGGATATACTTACACTCTGGGCACCCGACGTTGAAGTAGTTCAAAACAATGATAATAATGTATGATGGACATCCCCCCCGAGCGTATATTTCAATCACTAATAAAATTAGAAACATGACAAGCTAGCACAACTACATCCGGGAAAGAATGCGAACCCGGAAATATGGTCACGCAGGGGATACCAATTTATCGAGAACAAGAACTATGAAAGCGTGAGTGGTTGTTACTTTATAAACGCTGGCTGGATATTATCTAACACCGTTGGCTACAGGCGCTCCTATGTTTTAGGCGAGCAAATGACAGCAATGGTGATAAATTAACAAGGGCATTAATTGTTGAGAGAAAGGCAAAGTCACATTTAGTCCGCGGGGATGAAGATATATCCGAGGAACATTTCCGGGAGGCAGCAAGGTTGTTTCAGGAGTGCGGGCAAGCACTTCGTGAGGCCAGCTGTTATGAAGCACTGGGGGAGTTTGAACATGCAGGTGGTGAGTAGTGTAAATCCCCACATTATGTATGGCTATTGATGCATTAGGTAGATATTTTTGCAACACATCGGGAATTTTTGCGAGCTGCCGATCTATATATCAGAGCTGGGCTATTTGAGAAGGGTGCAGACACTTTTGCCCTCGCCGGACATCATAATGATGGTGCTGCAATTCTGGCGGGAGAGCAGAGATTTGACAGTCTGGTCAAATATCTGGACAAGTACGCGGTGAAGTTCATTTTCAGACATTACAGAAATAACTAACGGTCGCCAACAGGCACAGAAGGAACCTAAGCGCCGCATACCAGCGCCATTATTCGAGGCTTTGTATTCTGCTTGTCAGACGTGGCAAGATATCAACTGAGCTAAGAGAACTCGCTGCCTCCACGCTCAATGACCTAGAAAAAGAAGAGTTCTTTAGAGAATATGAAATGAATGAGCAATTGTTAAAGCTCTTGGTCATGCAATGTCGATTCACTGATGCCTGTAGTCATGCAGTTGCATTAGGGAACCTCGCAGAGGCTTGGAGAATAGATGGAGAATTTCGAGGGATGGCGCAACTTCCAAGAGAGGACAGGATTCAAGTATACAATTATGTACAAGTCAAAGCCTTACACGACAGCCTTTCAACACACGACAGCCTTTCAGCACGCGCGAACCAACCTTTCGTAGCGAATTATACAGAACCTCCACACCGCCATTGGTTGTCAGACACCCCATCCATAGAAGTGTTCTGGAGAGATTTGCCTCAACAACTTGACGGGTTTTGGAGACATCAGATGACCTATGAGAGCCTCGTTTTTGCTGAACAATGGATGAAGGAGGTTTTTGATATTATTGTAGATACTCACAACCCACACGTAATCAAGCTTTAACTGCTAACAACATCCAGGTAGCCCTTAGAGCTCATGAATTCATTCGCTCGGCAAATTCCCTCACTGACTTACCAGTGGAGTCAATAGCTACAGCAGTCAGCGTAACAAAAGAACTAGTGCTGAATTCGAATATTCCGATAAGTCTTTTCACTCTCTTGGGGGTCATTCCTTGCCGCAAGCAAGCCGATATATTGATAGTTCTTCAACAATCGCTGTTAAATGACGACAACAGCAGCCTCGTTGGCCAGAAACCCAGAGTTGTAGTAACACAAGCTATTGCCAAGTTGATAATTAACTGCGTATGCAGGGCAGTGACCGAGTTGTGTGAAGCTTCGAAAGACTTTCTTTATAGCAGTACACCATGTCTTACCTTCCAATACAGAGGTTTGCTTTCAATCAGATACAACTTTTATTGCCTGACTAATGCTGTAAAGGATTCCACAACCGTCCCGGGTGCGAGATGCTTCATAGAGATCCTATGAAGGAATCAGAATATCTAGCTAAAACAAAGGTTCCCGCTCAAATCTGTGAGATTTCAGTTCTATGCTAACTCAATTTCAGTATTTACTCCGTATGGCCTCTGCTATTCGCAGCCTTTTGCCTTTGTATCGGCGTGGGTTCAACAACCTCGCCCCTCCATCATTTAAGAGTGAATATCTTGGAAACTGTAATATATCAGCTATCAGATCCTTCTTCTACAACGATAAACTAATCGATGGGTCCTAGTGCGATGGGCTATGGAACTTCTATTGGCCCAAATAACATACATATCAGCGGTAGAACAGGCGCCGGAGATATTGAAGGCAGTATGGGAGGAAATCGCAGAACCAAATAGCGTCTATGCAGGTGTTTTCGGAGGGCTAGATGATTTACTATTCCATCGTCTTAAAAAAGATATGAATACGATATGCGACCTCTCTTCGATGCTTGAACAGCTTCAGATCGCCCAAAACCTCGGTTAGTCCCAATTCACTCACATTTGCGCAAGGTCACTAAAGGTTTATCAGACTCGCGCGCAAATTACGAGCGCAGTCTTTCTAGCTCCGTTTGCAGAGATCTAAAGGCTGAGAGGTGTTGGCGGACTTTGAAAACAATCACTCAGAGTCAGAACCGCTCAGGCATAGGACAAGAATCAATCAGTGCTCTAGATAAAATTATAAGAGACGCAGATTCAATTGATCTCCACGTATATCACTCGGTTATCGCCCTGTATGAGAAGTGGGCGACATATCTGGTACGTATTGGCTAGTTCCCCGTAAGCATTGGTTCGATCGAGCTGACATCTCCGACGAAAGATATACCAAAGTAACCCCGGCGATATGATGTTACCTCGAGCCTGGGTGTCACTGTACAGGCAAATGCTAACGCGAACTGGAACACCAAACCCAGCTTCTATTGATTCCCGGCGTCAAAACCTACTCTCACTCGTTGAAAGCTTCTGTCGCCTAGTACAGAAAATCAACAATGACGAGGAGCCCTTTCAGCATAAGATTACAGGGAGAATCAGAGCTAAGGGGCAGGGCATACACATTTTCGCTCGCCGCAATGTTCATTTCCTTAGTACTTGCGTTTTGAATACCCGCTCATGGGAGACCCCCTTCAATAGCTATCTACAGTCTAGACTCGCTCAAGTTGGCATTCTAGTCAATCAGGTATGTATTGGCCATCTCTCGCGCAATTTGAGATAAACCCCATCTCACCGATGACTCGCATGCAGACAATCAGCCTTCCATTCGCTATGGCATTCTGGTTCAGGGACCGAGCATCATTTAGCAACTTTTACCGCGCTTACATAGATTCCTTTAATATCTACAGCGGAAAAGACGCGCCCCTAATTATCACAGATACGAAAAATGCCTCAACATTATTCTCTACTTCCCACCCCGCAGTTTCGAGGAAGTCGTTGATAGAGTTGAGCTCCCCTGTTGTTTTGGGACAGACCGCCACCGAGAAACCAGACTATGATGATACTATGCATCTCCTGAAAGACTATTGCAACTTTGAGCCAGCGGTTATAACAATCCAGACAATCTGGAGGTCCCGCTATCCAATCATTAAAGCGCGGCGAGCATTCTTTAGCACATCTGAAGGTGTAGCCTTGAGATTTATCGAGAGGATCTGCGGAGAGAGTGTGGACATTTCTGTTATGAGCGTAGCAGAGCGAGTGCGCGTTCGGTCTTTGTTGTTCACCGTTGGGCTCCAGCTTCACCTCTTGAGCGAAAAGGTCGACAGGATATACAAGGAGTCTAGGGATAAGGCCAAGGGTATGATGAATGAGGGGGAAATGTCGAGTATCGAGCGTGCCCAAACCTTGTTCGAGGGGCTATTGGACTTGCAGGAGAGAATTGCGGAGAACATCAACTTCTTTTCCGAAAAGAACTTACATTCGCTCCACCAAATCGATTCCGGGCAGTTGGAAAAGAGAATCCAGGAGGTGTATAAACCTCTCCCGGAGGTGTATAAGCGTCTACTTCGTATCGAGTTCTCTTTGGACCTGCTTAACCCGGAAACACGAAGGCCAGCTGCTGCCATCGCCATTCAACGTGCTTTTAGAGCACAGAGGCACCTACTTAAACAGCGTCGAGACTTCCGGGCAACCGAGATGGGAAAGACGATTGCATATGTTAAACGCATTGTTGTGGCCCTCAGCATCCGTGACCCTCTCGACCGCATTGGAGAGATCCAAAGAGCCTGGGTTCTCTTTAATCACGTGGCGCAGCTGATCCAAAAGCTCAAACAAATTGAAACAAACTACAAGAAAGCTAAAAGAGCCGTCAGATCCCGAATAAACTGGGCCAGTTCAGAGGAGAAACATAGTGCGCGTATTCTCGCATCCCAACTCCATAATATCCGGGAGACTGTACGGAAAGAAGCATCGTTCCTATCGGAGGATAACTGGATGCAACTGAATATTCCGAGCGTTGAGCTGGAGGAAAAATGCACGGAAACGTGGCGGGTGATGAGGACTGTGGAGCATAATTTGTTTCGCATCATGGGTTAGTGAGGATGGGATCTAGACGGCTGGTTGTTAGTGATTGGGAGTTTTGCACTGCCTCCAACGGTGTGTGTGCATGTGTTGGAGTAACAATTGTTATCATTTTATTTTCCAGTATATGTTCAATCTCGTTATTTCATGTATTACTATATCAATATACTCCTACCATAGCTACAAACCTGCAAAACTGGCCCTGTCTCCCATATAAATACATTTACAGATCTAGTTGAGAAGCCGCGCACGTCAATTAAACTTAGCAGCTAATTTATTTCTTGGATTGGAATGAGAACTGGGAAGGAGGTTCAATATACTTCAAACCATCGCCCAGCCCGCAGATATATAACTCTCTATTGATTCAAGGGCTGAGGTGAAGATGGGCCCGCCTTCGGTGACGGACAATAAGCGGATAATAGTGTCCGGGTAGTTCACACCTGATCACTCGGTCGAGTGACGTCATGGTGCATCACTCGACATCCCTATATTAGCTCCCGATTGATTTTTTTGTTTTTGTTTTTGTTTAATTCATTAATTGCATGCAACCTTACAGTTATGGCAATAGCCCCTGAACCACCCGATCTCTTTCACCTCCTCTCGTGTTTGGCTGACATAGGAAATATATGAAAATACATCGTGTTGGCCTATTCTTCTTCTCCGGCGTCCTTCAACGTCCCCTACCCATATCCCAGTTCTCTCCTTTCTTCTTCCATGTTTTCATCCTGCCCGCTTCTCTCATGTCTCCATATGGTGAACTGCTTCCATATTTTCGTTGCTGCTTCGATTCCGCTGCTTTTCCAGAGAAGTTTGCTGATCGTATTGTGCTCTTTATAGGTCGTACGAGTTTCGGCCGTTGCATCGCATTCAGTAAGTATGTGAGCCACACTTTGCTCCCGATTGATTGCTTGATTGGTTGGCTCGAGAGGACGGCTGCCAGTAAACGCACACCTGGTTGAATCTCGGCCAAATGTGGAACCTCCTTTGTCCCTATTGCCTTGCCTTCTGCTATTGCGCTACTAGAGTTGGTCGTTACTTTCTTCCGTTGTGTACTTTTCATACTTTTACTTTTTCTTTGAATTCTTGGCATATACTGCCTATAGTCACTCTCAGGCACAAGGCAAAAAGACCGGTTAGCTTTCGACATTATAACAGCACTTCTTCCTCAACGACCCGTGTGCCAAGCCAGCCAAAAATGCTCGAAACCGCCCTCCCCGACATGAATTCGTCACTAGAGAGCTCCATATCTTATGTACGCCTTGACATTACTATCTCCATCAAGAAAGGATCTTGCTCTATGTAAAGAGCTTTGTTGGTTAGGGCTAGTAGGGTGAATTATTTGCACAGGGAAAGCAACCGGGGATGCAGGCCCAACCGAATGAAATCAGGCCCAGGCATCCTGAATACCTAGGGGGAACGTCAGAATACAATCTGTATTCCTGCTGATAGGACAAGCTGCAGCACTGGGTACTTTCGATATTCTGTGGAAATCTCGGAACCCTGAAACTCCAGAGAGGTAGCCGAGTAAATGTTCCATTGGAGAGATTTGATATCTACGCCTCATTGACTAAACGATTGGATGGGTCCACCCAGTTAGTGGCTTTAGAAATCAAACCTGATCATGATCAGCCAAGCTGCACACTTTCCGGAACTGAACTTATGGTTACCCATCTATAAAAATCAGGGCATGTGGTGAAGGCGGTAATATTGGCAATGACCGCAATGCAGGTGACAATAGATTGCCCACGGTGATTGCCACGGTGACGTGATGACTGCAGATTAAGTGACATCGAACCACCTCATCCCGAGCTAGACTCAAAGGCCAAAGATCTCCAACCCACCCCAATGTGTTGGCCTCTAGCCTGAGCACTCTCTAGACAATCATCTACACCACACACTCATGAGCTCCACCGCCTTGATATATTCCCGTTTTCATTTCGGGGTAATCCACCCCCACTATGACATCTGCACCTCCATGGCCTCTCCCGATCCACTCGGCTACGTCCGCTCACCTCCTCACTCCGCCCTACTAATGCCTTCACCTCTATACTACCTCGCCATCACATCTCCCTCCTCACCCCGAGCTTGCCTTCCGTCTACAGACCACCTTCGCCTCTCCTCTACATACCTCCCTCCTTCTACTCCACCTCCACCGCTTCTGCTCTACCACCTATCTCCTAAACACACATCACATCCTCACCACCACCGCGGAACCCCCATCCGGCAGCCACTTGCCACTACCACCGACCCCAACACCTCCCCCGTTTTAGCCACAAACTGATCATTTCCACCCTAGCGCCTTGGCGTCGAACGAGTGATGAAATATGACTAGCTAGCAGGAAATAAGACGCGACGTAGTATGCCGCGCCGCGCTCTGTTTTGTGTGGTAGTTCTGACTTTTTTATGGACAACCCAGAATGATGGGGTAGGGGAGGTAAGATTTGAGGCTACGGTTTTGGGGGGGCGGATAATGACTGGGATAGTTGGATAGCGGGTACTAGTGGTAGAAATTTGTCCGCAAATGAGCGGGTAGGTGGGTGTCTAAGTAGATCGGTAGCTATCAGGAGAATTATGTGGAAATGTGATGGCCAGCACCGGTTGTGAAATTCCTGTATTTTGCGAATCAACTCTACATGCTACAACAAATACGGTATATTATCACTACTATGGCTGGGTAGCAGGCTGATGAACCTTGTTGGAACCGTACCAAGATCTCCAGCACTCTGCTAATTCAAAAGGTACCTGATTCAACAGGCGGTTTACAGGTAGATGGTATTAATCAAAATAACTAGTCATAGGTCGACGTTTGCAACTTCACATCAAAAAAAGAGCAGGAAAATTAAACAACAAAAGAATGGCATAAATTAACTACGTGAACAAAAAAGATAACTACAAAGAAAAAAGAAAAAAGGTGTCCAGAGCTCTAATCCCCCCTCCTAAACCTTACTACCGCCACGCCGCCCTCCTGCACCACCCCCGTGCCCACCTTCACCTCCTCGGCCACGCTCCTCACGCTCCACTTATCCCTCCACGCCCCCAGCCCGCCACTCACCTCATCCCTCTTCACGCCTCCACCCATCACATCCACCTCCGCCCTCACCCCCGCCTCCAAGCCCACCAACATCCCCGCCACCGCACTCCCGCCCATCCACCCGCCCCTCCCCACCCACGTCCCCCTCACCACCGCCACCAGCAGCACAAGAACACCCAGCCACACCCCCGCCGGCCACGCAAACCACGCCCACCTCGCCACCATCCAGCTCTCCACCACCAGCGTCACGCCCTCCACGCCCGCCCCCTCATTCCTCACCGCAGCACTCATACTCCCCGTCACATTCGCCATCACACCCGCCAAATCCGCCGTCAGCAGGTCCACATACAGCCCCTGATGCAGCGCCGACACCTCTCCCGGCCGCGGCTCGGCCGTCAGCACCGTCGCATTCCCACTCAAACTCACCGCCAGGCCCATCCCCATCGCAAACAACGCAGCTGTGGAGACGTTCGTCTTCCCGCTCGCCGCAATGGGGAGCGGGCGGTTCAGCAGCTCGTCCGTGATCTCGCTGAGCTGCGGAACCGGCAGCGCGAAGGAGTCAACAGAGGTGCTATTCACCAGCGTCTCGCTGTACGTCCCATTCACCACCTGCGCTTGATACGCCTGCTCACAGAACCGCAGTGCACACACATACCCGCGTGCCATGTGCGAGCCGCCCTCCGCCACATACCCAGGCGCAATGGGGAGGTTCTGTGTTGCCGCGGCGGTCGCGTTATCCTGCTGTATATACAGCGCCGTCAACACGATCCTGTCGGCAGGTATAATGACGGTGTTTCCAGCGACAGTAGAATTCGCGCCCTCGGCGTTGGCGGAAAGGAATGTTGTTCCGCCGCCGGCGGAGGTGGCGTTGTAGGTGTATGTGCACAGCTGGCCGGAGGTGAAGCATGTCGCGCTCTGGCAGTACCTGTTCTTGGTTGTGAGGGTTGTGCAGTTGCGGGTCAGCTGGTCCGTGATGTCGTCGCAGGTGCTGCACACGCCGACGGAGGTTGCGGCCGGGTATGTGCAGTTGCCCGAGGCGCAGGAGTGGGTCGTGGTGACGGGGTCGCCGAGGAGCGCGGAGGTCGCGCCCCAGAGGAGGGCGCGCGGCGTGGCGAGGATCAGGCCACGGGAGAAGCCCCGGGTGGGCGTGTATGACGGGTTGGAGGAGAGGCGGGCGGGGGTGGCGGGGGTGGCGGGCACGCTGCGGAGCTCGTAGCTGGTGAGTTGTTGGATGGCGGGGTCGAGGCCGAGGGAGAGGAGCATCAGGGCCGCGCCAAAGTGGACGAGCAGGCTAGAACATATCAACATCAGCAGAGTCCCCACTATCAAATCACCATATCGAATCCAACTCACCCCCTCCGGAATTTAAAGATCCACCCCACCGCCCCAAACACATCCCTCCCCGCACCTCCAATACTCTCAAAATCCGCCAGCCTCCTCGGCCGCTCCGCAAACAGCACCCACCGCATCTGCCCAATACACTCGGCGAGCGGCCACATCAATGCCACCTTCGCCACGGCGGCCAGCCACGCCAGCACGGCATTCAGCGTGACGGCCGTGGACCAGCCCGAGACTATGTCCGTGTGGAACGTCTGCGCCGGATTGTTGTCAAAGACCCACACCACGAAGGCCGTCATGCCGAGGGCGAGGGCGGAGACGCCGAGGGCGAGGAGCTGCAAGAGAAGGGCGCGCCATGGAAAGCGGCGGGGGAGGGCGGCGTTGGAGTGTGGTGGTTTGGGTGGTTTTGGGGGGCGGTGGGCGGTGGGCGAGGGCGGCGTGTAGACGAGGCCGTTGTAGGCGGGGGGGAGGTCGGCCTCGGTTTTGGTGGGTGGGGGGGATTTGAAGAAGATGTTGACGGCGAGTTTTTGGAGGGTGCCGGCCATTGTGAATAGTGTGGGGAGTGTCTCGCCGGGAGAGGAGTGTATTAATTGATTAGCTGTGAACTATATCACCGTCTCGCGGGGAATATCGAAGGCTGTGAAAAAACCAGAAGAACAGTAACGAAGAGAAGAACAGTAAAACAGAGAAGCAAAGAGGCACCGTGGGTATAAGAAGAACCAAGGGGGCCAGTGACTGTCACGACACAAATACCATCTCGTCTGAAACAGCGACAGCTCTCACTTGAATGGAACGCACGGCACCCTCACTCATCCCATGCACCCCCCTCCAGGTCCCATATAGCTGTGATATTCGAATTTGAATAGAATGGCAGCTAATCGCCCTTCCCCCAGAGACACCTAAAATTAACCAATCAAGACACCCTCAGGGGCTGCCGTGACTCCCGATTGGACGCACAACCGCTGGCGCTATCATCCCTGGGCAACGAACCATTAAACAGTTCTGTCTTTGATTGCGCATTCCCTTCCCTTCGAGAGTTCAGAACACACGCCCACTGGTATGTACAGTCGATTCTTGCAGTACTCTAATCGTATATATATCAGCCATTCTATTGCCCACTTGTCCTCAATCTCTGTGTCGTCGTCGTCGTCCTCCCAGCTCACCCCCCACATCTCACAGAATCAAAACGTTACAGCGGTCCCTTGCAGATTCTACCCCGTCCGTGTACTCCCTGCGTGCATGCAGCCAGCTAAGCGCCGCCACCACCACCATCTGGATATTCGGTGCCGAGACATATATTAATAACGACAAGCTTTATGATCTGATCTCGGGTGCATAGGATAGATTACACTGGGCCGTACTGTGGTCCACGCTGGCTGGTGACGCTCTTGGCTCGTGCGGCACTGTTACTATTCAGCCCTTCCCTTCCCTTTCGGGTGGGTAATAATTGCGCCGTGATATCGAGACTTCACCACCGCAGAAAGGAGAACAGATTATCCTCAGTTTCCCCTTCAAATTCACATACATCCTAGCGACACAAACAACCCCGCCCGAACATATCTTCCTTATCCACCGTTCCGCGCAACATTACGGTCCCAAAAATAGGAGACAATGCTAAGCTTTCCCTTCTCTTCCCGTGCACACACCCATGGCATGACGTGACGCGTCGCCGAAAAGCTTACCGCCGACGCTAGGCGTCACGGAGTGTCACTCGGGAGCTAGGGTGCCGAGTACCCGCACGATCGATCGTGATAGGACGAGGAGAGAGAGAGAGAGAGAGGTAACGGTGTCCAGGAATGTGTAACGCACCGTCTTACCAAAAAGGATCTGCACACGATATCGATGTCTGGCTTACGTTTAGGCACCAGGGAAAGGCGACGACGACGTTAGTGTGTTCGTTAGGGTGCTGTTGCCTGGCACATTGATTTAACATATATGCTTCTTCTGTCTACGGAGCATATATAGGTCTAATGAGTTGAGGTCGCGGAACTCTAGCACTGAGTTGGGACGGCGCTGAAAAAAGTACAGCAGTGAGTGAGGGCATACTAAAGTAGGGTTAGGGCTTAGATATAACGTTTATTCACGATACGCGCAATCAAATTTCACGCAATATCTCCGTTTTGATGCGTAATACAGCCAAAACACGACTTTTACTAAGCGATTGGGTATCTACATATGCCTCCTAATCGGTGCCTGGAGTCTAATTGCGCGTAGATTACATACCAAATTATTGTGCAAAAGAGCCTTACCTACCAATAATACTGCCTACATTAACGTCAGAACGGGTATTTCTATAAGGCTGAGAGGCAGACGGAAAGTCTTATTTAGACCTTATGTCTCAAATAAGCCTAAATTTGGGCTGTTTTGGGCATATGTGTGACCATCGGCCAGGACTAGCTACAAATAAGGCTTATTTATAACCGTTTGTAGAATTAATATTACCGATTCACTAAGAATTATGCAAATTCATAAGGTTTCATAAGTTAGGGTTACAAGTAGGCACTTAGCAAATATCAAGCCGTCTACGCCTACTCATCTCCATCAGCAAGCTAGCATCCACCTCCGTGGGATTGCCCCTTTTTCCAGAGGTTGATGCCAGGTCAACTAGTCTCCCTACCCCTCCCATATCTCCTCACCACCTCGCCTAATCCGTTGAGCCTCTGGAGTAACCTGGCACTCTCTGGAGAACTCTCCACCTCAATTTCTTCTCTTGAGTCTCTCCCGCTTCCTCTTTAACCAGGCTTCTTGTAATGGGGGCAGCCTTTCTGTGTATTGCTAGAATCCAATAGAATAGATACGGCCATGCAAGATAGAAATCAGGTTGCAGGTTATTTAAAGATACTATCACTAGAACTCAATAATCTTTAAGGACTCTGCTTCAACGTAATACTCTAGATAGCTTCTCGCTGGCTTTCTGAAGATGAGGAAAAACCGGACAGTGGGGCAGAAATGGCCCTGAGTACTTATACTCAAAAGGACTCTATTCTCTGCCCCTACTACTTTACTAAGTTCCAGCAATGCCTTCTGGTGGAAGGGAAGCAATACCACTGCTACCCCACTTCTCTCTAAGCGTCAGCGAGTGCTTTCAGCTCCGAAGGCAACCATCCTTAGTGAAAGCCTTTGTAACACATGCAGCCTTGGTTGCCATACAACCGGGGCCTGTATGAATGAGCTGCCGCTCAAGTGTAAGTTTAGTGATTGCTGTCACGGTAGAGCTTTTGCTTATTGTAGATATCCCAAGCATAGTCCCTACCGCTACCGGCACTGGCAGATTTACAATGCTCAGAGGATTCCGAGAATCGCTGAGCATTTGAAGCTTCACTCTGGCCGGTCTTCTAATCATTGGCAAGGCATAAACTCATCAGTTAGTACTCTCATGAATAGATCCTTTTCCTAGTAGCGCTCAGAATATAGTTACTCTCAGAGTCCTGTAGTAGAGACTCAAGTTATTGAAACCTTATATCTTAAATATGGCTAAATCTGGCCTGTTTGGGTATAAGTATGACTGTTGCTTAGGAGCTTGCATAAATCACGCTTTATTAAAGTTTTTCTTGTTAATAAGGCCCACCTAAAGAAAAGAATTACTTTAACGTCAGAACAGGTATTTGTATAAACCTATAAACAGGCTAAAGTAAGCCTATAAAAAATATTAGTATGTTTTAAATAAGACTTAGTCGTCCGTCACGGTTTAGGCTCTTACAAGCCTACTATTTTTTTAAGCTTTATTAATACAAAGGCTTATGATACTTTATAAGGCTTAATTTGACATTATATATATCGATGGCCGCCCGCCTTCCCCGCCCCCTTCTCTCCACTCCGTGTCTACTCACCTACCTACCTACCTACCTACCTACTTACCTACCTACCTCAGGCTGCCTGCCTGCCTGCCTGCCTATGCCTGCCTATGCCTGCCTACACCTACCTACACCTACCTGCATATCTTCACGCCAACCCACCTACTCGCCTACCCACATACCCACCTACCCGCCTACCTGCCTGCCCATTAACTTCAATTGTTTGAATTTGATGCTCGATTTGGTGCTGTATTTGATGCCGTATTTGGCGCTATATTCGCTGCTGCTGCTGGATTCGCTGCTGCTGCTGGATTCGCCGCTGCTGCTGGATTCGCTGCTGCTGGATTAATCGCTGCTCAATTTATTGATTAGCTCCCACTTTGATAATAACGGTGATGGTGATTGTGGGGGGGAAAAGGGGGGGGGGGGGGGGTAGATGCTACAGAGGTAGTAGAAATGATGGAGATGAGTAGGCGTAGACGGCTTGATATTTTCTAAGTGCCTACTTGTAACCCTAACCCACAAAACCTTATGAATTTGCATAATTCTTAGTGAATCCGAGTCGGTAATACAAACTCTACAAACGGTTTTAAATAAGCCTTATTCGTAGCTAGTCCTGGCCGACGGTCACACTTATGCCCAAAACAGCCCAAATTTAGGCTTATTTGAGTCATAAGGTCTAAATAAGACTTTCCGTCTGCCTCTCAGCCTTATAGAAATACCCGTTCTGACTTTAATGAACCTAAGATTTGTCTCAAAATAACGCTTTTGCTCAGGTAAAGGCGTATATATGCCTTATTTGGGACGGAGTATTACCGTGCGATTTGGAGGTTTACGCCAAATAATGCTAAAACCACCCTTTTTGGCCCCAAAACGCTTATATAAGCCTTCTTCCCCAGCAAATCGTGATTTGAGACTTATTTCCTTACCAGTACCGGCGTGAAGGTATGATGGAACATGAAGTACGGTGGCTCGTAACTAGCAAAGTGCAATTAAAGGCGTGTTTGGCGGACACGGTAGTAAAAAAGTCTCGTTTAGAGAAAGCGATGTTAGCAAGTGGTAAACTGAGAAATGTGGTAACAGAGGGTCTAAACGGGTTTTGCTATCAGGCAAACTTGCCCATGTCGGGTCGGGGATGCAAAGTTACCTCCCACTAATCGTAAAGTATCCCTCCGTTCGACACATACCAAGGCACGGCATTACTACCATCGAAGTCCCCCAGTACACCTCCTCTACAGTATTCCCTGCTACAGTACGACCTTCTCGATGCCCTACAGCAGCGCGCTCTCTGGCTGTGCGACTCCACATTAATCATAGAATATCACTCGACGCACTCACCCACTGGACGCCCCTTATGAACTAACTACCTCTCAGAGTTCCGCCCAGTATACGCTATTACTGTATGTACAGCCAGTCATCAAAAGTGTTTGTGATTCGGATTTAATGTGACATGTCCGGCTCAAGTCAGGAATCAAAGTGCCCATTGAAATGTTCAAAACCTTAACACAGCAACAACGGTCAATGGTGGTCAAAGTCAATATTAGACATTCATGTTATTTTTATTCTCTGTCACTCACTAGATACAATTATGTATATAGATACATTTTAGTTGCTCAACTTGACCGTAAAATCGGGTAAGCCACACCACGCACTGACCAACGTTGATATGAATCACGAACACTTTTGATGAGTGGCTGTACGACCCTATCACCCTCTAGAGGCATCACGCCGCGGGCCCAAGACCAACACCGCACCAAACACCAAATCTATGCCTGACCTGGGTAGAAATTCGAAATTCCAGGACTTCCAAGAGGTTGCGATACACTATACTATGAGAAAACCTCGCCCTTGTTGATTACAGTCGCTTTTGGGAGCCGCATAGACCCCTGACGATTCGTGACACCCTTGCACGATTCGCGCCACTTTTTTTTTTTATTTTTTTTTTTTAAATCATCTGAGAATATGTAACTATCGCATAAAGTATCAACTGCATGTATGGCGTTATAGTGACTTGTACTTGTATGGTCCGACACCAAGACACTCCCCCCACAACAAAATAAAATAAAATAAAATAAAATAAAAAGACTTAATGTCAGACCGCCACAGAAGCTACATCTGGGCCCCACAACCGGAGGCAGTGTAATACCGGTAGAGCGAGGACCTCGGCCACTACATTTCGGCTAGGTTTGTACATACAGCGTGAGGTAAAATTATTGTAGAAGTATGGGAAGAGTCCTATTGGCTTGCCCAGCCATAGAAACCCTGTTTTTAGACCCCTGTTTCTACAATAATTTTCCCTCTTGCTGTATGTATGTACTCTATTCTGTGCCTGAAGATCATACGCAGGAACCGCCTTGGCGACGCATGCAGGGGTACTCTAGTGACCCATCACGTGAGGCGGGAGTGACGCCGTTGTGGTGTTAAGAGACTCCTACCAAGCAATTGATTCAGTACCTCCACACTAAAGGTGGAGGGCATGTATAGGAAAGCATGTATATCCTGGCTGAATGGTTTATTGACAGACGCGACTCCTACCCCACCACGCCCAAGAACGAATAAAGGCTACCTTCGGAGAGGAACAATCGTGACTGATTCAATACCTCCACGCCCAAGAACCAATAAAGGTTACCTCTGAAGTTTAGGCTAAGCGAGGCCGAGACTCCGTGGGCGCGAGACAATTGGGCTCTCCAGGGAAGGTGGGTGTGTGGTAGAGGAGAGGCTCTGCTGGTGAGGCTCTGCGGGTGTGTGTAGGGGAGCGTACCCTATCATAGCAAGCCTGAATACTGTCTTTATCTGTGGAGGTGGGCTGGCAGTTGTCGAGGTGCTAGGTCATCATCATCTAGCAGAGCCCCATCTTATCTTATCTCAACCTTACACGACAGTGGCCAACCTCCAGGAGAGCATCCAAGGACAGATATTAGCAACACCTTTCCTAGAACAGCTAGAACTGATAATTACATGTATTCCACTCTCCTGTATAAAAACTTATCCCTTATATTCATTAACTACTAAGTCTTGGATCTGATGGCTTCCCCGGCCAATCCTTGCGTGCACGTACTCTCCCAACTTTCAGCATCGACGGACGTCCGCAGCGACCCCGAGCCCAGAATCCCCACAAAGCCCAAATCCACCACCTTTAGACACCCAGGCTATCCCGATGGCCACGATGTCATGTTTAGTCTACAAGCCCTTGACCGTGTGATAGTTTCCAGCCAACCGCAATCCGATGAAGTACCTGTTTGGGGCATCCATCACCGGACCGCTGTCCAGGCTTGTTCAATTGTTGCCTGCAATGTGTCAGGTGTTTTGTCATCATGTAGGCTGGATGCCGATGTCCCGGCCCCTGCCACTGATATTCCACCTGACGCCGTCCTGACAGCCCCGCGTACTGGTTCTATCCCTCTACTTGGAGGGTGGGCAATCTTGCGTATCCCCTGTGTCCAGACTTTGAAAATTGGCGGTTCCCACATACCAATATTCCGCCGAAATGGCTTGTTATGGAGGTAGGTTGAATGATTTATGCTTCATCTGACACAGGCACGAGACTGATCCCCAAAGTAGTCGGATGAATTTGAGGGGAGTCCTCCTGCACCGTAAGAGTACTCTCGCGCCGTCAACGAGCTAGATCATTCATGCCGCATCTCGCGCTTTGTGGAAATAACACAAGTTGCTTATCTGGTCCCAAAAGACGAACGCGATTGGGTACGCACTCTTACACAAATGCATCTTCACCGCTAACATCTTCAAGTTTGACTGAAATGAAATGCACCTCTACAATCTCAACAGCACCCTCACAACCCCTTACAGGACATCTGATATCCGCAACTGTCTCCGTCTGAGACAAGACCTCCACACATTGTTTGACACGGGTGCCTTTGCGTTTGTCCCCAAGGAGGGTAAGATTGTTATCCACTTTCTGACAATGGGTCTCAACTACTGCAAGACATTTCACAACCGAGCTACAGAATCCCTCATGATGCATCCCGCGTTTATTTACGCCCGCTTCGCGTGGGCCATCCTTCCGCACGCCACGAGTTTTACATCGAAAAAGAGCACCAGGATAACGGTGTTTAATGAAGAAACTGAGAGGTGGGAGGTTACAACCGCTGGGGAAACCAAGAAACCAGTAGCGGCTATATCCAAACGGCGTAAGCATCAAGCCGGGGGGGCAGCTGGACAAGAGGTGGCAGATGCGGAATGCACAATTGACGCCTTGGACCAGCAACCAGCACGATCCAGGGTTGATACATTCCACAAGATAGGTACGTTTACTGCGGGCCATTTGCTGCAGTCGGCGCTGACGGATGTCTCTAGTTTCCTCTAACCCATCGTATGCATGGCATGCTCCCTACTGGCACCCAGAAACAGAACGATTCGACAAGTTACGGGAAAAGGCTCTCCAGGAACGTGAACCAGAATTACACCGCATGGAAAAGGAGAGACGGCGTGATCTATTGGGCCATGATGGAGCGCCGCTCCCGGATGAAGGGTGTTTCTCGTTCGATGATGATACCGAGGAGGAATTGGAATTTTACCGTGGGTAGCATTACAAGTGGTAGCGGAAAGAGTGAATTATGGAGAGAGGAGTGCAGCCTTCTGTATATACAAAGGAGTAGTTTCGTTCCTCTTCTTGAGCTGCTGTCAGAGCCGAAATAAACCAGCCGTAGTGCTAAAACAATGCCCGCCCTCGTAAAATTCTCATGCCGGGGGTCAAAATAACGCTTAATTTTCCAGCCGGAGTGCTAAAACCACATCCGCCTCTCATGTCGGAGTGCTAGAATATGCCCGCTCCCGTCTAAAAGAAACTTTATTTTGGTATGTAAAGTGAGAAGCGGACATATTTTAGCACCTTGACACGAGAAGCGGGCATGGTTTTAGCATTCCGGCTGGAAATCGATATTTTTTTACCCCCCGACATACAGTCGGGGTCCTTTCTCGACACTTGTCGGAAAGATATACAAGCTTCCAGACCCTACGGCAGCAGGCCGTCCCTATGGTATCATGCTGTCCGCAGGGGCTGAGCAAGAGACTACAGTACATGTATTTGGACCACATGTATGGAACAAAGAAAACACCACGCCCAACAAGGAGATTGTCGCGCACCCGCACTATGAACAAAGAAGTGTACGCTAGTGCGATGATGAAGTATGTATGTATTTCTGTCATGGACATGGATTGTGTGTACCGCGTTACCTGGCAAGAGACTCTAAGGAAGCCAGGGATATGCAATAATCTAACATTAGGCCCGCACTTGATCAACGCTAGATCATCATTATCCTGGGCTCGTACCTTTTGTAAGTAAAGGCTGCCGTACTCATCCACAATCTTCGGGCTATATCAAATAATCATAATTGAGCCAATCAAATATCATTACAGCGATTCACAGTCATTTGGCGAATACCCCCGTTTGGCGAACAGGGATTAAGGCCAATAAGAATCAAGATATCTTAGTCAAACTCGAGGGTTTACTGGTTGCTGGCTGGTTGCTACATACAAATTCGCCAAATGGGGGTATTCGCCAAATGCCTGTGAATCGCTGTACTTAATAATATAGACAGAAATATTCTAATAATTTGAGTTGTAGTTATGAGTATACAGATGTAATTATTTCCTAATAACGTATATCCCCATCAGCTCTCCATCTAAATAACAGTCCAACCCATGGAAACCCGATGACAAAAACCTCTTAATAAACCCAAAACGAATGAAACCTACAATACCATACTTTTAACCATTCTGTAAGCAAACTAGGATGCCGAGTGGCAAAAGGAATCATGGTCGGATAACTAGCCAGAGGTAATCCGCCGGTATTATTACCCATTTACGTTTTGATCACTCCCACTCGAGAAATGTTTCACATCCACCACAGCTATCTCTTCTTATCCCTCCACCGCCAGCTCCAGCGGTTCAACGGGTTTTGATTTCGCATGATGGAGTCATTTAGCATAATGCTTTTTTGTGTCGTCCCCCAGCGGAAGCCGAAGAGCAACCCGAGCATGTATCTCTCTATGCTAATTTCGAGTATCGCAATGTTTCTTGGATGGCTAATAGTCTTTGGAGTCGTCAATGGTAATGAAATCACCAACCTCGGGCTGCTTAAACAGGTATAAACAGTAATTATCTTTGAAAATTATTTCTAAGCCGGTCAGTATGTGACCCCACAGCTGATCTCCACCGCCTCACCACCCCCAGGGCAGAACACGCCCACGGCACTTCAATTATGCAGGACATCGTTCTCGATGCGATAAACCATCCCCTATTAGGGTCTCGGTCGAACGCACTTGGCCGGAATCATAATCAAGGCTCAAACCACCTCGTATTAATGAATTAAACAAAAAAAAAATTTAAACCACCTCGTGATCATTTCCGAGTGCCGAGTGATAAACTATGATTAACAGGCACGAAAACCAGCCGCCAAAAAGGTTGCGCGAAGCCCTTTGGGTGCCTCACAGATGATGACTGTAAGCTCACTGAGTGGCGTTGTGTATGCTAGACGTAACGCGGGCGCTGATTTAGTGGCAATTGCCGTCATTAGAGATCACTCGTCGTTATGTCTGGCAACGCGATCACGTGATAGACGTCTCCTTTTTTGTTTAATTCATTAATTGCATGTGATAGACGGTCTCCTTGTTTATGTATGATTGACGACCCATTTTGTGGGCTGATCTCGTTTGATCACCTAGTCTAAGATACCATTTAATACTAATATATATTTCCAGACCAGGCGGGCTCTTGATCGGTCCGTGTTCAACGCCAACCCCAAGCACACCGGGTCGGGGTACCCTAATATTGAATGAACCAACGCGGCTTCAACCAGAGCGTAATAGTGGAACTGCCTAACTGTCTAAAACACGATGCAGATGGTACTAAGCAGTCGTACTATAGGTTTTCCAACCAAGCTACCCGCTTATCTGCGACAAAAGGCTACCAAAAAAAAGGGGGGTCGTTGTCGTACCACGATCAATCGGGACAGAAGTAATACTTGCCTCCTAGATCTCTGGTTTCAGCTCGGAGGTATTAGTAGATACTTTTAAGTGTCTAAGACATGATCCACGTGGGAGTAGCCGTTGTGTTATAGGCTGTCCGACCAGATGGCCCGTGGTCATTGCAGAGAGAGATGAGCAAAAAAGGGGCCGTTTCTGTATCACCAACAATCGGGACACAAGGAGTAACCATTCCCAGACCCGTGGTCTTAGTCGGCCACTATATGTGGTAAAACTTCCGATTAGCTGACAACCATTCCCAGAATCCGGTTCTTGGGCTCACCAATCGCAGCAGCCACAAGCATCCACACAGCCCTTCCTACCCGGGTCCATGGGAGGTGTCTTAATGTGTCTAACACGCTCCTACCATCGAATTCCCCACATGAATTCCCGCTAAATCTCCCAAGGTATCTTCCGACTCAAGCATTCCTGTAGGCAAGCCCAAGTAAATAGTTACCCCGCAATCACTTTCAAAAAGAGTGATTAGTAGCAACTGGATTCGTCAGCGATCCCAGTTATTACTAACCAATCGGCTTCTTCCCAGTAGTCTTTTACTCATGGGTGGTGTGCGTCTAGAGTAGTGCACGTCCTTCGATGACTGCGAGGACTGGCAACGTGAGACAATCGAGATCTTGTCATATTATCGGGGTCCAAGCATTGTCTATTCTGGAAGCGAGTGCTGAGCTAGCATGAGAACTTCCCGACCCAAGATCTGGCGTCCTTCTCTCGTTTTCAGAAACATGGGGTGAGAGTGGGGTGATGGTGGGGAGACGTTGATTGTGATAGGTCGTTGGACAGCGTACCTTGAGCTTCCTTTCATTCGTCCATTCAGAATTTTCTTTCAGGTCATATGACTCGCACTAGGTGACCGGGGGACCGCCCATGCCAAATCCTATCTTATCAGGGCTCGAACGAACCAGCCAATGAGCGGACCCAATTAATTAATCTCTAACGGACCAGGTGCGCGACTGGCCATCCATGCACACAGTATTGCGAGATTCGCGAGCAGATTCCCAGCCCCAGGCCCTGATATATCCCAGACCCTGTTGCACCAGTACCAGCATCGAGTTTTGCGGGGTAAGTAGCAGTGACTTCATATGTACCTGTCCTATAGCACGGATATTATAGGAATTATTACCGCAGCTACCCGTGTTGATGTACCCTTGATCTTGGATCTAGCAATTCACAAGTGAAACGTCCCACACGAAATCAATAAACCAGATGAAATGTCCCCAATTAACACCCCGAGTGAGTATTTATGACGCCGGTCTTGGCTTTGCTCGCACACGCACACACACACCCAGACCCAGATCTCCAACTATCCATCCCAACAGCCAAACCAACGCTTCGTCATTCCCTGAAAACCTGGGTGCCTGGCAGCTGACGCGATGAAACGATGACGTGAAGCTGCATCCCCGCAATGATCATTGGTGATCACTCAAATACCCTGGATCATCTAGAGTACATGTAGCTAGTCGTCGATCAACCTTGCGCGATTGGGTATGGTGCTGCCAAGATGGCGGAACAACTCATCGGAAGAGCTGTCGGTAAAGTAGAGTAACGCGGGAAGGGAAATTCGCCGAACGCTAGCCTGTGCAGCTTAGAGCAGGTTTTCAGAGAGGACAAGATTGAGCATGAGAGGCTAAGAATTCGTCAGTCTCTGTTGCAATTGTAGTCATGCGTAGAAGGGGAGGAGTTCTGTGAGGGGGGATACCTGGGGGTGTCTGATGGTCCGCATCGGTTAGGGGATGATGTAGACGATGTAGACGATGTAGATGAAGTAGATGATGTACCTATGTAGTATACTCCTGTCGAGGGATAGTTCCCAGAGCTGCCCTGCATGCAAGATGTTGGCAGCACGGGTCAGTCAGAAGAGAGATCTGCACCGCCAAGCCCCACCACCCTCTGACCCCTGCTCCATGCCGCCAACCAAAAAAGCTGCAGCTCCCTCGGACACACACACACACGTGAGCTTTCCCCACAATTGATTGCTGTTCAGCCTCACCCCCACCATCCCCGCCATCGACATCATCACAATCTGCCCCCCAGCTTCACAAACACTTTGCATCATCAGAGGGGCAGCCAGTTTATCAGTGGGCAATTCCCCCCCCTCCTCAGCAACAGCTTGACAGGTATTTAGAATCGTTCTCTTGCTGTTGACTTTGTTCCCATTTACACTTGCACTTTCTTACATTCTATTAATCTTGCGCTTCCATACATTTTGTTGCTCTCGGCATTGCCCCTCCTCCCAAATACATCATTTCAGCCAGATATTCATCCTAATACTACTACATAGAAACCTATTGCAGCTATACTTTCATCCTAACGCTAATTCTCCATCACAGAACCCCCCCCTCATCACTACCTCTACTGAGACCCCATCATAGCTACACCCACCACACCCACCATGGCCCCTTCACCCCCCACCTCCATCTCCGACCTCCAAACCCTCATCCTCACCCACCCCCTCATCGACAACCACGCCCACAACCTCCTCCGCAGCACACACACCTCCGCCGCCCCCCTCGAATCCATCACCACCGAAGCCTCCGGCCCCGCCCTCCCCGACACCCTCCACACCCTCTCTCACCACCGCGCCGTCAAGCAGCTCTCCACCTGGCTCGGCTGCGACCCCACCTGGTCCGCCGTCAAGACCCACCGCGCAACCCTTGACGAAACCGAGTGGGCCAGAAAATGCTTTGCGGGCACCCAATGCATCCTCATGGACGACGGTCTCGACGAAGACAGCGTCGAGCCCTTCGCCTGGCACGACCAGTTCACTTCCAGCGGCACACGCAGAATCGTCCGCATCGAGAAAGTCGCCGAGACAATCCTGCAAAAGTACTGTGTCGAGCTGCCGGAGGACCTCAAGGAGATCTCGAGCGTGGGCCCAGAGATCTTCAACAAGTGGGCGACCGAGTTTGCCGCCGTCATGCGCGCGGCGCTGAATGATCCGAAGGTGGCGGGCTTCAAGTCGGTGGTGTGTTATCGCAGCGGGCTCGACATCAGCCCCGAGGAGACCCAGGCGGGGCCGCTGATGGATGCGTTTGCGGCGGTGCTGCGCAAGGCGAGGTGTGCGGCGGGGGCGGGCGGGTTTCGGATTAGGGAGAAGGTGTTTAATGACTTTTTAGTGAGGGAGATCTCGAGGAGCATTACGCAGCATGAGGAGAAGAAGCCGTTGCAATTCCATACGGGGCTGGGTGATAATGATATCAATCTGCTGAAGGCGAATCCTGCGTGAGTATTGCCCTCCTCCTCCGGGATATGTGCGTGTGCTGATGAGAGGTAGGCATCTACAAGCGCTTATAAAAGCGTATCCAGAGGTGCCGATGGTGCTGCTTCACTCTGCGTATCCGTACACCCAAGAGGCGGGCTACCTTGCGTCTGTCTACAAGAACGTCTACCTAGACTTTGGCGAAGTCTTTCCCATGATCTCACAAGACGGTCAGAAGACTGTAATCAAACAGCTCTTTGAACTAGCACCCACCAACAAGCTATTATGGAGCACTGACGGTCACTGGTTCCCCGAAACCTACGCTCTCGCAAACTCTCAGATGCGTGAAGTCCTGAGCGAGGTGCGCCCCCCACCATCGTTCACCACATCGCAGTTTCTGACCAAACAAAACAGGTACTAGTCAAGCGTGTAATAAAGGGGCAAATCACGCTCGAGCAGGCCGCCGACATCACCACCAAGCTCCTCTTCGACAACTCCAACGCCCTCTACAAGCTCAACCTCACCCCCACCGACCCCAGCAACAACCCACCCCTCGCCGGCGACTCCCCCGCCTACGCGCACCCCGAAGTCCACCTGCTCAACAAGTTCCTCTCCAAGCACCCCAAAGTGCGCTTCTTCCGTCTCGAATGGCTCGACTACACCTCGACCATGCGCCTGCGCGTCGTCTCCGTCAAGCAGATGAAAAAGATGGTCGAGAAGCGCTCCTTCCTCGAGATCACCTCGGCCTCGCTCTCCATACTGCAGGACGATAGCCCCACCGACGACTTCAAGCACTGCGGCCAGCTTATGGTCATCCCCGACTGGAGCAGCCTTCGCAGCTGCGAAGGCTACGCCCCCGGCCACGCCAGCGTCATGTGCTTCCTCCGCGACAAGCACCCCTCCCACCCCGACGGCCTCGAAGTCGACATCTGCCCTCGCACCGTCCTCGCCAAAGCCGCACGCCGCGCCAAGGACGACCACGGCGTCGACTTCCTCGTCGGCATCGAGACCGAAGTCGTCTTCCTGCACCGGGACCCTGACGGAACCCGCGACCTCGAACCCATCAGCGGCATCCACGCATGGAGCACCGGCCGCGCCCTGCAAAACGAGAGCATGACCATCCTCATGGAGTGCGTCGAGGCGCTCGAGGGCAGCGGCGTCGAGGTCCTCCTCTTCCACCCCGAGAGCGCCGACGGCCAGTACGAGATCGTCACGGGCCCGCTGCCCCCGCTAGCGAGCATCGACACGCTCTACCACACGCGCGAGACAATCGTGCACATCTGCGCAAAGTACAAGATCCGCGCGACATTCCATCCGAAGCCCTTCCAAACACGCGCGGGGACCGCTGCGCACGCACACATCTCGATCTCGCCGCCAACGCGCGAGAATGAGGAGCATTTCTTCGGGGGCTTGCTGGAGAGCTTGAGGGCGGTCGCGGCGTTCACAATGCCAAATAACGCGAGCTATGAGAGGCTGCTGGACACGTGCTGGGCGGGCGGGACGTGGGTCGCGTGGGGTGACCAGAATAAGGAGGTTCCGCTCAGGAGGTGCTCCAAGGAGGATGCACACTGGGAGATCAAGTGCATTGATGGAATTGCGAACTTGTATCTCACCATGGCTGCGGTCATCGGTGCGGGCTGTCTAGGACTCAAGGCGAAGACCAAACTCCCAGGTACGGGCGCAAAAGGTAATACAATCAATAACACTCTCCCTCCACAGAAAACGAGAAACTAACAAGCCATAGATGACCCTTCGAAGATGACCTCGCGCGAACGAAACGGGCTCGGCATCGTCAAGAAGCTTCCAAAAGACCTAGGCGAGGCGCTCGATGCGCTCAAGGAGCACAAGAAGCTAAAGGAGTGGGTTGGCGTCGACGCGATGGAGAAGTATCTCATTGTAAAGAAGGGCGAGAGGGCACTCATGGAGACGATCCCGGCGGAGGACAGGCGAGAGTGGATGTTGGAGAGGTACTAGTTTGTAACTTTGTTGCGAGTGCTAAGTGCTAAGCATTGATTGGTATGATGTGATGATACCTCGGGGTGGGGGGAGTTATGATGGGCACTTTCTTTGTACCTACAATTAAGTATATATGTGTAGGAGTGCCATGTTTATTTCATTTCATAGTGTACATGTCTATAATATTTACTCTAACGATATGAATGGATAATGTCATATGTACATGTGTTTAGTATGTTTAAATTCATTCGGGTACATAATTGGAAGCCAGACAGTTTCGGTATTATTAAATTATTTGATTATGAATTTGCAAGAAGTAATCATGATCAGGGCACGTTCTCCCGCGCTATCTGTGCTATCTAAAGTTTCTCCACACTTTGCATGGGCTACGAGCCAACACTCCACTCTGCTCCACTCTGCTCCACTACGCCACACCACGCCACATGCGACACGGGTCCTGACTGACTGACGCAAGATGAGCAACGCAGCCATCTCGCTGGGCCCTGCTTGGGCCCTGGCGCAGCTCAGGGGAGACGAGACGGGAGGAGTGGGGAATGCGGCTCTTCTTCGGCTACTGCCGCGACACATCCGTGGACCGTGGCTTACCGCAATGCTGGGACTAATTAAAGCAAAAGTCGCTTGGGTTAGTGCAACAATCTTCGACTTGCTTGGCTTCGATCACACACACAAGACTGAAGAAATCTTAGACTGATATGAGCCCAAACCAAAAGTTGTAACACTTTTATTTATTTCAAAGAGTCATCTGGTTCTCGTGTTGCGCATACCAACCATCTATTCGCACATTTCCCCCTGGTGTGGATGGTCGCGTGCAGCTAGGGTGGGTCGCCAGCTTGGCTGCGCGCACTCTTGGGACCCTGCGAAATCAATTTTTCACATCGATGATGCCCATGGCCATTCCCCCCCCCCCCCCCGTGTTTGAGTAGCTGGTGCATCATGTCATGTCGCCAACGAAATTACTGTGTTCATCTAAATTCTGATGAATCGTCTTACAATCCTGTGTCTGAAACGTTCACCCCCCCGGGCAGAGATATATTCCAGCGCCCAAGCGTAGCCTGATAGAGCTTGTCGGGGTCGATATTGCTTTTTGTTTCTATTTCTGTTGTTTTTCCTGTGATCTTATTAATGTCATTTCGTGGGGATCCCGGTGTTAGGATCTTTCACGAAAACAGGGCCCTCCTGCCGTGATAGGGATTGAGGGGGGGGGGGTAAGTATCGTTGCCCAAAGTAGCTTCCCGGAAGGTAAAGCTTGGAATATTGATGCTACGTAAGGTGATTACTTTTTCGGGTGTCAGGGTATGGACTGTGAAGTAAATATTGCAAGTTGCGTGTCCTCTTTGGATAGGATTCACGCGCGCAAGCAGCGGGGTGGGTTGGTGGATAACGTAGGCAGACAAGTTGAAACTGATCCTGCCGGCGCGGGATTTAGACCGATGTTGAGTTGACTGATGCAGTCCTTTGAAATGAACAGTGCGCAGTGTCAATGAGGGGAAAAGAAGGGGGGGGGGGGGGGACGCGATATGAACGAATATTGTGGCGACTAGGTCTCAGTCAGTGTTGAAAATCTCCGAGGACTTGTGAGTACTCGCCTTCGTAACCGGAGCCCCAAGTACATGCGTGCTTGAAATGTGCCGAAGACGGTTTACAATGTCTTCGCAGGCGACGACGGAATTAATTATAAGGGCCGGGCGCAACAGAAACAACGATATCGGTATGTCCGTAGGTAGGGAGTAGGTATGACCGTATGGCGGTAAAAAAAAAAAAAAAACCCTCCACAGCATGTGGGATAATTGTAAGTTAGGCATCCATTCACACAATGTATTTACCTACGCATGCCAAGATGATATGACAATAAGACAATGTTCGGCCTTTATCATCGACTTGGGGGGCAGTCTTTCAGTCAGCTACCCCGCTCGGATCAAGTGGCTTGTGTGAGGGGGAATCTGCCTGCAAGCTGTAGCCTAGAGATGGTGGTGGTTAGGCAATAGCGTTCTGGGCGACAATCAAGTGCCGGGTCCGGGGCGTATTTTGCGCCGACGGTGTATGTGTGCTTCAGTTAAGACAGAGATTTGTAGGCCTAGGTCGTGTCTATATCAAAGGGTTTTATTATCAGTATCATGTTGACGCGAATGTTTCAGTGCCACGATAGAAGGATTGTTTACAACTCCCAGCAGGTAACAAGTACCCGGAAATTCACACCCAATCTGCAATTGCCATTGGAGTAGAAGTCAGAAATACACCAAAACCTTGCAGCTACATCCCCGGGTACTTCAGGCCTGTCGCGAGTACATGTTAACCAGCAAGTAGACTTAGAATCTGGCGTGAGGAGTTTGGTTGTCAGATAGTTTCGTATTGACACATGCGTAGATCTAGAAGCTGGAAGGTGAGATGAATTATGGGACGGGATGGTAGACGACAGCTGATGTGCTGCTCTCTTACCGGCAGCACTGTGGACCAGGACCAAGCTGTCTCGCCAAACTTTGAAACAGAAATATCTCCGCTTATAATTTACCGATTCCCTGGGCGATCGACGATACTCGCGAAGGAAAAATTGGGCAAGGTAGGAAGGCCGGAGCGAGCGCGAGCGCAAACAAAAGTCTAGAAAGAGAGGAGATGAGAGAAAGGAAGGAGGAAGAAAGTGTGTCGGGGACACGGTGGTTCGATGATCTGTTCCCCTCACTCTAGACTACATGTATGATTTAGATTTAGCAATGAGAACGGAACCTGCCGCGCTATACGGTAGGTTACTCGGCCATTTAACCATGTTAAAGGTTCATAATATAGTAAGGCTTGAAATTTTAGTCTTGCATAGCCACTCTAGAGCGCTGAGAGGCGTCGAGATTGAGAGGGACGTGTAGAGTAATTGATTAGTAGCTGGCGGTGAGCCTGATACTCTAAAGCTGTGGACCTTACGCTCGGGTACATATGTAGATGCATCTACCTTGGAGGTCTTATGGACAAATGAGAAGACACCCTTCGCGCAGCGATTTTCAATTACAGTCGCACCTCGCTATGTCGTATCTCGATATCCCGGATCTCTCGCTGTCTCGTACGAATTGGCCTGCTACTTGTTTTCCACACCAAAACCTATTTGCTATCTCGTATTTTGGCACTTTTCGGATCGTATGGAAAATTGAGAACAGATACCCCCTGTCTCCATACAAATAATATTTGCTATCTCGGATTTTTAGGTCTTGGCAGCAGTTATAGCGGGGGTTGAGGGAGCAGCTATTCTAATAGAGGAGTGAGCTTAAGAAAGATTCACTGCTCTGTACATAGGCTCAGAGTACTAGGCTCAGAGGATCGCTCCATCTCTTATCTATAGGAGTTAAACCTCTCAATAACCTTTATATGAATTTCAGGATATTTTAACAACTGATACCTGTATCTATCTCTAATTAGGTACCTGTTCGAATTCCAGTTACTTAGATAGATTCAGCATGGAATTCCATTCAAAAATGATTTTTGATTCCATACCCCTGTCAGCTTGGGAATTATTATTCGCTGTCTCGTATATTTGCTATCTCGTACGGACTGAGCTCCTCGAACGCGCTAACGACATAGCGAGGTGCGACTGTACCGTGCTGCACTTATATTAATGTAAATACATACACAAAAACTTTCATAGATTACACCTTTTGTTAATATTTTACCCACGCCGCCACCGGTGCCTCACGTTCACAGGAAACGATGGGAGCTACGTATGTATGCGTATTTTCTTTTTTCTTCTTTTTTTCTCTTTGCAAGGCTGTCATACATGTAATTTGGGTTTATCGTATGAGTATCTAAGCAAGTATATGTACTCGTGGATTTTTGGCGTTTCCAGACTGGACTGGGTCTGCATACCACCAAAATATGGTTGTCAAGCACGATTTGTACAGTACGATGCCAGTCGTGAGGGTCACGCAACGCCGCGCGCGCAACCAGATTTCCACAACCTTTTCACGGCGGGTTGGTACACAAGATATTAAATGTCAAATCATTGTTATTTATCTAATATTTAACAACTATACAAAAATTCAGCTCTCCAAAGGATCAATTGTGGTTGCTGTGCTGGTACCCGTGATGGTTCGGGGGGCGTTGCGACGCCGCGCCTGACCCTCACGACTGGCATCGTACTGTACTTACTTACCGATTTTATCCTCAATTCTCTGTAAACACGTCCTCATGTTTCCGATTCGTCTTTGGGTTACGGCGACCGGGTTGGTAGACTAGACCCGAGAGCTCTGCATAGTACTGGGACAAACGTTTTGGTAATAACACAGTTCCTTTTACAGCCAAAGTCCCCCCGAGCACTCAACCTTTGTCCGTTGCCACGTAGGGAATTGTATGGGATTCACACACTTGCCAACTTACATGTTTTTAGAATCGTGGGAGCCGCCGAATCGATGCCAGCTTACTTTCTGTCTAGATCTTGCCAGCGTGAGGTGGAGATGTAGACTTCCTCCTGTTCTCCCAGAGAGTATATTCAATAGCTTGGCTACCTCTTTTTTTTCTTTCTTTTTTCTTTTTCGAGCTTGTGTCGGTTTACACCATACGTGACTATGGTATACCCGTATGTTATCGTATACTTAACAGGTAGTTCCTGCATATGGAACCACGCTTTTGATAGATCGATGAGAGCTCATCGTGTATATCTTGAGTTGTGGGACACACACCCTTGGCAACCCCTTACAATTGGATCGGTCGGCATCAGATCAGAGCTTTGAACAGGGCCTGGCAGCTTTGAGCAAGGCGTTGAAAACCTTGCCCACCAAGAAAAGTACTTGTACTTTGGAGTATATAGCTTACACCAGGCTGTGTCTTATATTGAATCTCCTTTCCCATCATATCTCTGCATAATTAAAACGTTTCGCCCACTACATGTACATGTCATATCGTTATTCCCCCTCGTTATACGATCACCCTGCAAAATCACCTACCTTCTTGAGATCCCTTTTCTTTTTTTTTTTGTTAAGAACTGCTGGTACTGTTTCTAACTACGAAAACCCTACATTACATTAATCCGAATCATATTGATCACTAGCCGTTAAACTAACGTCGATAACTTCCATATCTACCACGCATCTTCCAGTTTTCAATCCAAAATTTAGGTCGACAGTATGGACACCTCCATGAGCCAGGGTGGAATGTATGCTCCCCTGCGTGCGAATATAGAGAACTGGCTTTCCGACGACGACATTCCGTGGACTGGGGTAGTAGACGACCAGTGCGCCCCCTCTGGAATAAGAAGGCGAGTACGCGGCTTTCCCCTTATTTCTTTCTTTTCTTCACTATAATTACAAGCTCGGTGACAAGTAAACATATTGAGGGACATGTCTGATACGTATACATTTACACTAGTATCAATACCCCAGAGCCTCAACGTCCGCCTACGTCCACGAATAGGATCGATGCGCCAGTAACGAACGGAAAGTCTCGCGCCGCCAAACGTAAATTCGGACTGTGCGAGCGTGTCGACCGCATCGCCAATACGCTCGATCCTAATCTCAGCGACCATCATGATTACCACTCAACCGAAACTGTTCATGGTATTCCATCTAGCTCAGCATATATCGCCAAGCCTACATCGGAAGCTGGGGCCGCTGGGGGTTCAACGAATGCTCCAGACCGCGACCGGCGTACACAACAAGGCTCTGGTGCAAAAAAACGCGGTAAGGTGATCGCCACAAATAATCAAAAACGAACGAGAAAGATACCACCTCAAGGTGCCGGTGATGATGAGGAGGACGAAGAGAATGATCAGGGTTGGAGGGACCCGAGGGGGTATCCTTGTACTCATTATCTGGCCGTGGCCCATAAAAACGACAGCGACTTTCAGCCGGGTGGGGATTATCATGAATGTAGTTTGCAAGGCTCAAACAGAGTAGGGTATTCATCCCTCCAGGGTGTGATCGAGATAATGTCTGTGTACTTATATATCAAAACCGTTTTAGTCAACATATCTCGAGAAAACATGTTGTAACGTGTGGCTGCGGGGTGAAGCATAAGGATACTCAACCAGCGAAGTTGGAGCACGACCAGACATGTCCTAACGCTAACCCAGGCCCAGATCAACCCCAACCCAATGGGAAGACTGACAAACAGCCGCGCTGTCGGACTTGGGATGACTACTTTAAAATGGGCCTTGGCTCCGACCCGTCAATGTATCTATACGCAGATACCTGTAAGTCCTCTGGAGAGCGACCGATAGGTATCTTTCTAAAATTGAAATGCTGACGATGTTTGGAAAGATGTCAGATTTTGTAAAGCTATGCCTGCGATTACTAAGGCTTGGTCAAGCTTCGCGGAAAGGGATGAGGGAGTTGCAGAGTTGAGGCAACGATTTCTCGAGTCGCCCGAATTCAAGCAATTTATCGCAGAAAACGAGGTTATGAAGAAATTCAGCCCTAGTACGTATACATCTCTCTGCGCTATAATAGTTATATACGTGATACTTACATAAATTTAGAACATCCTCTTTATGATCATTGGGATTTCGGGGAAATTGTTTGGAGTATTTCATGGTTTCCTCGCCGCCCCAATACCCCCACCCCCACCCCCGCCCCTGCATCAACAGTATCTGTTGCGGCTCCTGACCCACCTGTTACGGCCTATCGTGATGCTGAGGCAGAACGTCCTCTGGTTCAGCCTAGCCTAGCCGACAATCCGCCCCCACTACCATCCATCCCGGAATATTCTCGGCCTGGAACGTCCTCAAGGAATAATGCCCCCGTTCCTTTTCCTCCTCCGGCAGCAGATAGAACCTGGAGCTCTCATCAGGTCTCGGACTCTCGCCAGACTTCAACCTCCAATCATGATTATTCGGTTGGCTGGCCTCACGCCCCACCGGGAATATCCAATGTGAATGGATTGTTATCACCTCCACCCCGCCTCGAAGAACCTCCACCATCTACCCGTGACCGTTATCGACACCAACAGAATCCCATGCCCGACCCTCATAATCAGACCAGCAACACCCGTACCTACCGTCAAAATTCGACCAATTTTGCCTCGCTAGACCAACGGGGTCAACGGGAGGCAAGTGAGACTAGCGGGGGCTGGCAGGACGACAGCCCAAATCAACCAGCCACGTCCTCCAGCAATTGTACAGGCTATCTTCCAATCCAACAGTTGCAAAAATTACATAACGGCAGGCTCACTCATCACTTTGAGCACACTCTCCCTTTGGAAAAGAATCATGAGGAGGTTCCTGACACCTCTCAGGCGTACATGGATATTAGAGGAGACTTGCTTAGGCAGGTGGGTACCTGGGTGAGCCAGAGCCAATATCCCGCAGGAGGGCAGCCCCCGACATCAAGCAATACACACCATAACGCTTTCCACGGAATCGATTCTCAGACCCACGAGTTTAATAGAAGTTTTGCCGGGCAATTTCCTCCCGGTGACGCGGATGCTCAGATGATAGACATCCAAGTTTTCACGGAAGAGTCGGTCCGCCTTTGGAATGAAATCAAACAGTTAGCCGGATATAGTTTTCCGGACTATAACCTTCGGTGAATACTCTTCAATCATCTACGGCAGACGCAAAAACATTGTAAAAATTACCCATATAAAATCCTCGAGTGCGCCGCTACAACTACGTGCAGCACCTGGACGGGGTTTGATGGATAGTGACGGAGGTGTTGAAAACCTGACAGAATCCTTAGTTGGATGGACATGCTGCGGCTACTTAAATGTACGGACAGCAATATAGGTCATTCACGCGAACAGAATTGTCCGCGGGGGAGGGGGGGGCGGGGGCGGGGCTGGTTGGAGGGAAGTGGTCAATCTCATGGCTTTCCTTTGTCGATTGGTTTACTACATTTCCTTGGTTGGATCGGTCTTTTGGATTGTTGAGAGGAGGGGGTTGAAGTCCCTAGGACTTACTATCATTGATTTTTATCATCTTTCGTCTTTGCTCATTTCTCTTCCTTTTGTTATCTCCTTAGTATTTTCATTTTAAACATTATTTACATTCTTTCTTTATCATCATCGCCACTCACTCGCCTTATACCACATTATATTACACTCGTACTACAATACAATATATTCCTTCCTTAACGAGATAGTATAGGGAAATACGGATCCCTGAAGCCTACCTGATAAAGTGCGACCAAGAAACTCATCAAACCTATCGCATGTTATCCCCGGCGTTGATATTTCTTGCAGCATAGAAGTAGCTAGAGGAGTAGAGCTGGTTGGGAAGAGCAGAGAATCACCCTTTAAAGACGAGAGTAGCATGAGAAATAAAATTAAGTTGGGTGCTTGATGTAAATCTAAGAATGTCTCGAGGTCGGCTAGGGAAAGGCGTTCTTATCAGTTGTTGGATTTGATGGATTCCGTGTGGCTTCTCAAAACTACCGACCATCAACAAGAAGCAATAATGTATTCCTCGATCTGCTGTACATGTGCCGCCGGGTGGGTAACCGAGAGAATAACACTATCTAAGACTAAGAGATTCTGGTCAGCGTACGTAGAGGGATATTGAATTAGTTATCTTCTATTAGTGTCATTTTATTCTGTGGGTTAGTTGGGCGTTGCATCCAACAGGCGTTGTTAATGTTTAGCATTCCTGTGCATACAGTCGTTTACCGTCACAGGCTGTTTCCTGAGTCTCCGGAAAACCCACTGGCAGAGGATTAATATTAATGCCGTGGAACCAAGATCCCCATCTCGCTAAACAGCCGGATGACGCCGTACGAGTGTTTAGCCATGGTGGGGAGCAGCTGCTGCACCAAGCTGATCCGGGTTGTTGCTAACACCACTTTCGGTCACACTCTCCATCTCTAGATCTCGCCGTGAAGCGCTTTGATCTGTATCAACCTCCTACAGGCCTAAAAGGGAGTGAGGTTCGCCTGGTCCGGTACAGTTTAAGTGTGACTTGCAGATTCGGGACCCCCCTAACTAGGCAGGTTTAGACGTTTACAGAGTCTGGTAGAATTATTGCGAAAGTCAGAACTAAAAGAGTGGGCTTCTTGGTCCGTGCTCACTGCAGAAATTCCTTTAAAGGCCAATAGGACTATCGGGTCACGGAAAACCCACTTTCGCAATAATTCTACCAGACTCTGTAGACTGTGGCCCAGTGACTGGGCCATATGGCTGTTAAGAATTGGCCTGGTGAGATTTGCATCCTCGATGCGGGAACGCTAAGGGTGGCAAACCGAATTCGCGAAACGTACCGTCTGACTTGCTGTGCTGCCTCCTCTTCCTCTTCTTTTTTTTTCTTTTTTGCTGGGATATCGATGCTTGGAGGGGGAAGATAAAACCTGTCAGCTTTTATTTTTGACGATAAATTCATCCCACATCGGAGCCGTGTAAGTTAAGGCCTAGGATAACTTGTATTCTTGAACGCCTATGGTATCCCGAGTTCCTGCACAACAAATTGTTTGGTCAAATCAAAATAAGAAGGGCGTGATCGAGTCTAAGCTTGCGACGACTATATGTACTTTAGATGGCCGGTGGTGATGTTGAGTAAAATAACGCGTAGCTAGACCCACATACTGCGCATGCCTGAATCATGGAGCAAAAATCATGAGTGGTTGAAATCGATGGATCGAATGAGATTGGTAAGACGTGGCATGGCAGGCCGCAGTGAGTGCATCTATTAAGATGGAGAAGATATTTGAATATATGGCGCTTAAGCTTTCCATCCAGCCGTGGGTGTGGGTGGCCAATCAACGTGTGGCGTCTATTCCATTGGTAATAAGAGTATGTGGAACGCATTTCAATATTATCCAATTATAGTGCATACCCGTAACTCGGTTTATACCGTTGGGTGAGCTAGTACATGTAGAGTAGGTACGGCGGCTCGTAACTACCAAAGTGCAATTAGCGAATTCGGGGTTTTGGCAACCAGCGCGACACCCCACGAACACGACCACCAACCACCAACCAACCACGAACACCACCACGAACACCACCACGAACACCACCACGAACACCATCAGTCACTTCACCTAACCTCTGGTAGGGAAGTTTATTGCACGCCTTCACTTAACCTCTGGTAAGGAAGTCCGTTGCCGCCAATTCCAGTACCTGTCCCCGCCAACTCCAGTACCTGTCCCAGCCAGCACCTGTTCCCGACCACTTAGCTTTACCTCTAGTAGGTGAGTTTTTATTGCATTGCAAGACTGCTGCCGGTGCTAATTTGACTACAGCAATGCCTAAGTTCACCAATCCCACCCTGATGCACACCAAAGCCGGCACCCTCAAGTCTCCTCCCTATCTTCAAGGGCAAAAGAAGGCCGACTGTGTCAAAAGCCACCGCCTGGCTGATATCATCACCAAACAGTTCACACCATTCCTTGCCAGGCAAGCTGCCACTCAATCTGGTGGTCAATCTAGTGGTCAAGCTGCCGGTCAATCTGCTGAACCCAAAAAAGCACAGAGTGATCGGGAGTTGGAAAGGGATATCAACAAGTGGATGTGTCTCTCTGAGGGTATGAAGGCTACTTGTGAGAAGGCCAAAGCCAACGGGGTCAAGTCTTTTAAGATTTTCAAGGGCAAGATTGGGAGTATCATTGAGGTGTTCTTTGATGTTGATATCTCTCAACCTTTGAATAAAGTTGGCACTCTTGTTAACAAGAGTTTGGAGGAGATCAATAAGACTGCTCTTACTTATGAGCAAGTTGAAGTTCCTGCAGTTCCCGGTGCCTTTTATCTTGCCCTTGATAAAAATTACACCCGCATGTTTGTCTACTTCAGTAAGGGTTTTGAGATGGTCTACGGGATTGAAATTGGGAACTGGGTTCTGGAGTCTACAACTTACAACATTGAGGAATATTCTGAACTCCAACCACCTGATATTCCCGGTGCCAAAGATATTAGGCATGCTGAGTACAAGAATTGGCTTCTTGCCAATCCTCATCTTTGTTGGGCTGATTGGTCACGGGCTGGTGTTTACCATTGGGGTATGTGGATGGAAAGAGGTCATAATGATGACGCTGTCATCACCAAGGATACTCTCAAAACATCTCAACACATGAATCCCGTTCTCCTCCGCCTCTTTACCTCACTAGGCAATCTTACCAGAGCCAAAAGAATTTTGCTTGGTGCGGTTGACAAAGATAATAGAGATCTTTGTATTAAAATGATTACGGCTTTGCCCAAGGAGGAGAAACAACAGTGGGCAACTGATGATCAGGAATGTTTCTCTTTGAGAGCATGTTTGATTAATCTGTTTACTGAACCTCATTATGATATTGGTGATTTAAAAGATGGATGGGCTGTGATGGCACCAATGGGTGAGTTCACGGGGGCTGATTTCTGTATCAGGGAAATGAATAGGAGGTTTGTTTGTAGGCCTGGTGGAATTGGTTTTATTAGGGGAACAAAGTTGGAACACTTTACTACTAACTGGTACGGTTTTAGACATTGTTTGGTTTCAACAATGCATGAAGCCGTCAAGAAGGAATTTCTTAAAAGATTTCCTGAAATTGTTTAGATTAGAATGACAATTAGTAGTTAGAGAAATAAAATGATTCTTTTAACTATTTACAAAAATGTTTAATCACTATCCTCATATAATCTCCTCCTCTTCTTTGGTTGCCGATTAGATTTTCTGGTCTCTTGTAGAGAATTCCCGTCAGGTAATATTGAAGGAATATCCTTACCAATTGGTGACGGAGAGGATTGTAAATCGGGAGAGCTAAGCACAGAATTTGACTTCTCAGGTAGATCAGGAGTCAAAGCCGTTGAATCTCTTTTTAATGTAGGCATAGAGAGCAATGGGGGATCACTGGTAAAATGTTCCTCTTCTGGGGAAGGTGCCTATAGGATAATTAATATGAATTGGCTGCAATTCTATAGAATTAAATAACATACCGGTTCTCCTACTCTCATATAAAGCTCCTTTTTGACAACCGCCGGTGAATCAAATCTGTCTCTTCTTGCCCGAACAGCAGTGAGAAACTCATGTGTTTCCTCCTTCTCTTTTTTGATCCTGATTGCCCGTTGTTCATCTAGATCTGTTTGGTATTTGACTACCAAAACAATTTTTGTAGACGGCCCTCCAGGGAAATCCATCAGAAAATCCCTAACGGTTATTGGCTTGCTCCTGACCTCCAACCTATGGGGTCCGTCTTTGGGGTGGAAATGTGTTGCCACAAGGACTTGATGTATATCTAATGACTCTGCGGTGATAGCATCCTGCCAATTAGGAGAGGAGCTCAAGAGACCGAAAGCAAAGTCAGAGTGGTCGGTGATGAGCTCATCTAAGTCCTCAAATACCTTTGATGATACACCTATATAATTGGTTAAAATAAATTAAATAAGATATTCCGACACTTGATTGTTTTACCTATGTTCTTATATGAACTCCATTTATCATCTAAAGAGCCAACGTATATCACTAACTTGCGGGAATCTCTAGCTGTTATTTTGAGAGCACTTTGTTTGCTGGCGGGGGCTGGTGATGTGAGGGCAGGCACTAAACCAAATGTTGAGTTCTGTTTTTTAGATTCTGTAGAAGTTTTACTAATTGAACCTTGACGGTAAAGTTCCACAATCTGACGGGCTGTTAACTGACCTGTTTTTACAATTCTCTCTGGTGAGTTTGTCGGGCTGGAAAGAAGAAGGATTGTTTCAATATTTTGTGAGGCTTTACCCTTCCCTTTATCTCTTCTATTTGGCCTGGATTCTGTTGGCGGTGCAGATGCTGAACCACCAGCTATGGTTTTTATTGGTTCCCTTTTTACCTTTGTTGAGTTACGGGAGCCTGGTAGGAGTAAATGTGGTGGTACACGTTCTCCACAACAACGGAAAACTTTGTCGGTAGTATGCGAATGGATAGTTTTTTCCCTTTCTGCGCAATATTCAACTGGCGACATTGTTAAACGATTGATGATGTTAAAATTGATATAAAATCAGAATATATTTTATTTGATATTGAAAATAAATACGGGATACAAGGTGGGGTTTGTCGGTTATGTTCGGCTTCTAAAATATATCCCTGTGAGTACAGAACACAATAGAATTTCAAAGAATTTCATATTTATGTATATATAAGATATATTTTAACCATTTCCAATGTATCTGATTATTCCGAAACTGTCAATTGTGACTACCATCAATTTCATATATTTTTTATTAAAACACACAACGTCATCATCTATCACTCGAAATGTCAAGTTTTCGCCAATCACCGGTTGCGGCTGCACTATCAGCAAACCAAGATTTAATCCAACGGCTTTATGTTGAACAAAATCAGACAATTGATCAAGTATTATCATTCTTGACTGAAATGGGCATTAAATGCTCCCGCAGGTCTCTTATTACTAAGCTGGGAGAATGGAATTTTAGAAAATACACCCGTAGCCAGGACACACCTTCTATGCGGGTTGAGATTGCCTACCTATTTTGGATTAAGTGTCTGAGTGATAAAAAAATCCTACGTGTATGTATTGCAATCTCAACGGTTTAAAATAATATCGTTTAGATACTGATTTAAAACCAGATTTTAAAAATTCATGGTTATCAAATAGAATTCAAGAAATTATGTATTATACGGAAATCTATGGGGATGTATAGAAGGTTAACGCAAACTGAGATAAATGATGACGCCGATCAAAAATTGCAAGAAATAATTGAGCAAGAATTGGAGAGGGGGAATATCACTTTAGCCGGTCGGAGATCAGTCTGGATGCACTTACGGAATATGGGTGTTTTGGCGTCACAGTAAGACTTTGTGATATTTCCCTATGAAACTAAACTAAACTGATTTTGAAAGTCATAGGATAGGACAAGCTTTGAAAATTGTTGATCCAATCGGGGTGGAAAACAGACTGAAGGGTGTCAATAGACACCATGCGCATTTCATATGTCCCGGACCTAATTGGTGTTGGTCTATTGATGGGCATCTCAAACTGCAAATGTTTGGCATTGAAATTTATGCTGCTATAGATGCATATTCCCGTTATGTAACGTGGTTCTACAGTGGAGTTTCTGGCAAGACGGGGGTCAGTGTATTAAGTCAATTCTTGGAGGTTATGCAGAAACAGAATTGTTTGCCATTGCATATCAGGGCAGACAGAGGGACAGAAACAATGTTACTGGCGGAATCTTTCTGGGAGTTACACAAAGATCATAACCCAGATATTACATTCCCGGAGGTATTTTGGTATGGAACATCAACAAGGAATGTCCGTATAGAAAGTTGGTGGGGACAGCTTACAAAGGGGGCTACAGCCGATTGGAAGGTAAAGTGAATCAATTCTATTACATATAGAAATATCACTAAACAGTATTAAAAAGAAATATTTCCGTACACTTCAACAAGGAAACCTATTTCAAGAAGACAGATTGGAGGACATGATAGCTATTCTTTACACCTATATGCCTATTATACGGGCCAAGCTACATCAGTTTGTTGAGAACTGGAATAATCATAAGATACGGAAACAAAGTAACAGACCCAATCTTCCCACCGGGGAACCCTACTACAACTACTATTTTCCACCTGACGGTGTCAACAATTATGAGCAAATACCTTCTCTAAATACGATTGAAAGTATTAGAGATAAGAAATTGAAAAATAGCTACACAAATGAGTACTACGGTATGTATGTTTCCTGATACTTAAAATTTTCTGTTTGCCTAACTTTTACTGACGGAAACACATAAGATCATGATTCCTATCTCCCCAATTCAACAATGGACTACTGCGCCCGTATGCTTTCAAAAGGAGGACTGCCTGCCAATGGGGTACAGTATGAGGACATCATGCCTGATGGTAAAAAAACTCATTTTGTTATTTATACCTTCCTTAAGGCATATCTAGGAAGACACATTCAGAAGGGAAATCAAAATCCTGTGCTCTCATTATTGTTAAAGCCCCGGGAGGTGTCTTCTATTAGGGGACGGGGTGCAGCACACTTGGTTGCAGAATTCCCCGATGAAAATTTACCTGACATAACCGATAATGAACTAAGTCAAGAGGAAGATTCAGATTGGGAGTAGTAATTTTTTATTTGTATTTAACTAAAGTTATTTAATATGTCTACAATTAAATCACCGGCAGAGTTTTTTTTTTTTTTTGTGTGGGCGGGTTGTTAGGTTTTCGTTGTCTCGTTGCAACCGAAATCCTTAATTGCACTTTGGTAGTTACGAGCCGCCGTAAGTAGGCTCCATGCAGGATTTCAATGATGATGTGTGTATCACTTCCCGTCATGGTGTCTTATCGGGATAACCAAAACACCAGGGCAAAAATGTTAGAACAATGAATATCTGGCCGAGAAACTAGCAAGTTAACCGTAACTCTGGGATTCAGGTAACGTACATGTGGAATAGAGTAGAGTAGAATACATGACGGAGTAGGCACTCTGCACGCGCTGCGATAGCGTCACGTCGTTGAAATAAAGACGGGTGAGGTAGGTAGGGGATCCTTACTGATTCGCAGTATTGCATATGGAATCCTTGGATGAGAGACCCATAGAAATAGTTTTGTTCTTGTCACTCTATCAAGATGGCGCATGTGACTGACATATAATTATCTATTCTAGCCTCTGAAGATCTAGCAATGCCGACCGGCCTTTTTCGCGGGCCAAAAGAGAAAAGAGACGTGATCTATCCATCATTAACCCATGCTTCGAAACTCGAGGCGGGACGTGAGCTAACTAAAGTCGTCGCGACACTTCTGTCACGTAGGAATACCAACGGGCCAAGCACGCCACTCTGATTCCTGCCCGAGATGAGTTGAAAGCCAATCGATTAACTTGGGGGTACTAACTGCAGTACGTATTATATTAGATTCACTAGGTTTCACTATCTATCTATAGGGTGTTGGAACCCGTTACTGCAGTAGGCAGATTATTGCCTGGGGAAAAAGAAAAATACTGGTGCGCGGTCATGTTAATCCCTCCACACCTCTCTCTCCAGCAAATCATTTGATTAGGGAGTGGGGGTGAGATACTCTACCTTACGGCCCCTCGGGGTGATGTCCCTGGACGACGTGACTACATGTACGTATACGGTGAAAAATACGGATCTAGAGTTCAAAAGAAAATTCCGTACGGATACCGTATTCTTACTAGCACATCAAGAGGGTTAATACCTAGCGGATCTTTACCCTTTGACCCTGTACCTACCTGTACCTACTTCTCGGGAATTCGCTTTTCGCAAAGTGAAGTCTTGCATGCTACAAGTACAACTAGGAATGTTTAACTGAGCACTCATGACCTCGGGACGACCCGAGTACATTGGTCAAAGATGATCATCCTTGTAAGGGATTTCGTCGCAAAGGCAATGAGCGCTCAGCTACTTTAGAAGGATTTCGGGAAGAAGTGAAGGGGGATTACACACATGCCCGAGTTTGTTTCTCCTAGAAAGATCCGTGTATATAAAGAACGTTGGATTCCCTTGCTGCCCCGAGATCTCCTCCGAGCAAGCGAGAATCTCAGTATCTATTTCCTCTACTTTGCTGTTTATTCATCCAGTCGACCCATCCACGTGCGCCGATTTTTACCCTCGTGTGGCGTCTCGTCTGAGGAGCGCAAGAGGGAATGTCGAAACTATTTGAATCCAACGAGCTAGAGATTGCCTCTTCAAGCAGCCCAGTCATCACAATTTCACCACTGTAAGCGAAATTCCCTTAAATTCCCCCCTCTTCCAAATTTTGCCCTTTGCCAGTGAATATCCCAACTAAAAGGTTGAATTTTAATTTTTCATAGCAATCGATGCTCAGCTGAGGTTGTGATCGGCGGAGACTATTTATACACAAGCGCATACGATGCACCCACCAAGCCACGCACTGCTCAATTAGAAGCATGGTTGACATCGCCTTTAAGTTCCGACTCATGGAATCCCCTCAGGACAGTGTGGACTAAGAAATCGCCGAAACCATCAGTCCCTGACATCTATACCTGGAGGGGCGCAATAAAGGGGTAAGATATATCCCCGGTACAAGATAGCACCTCACATACACAATGGCCATGTCTTATTGAGGTGGGAGGGGCTGGGCTAATGTATATGTGCGATTAATAGTTCAGGTAGTGGGGAGTCTACCTCTCCTCCCGAAACCAAGCAACACAGTACCAATATCTGGCCCTTTAAGCGATCCAGATCCAAAGGGTCCAACACCAAGAAAGACGACCCACCAAGAAAGAGTCGACTCCATTTCAATTTTCTCAAAAAACCAAACACCGGAGCGACAGTGGAGGGAGAAAGTACCAAACTGGCATTGGATCTTCTTCCCCCAACCCAGCTTACCCCTCCAACTCGGCTTACCCCTCCAACCCGGCGGCCAAACTTGCAAAGACCCCTAGAAGTTAAAATCGAAGAGGAGAAAGACCATTCCAATGCTATTGTCTCTAATATCAGCGCCGCCCCATCCACATATAGCGACAGCTTGAAACTTGTGGAGAAGCCATCCCTTGAGGCGGTCGATCATACGAAGCGGGAAGAGTGGAGCTGTCTTTCCGAGACTAGTAATACAGAGACCGACTCCGAGTTAATAGCCAGATCCGAAATATCCAGTGTCGGCAATGATGCTGATGATATCTTCTCCACCCTACCCAATAATATTCTAGCCCAGATTTTTTCTAACCAGGATATTTCTAACTTGGGGAGTAGAACTCATCCTTCTAGAAAGGGGGTGAAGGGGAAAGGAAAAGCTCCACCAGTCGAGCCTGGGGAAAGCTCAAGGTTGGATCAAAGTTACAGTAAATGTCCGAGCACTAATGGTAGAAAACGAAAATGTTTGGATTCTGGGGATGGAAATGAAGAGGAAGATGAGGATAACATCAGAGACACAAAGAAGGATAAGCTACAAACGACATGGCCACCACAGCTTTGTCCAGCCTACCTGGCCGACCCTTTTCATGTTGATTTTCTTCCAGGAGGAAGGTTCAGCCGATATTGCACAAAGCATGTTCCAAAGATTCCGTGAGTATAAGAGATCTCGGTACTATTATAAACTATAGGACGCTAATTAGAGATATCAACAAAGTCAACACATGAAACGTTACCATATAAAGCCAAAACAGTGCGGTACCTGTGGTTTCCGGGGAGATGCAGGGCAGGTTAAGGACCATGAGAAAACCTCATGCCAGAGCAAGCGATTCGATCCAGTTTCCCCCGAGGACCAGAAGAGAGAGGAGCTCTTAAAAAAGCGCGCTCCTTGGTGTGAGATATTTGAAAATCAAATGGGTTCTGATGTGTCAAACTATCCGGAAGCAGAAAAATGTAGGTTAGCTATATAAGCACCCCACATGTGTACCTTCGATACTAAAGTTCTACAAAAAGATGTCGCTTGTCATGAGGCCAGCCCGGACTTTGTTAGGTCCTTTACTGATTATCTGGAACCAATATGGGAATCGATAATTAATGGCTACTACGAGTCATCTGATTACCAAATGTTCTCTAAAAAGTATCCAAGTGTGAATTTTGGTCCAAGTATGGTTTTCTTTGTCACATGTGCTTTGAACTCCCATTTACTGATACACAATTATAGATTGCCCATCCACGCCAAGGTCGCAGGTCGAAAAAATCTTTGTAGAAAGCTTCCACCAGCTATTCCCCGGCCGCCCTCCCCGAACGTTTGAAAGACCAGCAACGACTACACAAAAGACAGCAGTGGCAGTGGCGGCAGCTGCGGACGCGGTGGCAGAAACAGCAGCAGATAATTATCCCACGCCGCTCTCCGCAAGCTCGCCCGAAAAAGAAGGAACGACGCCTCCGTCCCAGGCCAGTCCAAGCAGTCCACAAACCGACGACACGCCTCAGCTCCCAGATGCCGCTCAGTTAGAGGTTAAATCAAATCGTCTAGCAGCCCGAGACCTGTCTTTGATATCTTCGCTAGATTCTTCACAAACATATGGTACCTCTGAAAATAGTAAACTTCCCCCGGCCCCGGCGCCTGCTGCCCACCAAATCTCGGCCGAGGGCGTTATTCCATTCAACAATCAACGACTCTCTACCTCTAACATGCCTGGTACTACCGAGAGAAATAACTCGTCTCAATCTTCAGCACACCATCCCGTCGATACCTCTCGGATTTCATCCCAACAGCCAATCCAGTATAGCGTCCCAATAAGCGATAGCACAATAACTGCGTCCCACTCTTCCCCCATGGAAATTGATGTATTTCTCAGCAATGAACCCCCCTCAGTTCATGATGAAATATATAGATCTTCCATTTCTAATGTCGATGGCGCTCAAAATTTGGCCCCCCTTCCTGCATTGAATGATTTCTCGCCAGTTTATTCTGAAGTGCTTGGTCAACCTGAGATGACTGCCGCCCGCGAGCCCTTAACCCAGGCCTATACAAATTTGAATATGAATATTCCGTATGGCTTTGCTCTAAAAGACCAATCATTACCAGAGTTATCTCAATATCAACAAAATCACCTACTTCCTAACGGACAATCCTCGATCTTACCTCCAAATCTTGATCATAATTTCAGCATACCTTCAGAAAGCTCTTTCAGGCATACAGAAACCCTTCAACCAGTGGCGTACGAAGGCCTAGGCTATCTCCACCACGCCCCAGACGCTTCCGCGGCTTCAAATATCCATGTCGACAAATGGCATTCTCACCAGGGCGACACACAACTATTTGACCTATCGGTGCCGGAGGGTGCTGTCGGTATTCAGAAAAACATATGCAAACACCCGCATGATGGTTTCCTAACAACCGGGGCTCCTTTAAACCCTACTGAATCTCATTTCTCGGTCGCCGGTATTGGAAGTTCTTCACATGGAAATACAGATCCCTTACCAGGTTCAAGTTGCAACGCGGAGAGCGGAATCCGGTACCTTTACGAGGGTGGCGAGACAGTTGGTCAGATCAGCAGCTTCGAAGCCAACAACTGTGATGATTGGTCCGAAGGCGCAGGAGACATCGCTTGAATCCTGCGCTATAACGTTTCTTGTGTTGCGCGACTTGCTGTTGTCTCTAAATTAGCGTTTTATATGGGTCGGGGGCGCCAGGAGTTCAGCTATCTAGTCTTTTTACTTTGTTTCTTTCTATTTTACGGAGTTCAGAGTTCTCCTCGTTTTGAAATTTATCTTCCATGAATTTATTACATAATCATTGATTGTAATTGTTTATTGCTGCGATGTATATCTCCACTATTTATTATTTCCTTTCGTCACGAATTATCACTCGAATCAAAGACTTTGCCTGTAGCGTCCCAATAAGAACCCAAGACGAGGAGTAAAGGGGGAGGGTTTATCATGGCCTCATTACCAATGATATGGCTCAATACCATGTTTGAAATCATGTTGTCTGTTCAGCCGCGATTCGCTGTGCATGTGTGACCAGAAAGCACCCAGCCCTAGCGTTCAGTGGCATCTTGACCCAGAACACCACATGCACGCGGCCACGCATCACATTCAACTGAAACCTATCCACAAGAATTCACGTTTAGGGCTATTATCAAACAGTTAATTCGCTTCTATGTCTGAGTCGCTAGGAGCCCTAACCCTGACACAACCGCGTTTCTCGGTCAAACAAAGGGGCAGATTAATTCTTAGATTAATAGTGTGGCCTAGCCCATATTGAATTTACGTCCATTCAGTATTCTGCAATCTTCCGGTAAATTGAGTCTCATGTTATAATCGCCTCCGTTAGACTGCAGCACCGCTCGGCATCCCGAACGGGCGTCTAGCGCCAAGCCTCGCCTCGACCCGAGATATATAACGCAAGTGCGCGAATTCTTCTACCCCTCAATCCCGCCGAATGCCATTACCTCTTAGGGAGGGATGATCACGCCTGTAGCCACCGACCTTTTTACTCCACATACTCGAGACAGGACAACAAACTACATTTACTTATTGGTGTAGCCTTTATCAACCCTATGATATGCTTCGGAAGAATTTTTAATTGCAATTGTCGACCGTGATATATCAACATTCTGGGAGCAAGCATTCAACTCTCTTCGTTACCGACCTGATAGGACACATATTGGCGCCAAAGACTGACATCATGTTCTATCTGCTGGGCGGTTACATGTATCTCACTGGAGCCTAAATGAGCCCCGCGCTCAGGTGCACCACCGGCGATCCGGAATCTTACCTCATAAGACCTTGAATACGGAGTATTGAGGGCAATATCGAAGATTTAGAGGGCAAATTATATACTTTTCATGTACAAATAATGCAAGAGGCTAGTACAGGAGGCGGATGTATCAGCCTGGGGGTCGTTTTCGGGATATCTATAGCAATTTCTATGGGTTTCAACATATTACCGTTATAATTACGCCGTCTATCTACTACATGTAGTTATGTGTTTAATTTTTAATTGCAGCCACACATTCACACCAGCCACACCAGCCACATTCTTATAATGGGCGGCCTTAACTAGGGACCGTACTATGCTTTACGTACCGGTATCCACTAACCTATCCGTCCATCTACACAACACCCCCTTCTTCTCAAGTCATTTACTCTCAATCACTATATCCCTCGAAATGTCCAACAGTTCTATATCTGTCAGGAACGATGCCGTCTGTGGTCACTTTTATGGGTTTGATGATGATAACAAGAGATGTCTTCGTGAGAATACTTGCTGCGCGTGCGCTGATACGAGGTCACCTGAAATGGGGTTTGCTATGGAGGAGGGGGTTCGGCAGACAACATATTACCTCAGATGGGGGTCAGTGATCTCCTGTAGATATCCGTGTGAAGGTAGAGAGTCTCCCACTAACCAATCTTCTTATCCTAGTCTAGATCTTACTGTAATAGATGTCATGGTATACTTATCCACATTCAAACTTCGACTGAGGGTCGTTCTCATCATCATGCCTGACCTCTGCTGGTCAATGGAATACAGATTATTGGACGGAGCGCCGACTAGGATTAACGCCGGGGTGGTGGACCGATTTCCCACACCGCCTGATAGCTCTAATGAATAGCGTCCCTAAAGAACCACCACCGAGTATTTCTTCTAGCTCAAACTACCCACCCCTAGTGGTTGCTGCTCCTGATACCGGAAGGAATTTACCTGCGAGAGTTGCACCTCCTCTCACTCCTCGCAGCCCAGATAGCGATATACCTAGGACCTGGGCCGATCTTGTTGCGGTCCAAGCTCGAAGGAATACACCGGCGAGAGTTGCGCCTCCTCCCATCACTAGTAGCCCAGATAGCGATATACCTGTGACGATTGTACCTTCTCCCAATACTAGGCTCTGGTTCGATCTTGAGGCGCGAGCTCGAGGGGATAGACCGGCGAGAGTTGCACCTCCTCCGACTATTAGTAGCCCAGCTAGTAATGTACGGGCGAGAGTTGCACCTCCTCCCACTACTAGTAGCTCAGATAGCGATATACCTCTGACAATTGTACCTTCTCCCAATACTAGGCCCTGGTTCGATTTTGTTGAGGCGCGAGCTCGAGCGAATATGCCGGCGAGAGTTGCACCTCCTCCGACTACTAGTAGCCCAGCTAGAAATATACCGGTGACAGTCGAACCTTCTCGCGCTACTCCGACCAGGGCCAGTCTTTTGGTGGGGCAAGCTGCACCTCCTCCTAATCTTAGCAAATCAGCTAGAAAGAAAGCTGCCAAACGGGCACGGGCGGCTGCGCAAGAGGAAGAGCGTCAAAGAATACTAGCTTCCCAAGCTATCCCAGCATTACTACCCCTTCCGGCACAGGACAATGTACCGCCACCTGGAAATAGAGCGGGTGCTCTCCCAATAGCCCCTGCACCTGCACCCGCACCCGCAACCCTATACCCGCCCCCCGGAACTGTTTACCACCCGCGTTTCACTGGAAATGCACAAAGGCAGTCGCCGCTACCTCAAAACTCATCAAATCCCGAAGAAATCAGCAATGATTATTCGTATCTTCAGCTGCGACGTCTTCTCCAACCTCAATATACGCCCGTACATACTGGGACCGAATCACAAGGCTCGAATCCGCTACAGACGCGCTTACGTGTGGCCAACAATTCAGTAGCGGAAGCAGAGCCCGAAATATCTGGCTTGGGCTATAACGCCTCCGGGAGCACGTGAGTTACTTCGTCGCCCAAAGTCTTTTGGAGGTGCGCTCAGCACAATATTAATTCAGAGAGACCCTATTAGACTGGCTAGAGAACGAAGAAGACAATTCTATGATAATTTTAGTGAATATCTAGATCTGCGGGATAACGGTCCTGAACCAGAACGTTCTTATTATGGGCGTATGAGGCCATCACTCGTAAATTCAGGAACTGAGTAAGTTGAACTTATTAAATTGGGCTTTATGATTTTCGTAAACGATTTATGAACAAGTTGTGCTAACGTTTTCCTAGTTCAGATAAAAATGAGGAGGAGGAGGCGTATGGTGGTGATGAGTGGGAGACCGTGCCAGCTGATCTTTTGCGTCAAGAGCCTGCTACTACCATCCTTACAAATGCCACACCACCAGTACCACCGCCGTTATCCGAGGAGATGAGGCAGCTAGCTGAAGACACCTCTGTAATATTGGAGCTAATTGGCAAGACCGATCCGGGCGGCAACAGCGGTATGGATAGCGACTATAAACAGATAATCGATGACGCGTTTGAGAATATTAGGAAGATTCGGACGCAATACAGAGTCGCGCTTGCATTGAAGGCTGGAAGCGTAAATCTCACTCAGGATCCGACACCCATTGTCGAAGACACACTGAAGATAGATTCGGCATGCATAATTTGCTGTGACGAAATTTCAAACACGGTCTTGATACCGTGTAATCACTTGGTACTTTGTATGGTATGTAAACACGGATACACAGCTCACTTTCTACCTTTGTTGACGATGTGCCGCGATAGACGTGTAGTGATAAGATGGGAATCAAAGAGAAAAGCGCCCCGGGATCACGGACGATTACCTGTCCGATATGTAGGAGGCTTGTTTTGGATAGGGTTTGTTCTCCTCTGATCCTCCTGACTGAGATATATATATCGATACTGACTTTGTTTAGATCAAGATCTTCAGAGGTTGATATATTGTAGAATTGCACCGTATATATATAATTTGTAAGATAAAAAAGGGAGTCGTGTATCAATGCCGCATGAGTTTCTTTTTTTTTATCCAAGTATAGTGTCACTAGTTCTAAATACGCAGATAGTAGAGTAAATTGAATAAAATGATCTCCATATATTGTGTGCTGGCGGCTTGGTGACATTGCATGATCAAGGGAACATACATACAGAAGCATTGCCGTCCTAAGCGTAGATTAATTCGTATGTGATTTTATCGACAGGCCACAGAGGGACTCCACGTCCAGGTGGAGGATTAGATCTACTTGTATGGAGTGTTACGAGTGCTTGCTTGTGCACCTTAGTTGGTTTGCTAACCTTAAAAAGCCGTTAATAATCCTAACCCTAATTTCCTATAAGGGTACTCTCTCTACAAGGGTAAGCTGCAGCCGTACCGTAGGAACTCGACAAATACAGACCGTTGCCAAGCAAGTGGCTTGCAGAATTAGGTGAGTAATATTATATCAAATAGGAAACTTGAATTACAGGCCCGAGCTCACTCATCTTGTAGCCCATACTCAGTATCGTCATTATTTACAGTAACTGGCAGTTCAGAATTCTCTTTTTCAGATGTTCCGTATCCAGCTTCCTCCTCTGTTCGAGCCCAATCACCAATAACTAATTCCCCAGGAGCAAAACCATTGATTTTTAACTCATGATCACGAGATCCATCTACAGGTAATGAGATACCCGTGTCCTTGAAACTTTGTATTACTATTTTCCGCTTTGTGGAATCATTATTCCATGCTTCCCATGCCCGACCTACAGCCTCTGTTGTGACAATCCGATGTTGGCTTACACTCCACTTATCTATATCCTTCTCCTCTTCTGTACGCTCCCGTGCTTCCTCAGTAAATTCTTTAATCATACCTTTAAAAGGTTTGTTGACAGCTACATCGAGGGGTTGTGTCATTGATGTTGTGCCAGCTGGGATCAATGAAGGGACAATATTATTATCTCTGCACTTTTGGATAACGGATGGTGTTAGGTGAGCTCTATAGCGGTCATAAACGAATAAGGATCGCTGTTGTCCGAAAATCGGAACTAAAAATTTCTCAATAAATTTTTTGAAAAGTGTCTCATTAATCCATCCGGTTGGCGTAAATTCGACATGCACACGCTTATCCCAATGCTTCGATTCCTTCTCACGAATTTTGTCTCCAGTAGCAGCTGTGAAGATTAGAATCGGTGGAACCCTTGGAACTCCATCTGCAACATCAGCAAGCTCGCCTATTACCCAGGGCGCAGCCCCTACGTCCTGGCGGGCATTCTGCGCCACGAGCGCCCAGCGCGTCCGGCACCGCCAGAGTACAACCTTCGCGCCAGGCTCCGCCGCAGGACCGTCCCACTCTCTGGGACCGCCAGGAGATATGGCTCACGTCCAGAGGGCACTCGCCAATGCTCTGGTCGCCTGGGCCGCCATGAGATTCCCTCCCCCTCCGGAGACGCTAGGATGGAGTGACTCCGCCCACAGCACCTAGGAACTTTTGCTTCTTTTGATTACGTCAGTAGTACACGCGAGCACTTCCCAATGCTCTCATAGTTTTCTTGAATGCTCTCACGGCACGACGAATGCTCTCACGGCACGGCGAATGCTCTCACGGCACCGCGAATGCTCTCACGGCACCGCGAATGCTCCCGCGAATGCTCCCGCGAACGCTCCCGCGAACGCTCCCGCGAACGCTCCCGCGAGGGCTTCCGCGAGTGCTCCCAGAGCACTCACCAATGCTCACAGAGCTGAGGCATTCGTCATACCCACTCAAGGTGAGGCAACCCTCATTTGGGCTCCTTTGGATTGATACACCGTCCTCAAAGGATAGGAAGGCCGCACCAGTCCCTCAAAAGATATCTAACGTGGGTATCCTCAACGCCGCTGTACGGTCAGTCGCGGGATACTGATACGAGCACTGTCCTGTATACTGGTGACGACTACCCAACCTTTGACGGACGTGTATGTTTCTGTCGATTCGTGAAAGGCATAATTAGCCTTGAGGTTGAGGCCATGGTACGGCTCGTCTGAAAAGCTCAATGTCCATGCATAAGCAGCAAACATGGACTGGCATTGACCTCCTAGAGCGAGCTTGCTGGATAGCCAGACTCAGATACTGAGCGGCCGAAACTTTACCTTCTTCTTCCAATCCGCATGCATAGCAGAACGACACGAATTTTGAATTAGAGAGTCCAATTGGGTCTAACGTTCCTAGAGCACTCAAGAATGCCCTCACGGCTTTACAAGTATTCAACTAAATTCATTCCACGTACGCAAGTCTATCCTAGTATTTACCAACCAATTACCAGTCTCCACCTCAAACAAATGGGCCATTCCCAATATACTCTGAATATTAACGACCCACATCCTCTTCCTCCTCCTCCTACAAACCTTCAGGAGCCCATGTGAGCTATCAGCGATACCACGATCCTTTGCCTCGAGTAGCTCCACCATACATAGTCTATGTGCTCGCCCCCCACTGACCCGCAGCTTGAACAAAGCCTCGACACGTCCTGGTAAGCGTCCCGAAACACTCCCCACTCCTCTGAGGACGCTACCGACACCCATACCCAATCCTTTCTTATTTTCCCTTTCCTAAAAGCCGCGTTTCCCGTACACCTGATATTGTGAACCTCGTACGCCTCAGGTCTTTGGAAGATTGGTATCGGAACCTGCAAACATGTGAACATCGCCACCCGGCGCTCTAAAATGCTCTCAGAGCTTCCGGCAAAGCTTTGAGAGCATCCCGCATCCTCTGCATACTCCTTTATCAGGCGATATAACGTGGTATGGCTTATTTGCAGTCCATCCGCAATATTGAAAAGTCTTTCCGATTTCGTGGAGGGGTTGCAAAGACGCCTTAGAGGCAGTCGGCCTTCTACTATGGATCGTTCATTTGGTGTTTTTTTCCGGTCTTCGATTTTAAAAATCTCAAGTAACTCCTTCAGGTTATCTTGATGGCTCCAAAGGATGTCGTCAGTGCTCTCAGGACCTCCAACAATGTCTTTCAGATTCAGCATTCGAATCTCTAACGCCAACCGCCGCCCCCCATAGTCCAGTATCTGCGTTGCAGCATCGACCTTGTTGGATGCTCCGTATGCCTCTTTTATCTGACGTACATGGGCGAGTTCGCTGATGTCGGTGGAGTACTGGGGAATGCTCCCAAAGCGCTCGACATGTTCCCGATAGTGCGTTAACACGTGCAATTTGATGAAGTTGAAGTGAGACCTTTCCCGTATCTCGCGAATCTCCTCCAAACCTCACTGAGCGCTCTGGGAGCCTGAGGTCTTCACAGCTTTTGTCCGATCTCTCGGATCCTTAACCCTCCTCTTGTACGCCCGGAATTCTAAAAAGATATCCTTGTGCTTATGGAAATCCTCGAGATAGCTCTCCATATAATTCAGTGTGCTCGTCGTATGACTCCCATACTGCGCCATTAAGTGGAAGTCGATTAAGCCTCGTACACATTTCAATGCCTTTGCGAAGTCGCCCCTGACAGCCACCCCCGGGTTTCTCAAAGCAGCCGCGAGTGCTCCAAGAACGACCCGCCCCAGATTTCTCATCTCCTTCCCTTGCCATTGGGTTGTGGCACGATATGCCTTGTTCGGTACTGCCAGTCCAGGGTAAGGCGCAATTGAGGCCCAAGCCTTGCCAAATTCCTCCAATCGATTGTGCTTCTTCAAGAAAGCCTGAACCCACTCCATCATGTGCTTCAACATCCCTAGGTAGATATTGTGCAGAATGTCCGGTTTGTTGAGATTGTATGGATTAACCCTCGGCATACCCCAGAAAGCATTGAAGAGTGTCTTTACTGATCTCGCGACAAGGTATTCCACCGGTCCCAGGTTTCCCGGGTTCTCCCTGAATAGCTTTACCCTCTCCCGGTAATCCTCGTGATCGCGCGTAGGGCTCCGGCGAGTGCTCCCAAGACTGTGGAATTCCACCTCGCATCTTGGACAAGAGCTAGTACTAATATGTTGTAAGTTTGAATGCTCAGGTTGATCAGCGATCCAACCCGACAACACCGGAAAGCATAGACGTTCGTACCCATCGGCGCATGCGATTAGCTCGCCTTCCTGAGAGCACTCCCGAATGCTCTGAAAGATCTCCCCACGGGCGCGATGCAGCGCCATTTGACTCTGACGTCGTAAAGCGGAATTAGCGAGTGAGTTCTTCCCGAGCTTAGGTGGGACTGGCAGTAGCCCTAGGAGAATTAACGAATGCCCGGTGGGCTTGCTCCGGACCGATGACTTGATGTTCCCGATAGTAAGATAGATTGGCCAGGCTTTCTTGTCCCCACTAAAATTTGTCAAATGTGTGCCATCTGACGCGCATATAATTGGTACCACAGTCGACCCCTCCGGTAAGGTATTCTGTCCGGAAAGCATTAGCGACTGCCTCTAGAGCACTTGTGAGGCTTACCAGACCTGCGTCTCCCACCACCAATCTCCCGTATGCATTTCCCCGTACATTCTCTCGCCAGATTCATTATGCTCTACCACCGGCGCGTACACCAATGACTCCCGAAAGGCCCGTTGGCCTAGAAGATATCGCACAATTACCATTGGATCCCGGTAATAGTAAGGGATTTTCTCTCCCCCAATATCCACCTCTGAATGATGCCAGCTCGCCTTTCCCAATATGTCATTCATTTCGTCCAACCTCTTTATAAAACCTCGCCCAGTCCTGTAGGAGCATTCGCCACTGCTTGACGGAGCGTGTAGAAAGAAACTGTCGATATTTCCTTGTGAGGCCTTCGACAGTATGAAATAACGTGCCATTCTAAACTCGTATGCTGAGTTGAGTGGGTGCCACGGGTATCGGAGAAGGTCTTGTTAGCATTCGTCGTAGTCCTCCGAGCGGTAGAGACGCTCCCCAACACCCTCGTAAATCGTTGTCGCTGCCTCATGCCTATTTGCATCTCCATCTGTCTCCTCCATCATAAAATATGATTCGGATTCCAGATCTGAATTATTATCGGGATCTTGGTCATGATAATTGATACTGTTGCTCTCTGAACTATCCGAGTCGTCATGGGCATCTGAATAGGAATCGTGAATGCCTTCCGGGCTGTCGTGAGTGTCATCGGGTGCCTCTTGATCGCGCTCCAGGAGTAAAAATTGGTTTCTCAGCCATTCATCTGCTTCAAATGGATGTGTAGTTCGAAGATGTTTATCGAAGTTCGCGGAGGAGCTGTACCGCTTGCTGCAAAAGGGGCAAGACGATTTCATTGAAGTCTCATGATGCTAGCAAAGCACTCCTGAGTGCTCTAAAAATTTGGTTTCTGCCAAGGCCGAGGAGGCTCTTTCCTGCAGGTGCTGCTGCAGAGTGCTCGAATGATTTGATTTGTCAGCCAATGAGGCTCCTCTCACCTGCACCCCGGTCGGCAAGGCTGATTTTCAATACGAGTCTGATGTCATACATCACCAACCTAATACAAACATCAACACCAACACGAAGAAACACCCACCACCCCAATCAGGCGGCCAGTTATGCTAGATTCTATCGCCCTTAGCATCTGCACTCTCTCCCTGAGCACGCGCGGAGTCTCTTCAGATCGAGACAGTGTTCTCAGCGTCAAATTCAACACTAATATTGACTACGAGCTCAAAGAATACATTCTCTCCGAATCAGCTTCCTAGAGGACAGAGTACCAACACCAACAAGAACACAAGCACCAACCCCAACACCAGAACTTGAATGTTATCGACGTCACCATAGGTACTATCAGAGCATCCCGAGTGCGCTTGGAGCATTTAGATCAATGTCATATATTGAAGCAAACATTGAGTACGAGCACCCTCGAGTGCTTTTATAGCATTCGTGGGTGCTCTCGGAAGCGTGATAAGCTCAAGAAAAAAGCTGATCGTACTCGGTATAAGAGCACCCCTCCCTTCCTTCAAGTTCGTGAGAAGTTCCTAACCACCTTCAAGTTCTCCTCTACCTATCACTTCAAGTTTTCCATTGCTTGCAACATTACCTGTTGAAATCTCATCCTTCAAGTTCCTCCGTTTTCAAGCGATTTAACCTTTGCAATCTTTATAAATAAGATGGTATTTCTCTCTCCTAATCCAATTAATTTTAGAACCATACTCACCACAGTGATACATTAACATTATCAGACTCCAAACACCGCTCAGAGCACTCCTGGTAGCTCACAGAGCACAAATCAACTTCCCAATAAGAAGCGCTTGCGTGACATAGACGAAGACGATAACGAAAAGACCTACCGAAAAACCAAGAAACACAAATGGTCCCGGAAACATAAGAAACACCGAACTTCCTCAGGTCGCAAATCGTCCCGCAAAACTGTCAAGCCTATCCCGGAGGAGATACCAGAAACACCCCCTAAGCAGTCGCCAGTACTTTCCGGGCTCACCCCGATCAACAAGAGCCGAAAACAAAATCCTGTACCTCCACCAATCCGGACTGAAACCCGGACTCCGCCAAATACTAACCTAGCTCCATCGGACACTGAAGGGATCTTCCCGAGTAACTGGGGAGCAACCCTAACTGATTCCGACTCCTTTCCCGACTTTAGTTCCGAACCCTCTGAACCATACATAAGTGACGATCAAGACCCACCAACAGGTCCAGCAACAGGCCCACTAGCAGCGGTCTCCACTGCTTCCTCAGCAAGCAGCAGTGCTTCACCAGAGGCCCTTGTACGGACGACCGTACTTAGGGTTAGTGCTACCCCACCAGCACCCGCTAGTGCTCTACAAAAGAATGTTGCCCGGAAGACCATAGTCCCAAGTCAAGTTCTCACTCGGTCCAAGTCTAGTGCAGTCCGCTCAACAGGCCCAGCAACAGGCCGCTCAACAGGCCCAGCAGGCTCTACTACTCCCTCACCAGCACCCGTCAGTGCTCCACCGAAGGTTCTTGCACCGGAGACCCCTACATTCAAGCCCCGACGCCCCTCTCGGTTATTTTCTAGTGCAAGCCCGTCCGAACTAATAGACCACCCCTCACCAGTACGACAGAGACGAATTAGACCCGAGCCATCGCCGATTGTCCAAGAGACATCCCCGAGTGTTCAAGAGACATCCCCGAGTATTCAAGAGACATCCCCGAGCTCGACCGCATTCAAGATGACTCAAGCAAGCAAAGCGAAGATGACTTTAGGTCTACTCAACCTACCTAAAGTGTACACCAGCATCCGCAACAGCCTAAAGGCGGAAATGCAAAATGTGGGTTGGGTCAATAAAAGCACGTCCGGTATGGCTGCGTTCAATGCCCTATGCCTTTACTTGATGAACTTGCCCTCCCTCAACGGTTTTCTGCCAATTTGGACTGGGGTGAATCCGATGCCCGTAGAGCACTGGCGAGTGCTCTACAGTGGCTCATCGCAGATGTTGATATGAAGGATAGGTTATCAAGGGGACAGGGAGACCGTCAGTTCAAAGAGGCTGCCGGTGATAGTGATGATGATGATGACGGCGGTGGTCAGGCAGCCGGAAGACGCTCTCGCAAAGGGAAAGAGCGTGCAGTACCTCCGGAACTCGTGCGACCTTCCATAATGGTTACCGTGGTGGACCCCGATGCTCTAGGGGCATTTTTTATGCTCGTCCCACCACCTACTTATGACTGGAATGATCCCCTGAACGAACCTTCGTTCATCGGAATTTTGACCAAGATAACTTTCCCGGAGCTATGCAACTTGATCCTGAAGCACACCGCACCCGACAGAGCAGTCAGAACTATCTGGGGGGCAATTGAGAATGTCCCCCCGGCAGCTGTTCCTCCCGTTCGGCCGGTGGAGGTACAAATTACCGATTCAGAGGAGCTCGAAGGTTGGTTGAAGAACAGCAATGCCAGGCCTCGGAGGATATTGGCGGTCCTCCACAGAGCAGGCGCAGGTGCTAACCTGGGTGGTGCGGAATCCCCCCCGTTGAACCCGGCTTTCCCTCATGTTGAGGAAGATGATTATAGCATGATCGATATTCCTGCGGAGGATTCGGATTACGAGGAGGGAAAGCACCGGATAAATGCCAAAGGACTGAGGGTATATATGCCTAGAACTGATGCCAGTAATCAAAGGCTAATTCAGACTCTTGTTAGGCGTCGCGATAGACAGCAGGATGCTATCGACGATTTAGACCCCAAATACTTTAGGAAGTATCCTTTGGGTGTCGGGGTTGCTGACCCAAACTTCTTACAGGGGACGATCTGGACACCTGCCGGGATAGCAGCCAAGAGAGCTGCTGACGCACTCGCGGCTGCTGGTGATGGAGGTGGTGGTGGTGGTGGTGGAGGTGGTGGTGGAGGTGGTGGTGGTGGAGGTGGTGGTGGTGGTGGTGGTGGTGGTGGTGGTGGTCTAGGACCTCCACCGCCTCCGGGCGGACCTCCTCCTCCTCCGGGCGGCGGTGGTGGTGGAGGACCAGCTGGAGCGGTGGGTGGTGGAGGTGGCCAGCTGGAGGCGGTGGTGATGGTGGTGGTGGGCCAGCTGGAGGCGGTGGTGATGGTGGTGGTGGTGATGGTGGTGGTGGTGATGGTGGTGATGGTGGTGGGCATAATTAGTTCCCTTTGGTATAATCTCTGACTTCCCTTCCTGCGGAATTGTCACTAACCTTTTAATAGTTGTTAGGATTACTCCCTGAGCACTCGCGATAGCTATTGAGGTGCGGTACGATTTGGTGTTTTGGATTTCCCTTTGTCTTGCGAGAGTATATCAATGGATGGGTCATATCGGATAGGATTAGATTAGATTAGATTACATTAGATTATTCCAGGTAGTAATTGCATTGCTTTTATTTCAAAGTCGAATCAAACTCCTAGATTGCTCTCAGAGCACTCGGTACCGCTTCAGAAAGTGCAGTAAAACGAGTGATGATAAATCATGCGGTTGAGTGCAGAAATTGTGGTAACATAGGATGATCCCTGCCGTAAGAGGATTAGCGGTGCAAATTTTTCTTGATTAGCGGCACAAATTTTCTCGCCAAGAATTGATTTCTAATCGAAGATATCGCGAGTGCTCCTAGAGCACTGCGGATATTCCTGCCAGTCATCAGAATGGCTCCCACCAAGCGCTCCTCCGGTTCAGCACCTCTTGCCCCAAAGCACCCACGACTTCCAAAACGACCTGAAGAACATGAAGATTTACTGACTGACGAGTCTGAAATATCTTACCGAACATTGACTCCACTGCCAGCCCGCACTCGGAGTAGTCAATCGACCACCGCCGCTCAAATAACTCGGAAAGGTCTTCTCCGTTCCTCCGAAACCCCCACTGGGAGGAGCAGTCCTAGGAGGGTAGAATTTCATCTCCCCGAGGACCATACTGATAATTTTGAAGCGCAGGAGGAGCCTGAGGCAATTGAGGCGCCAGAGGCAATTGAGGCGCCAGAGGTGGAAGAAACTGTTGATACTAGCCACTCAGACTATGATGATGCTCCGGAGAATGACCACGAGAGCTCTGAGGAGGATGAGGATGAACCGGAGGATGAACCTCAAGCCCCCCCCCCCATCTTACACCCAGAAGTCTCAGACTGTCGGAAAGAGACCTCATACAGTTCAGCCGACTACTGCCAGAGCACTGGGCAATGCTCGGAGGAAACCAACTGGCGCGGTAGCGGAGGTCATTGCTTCTTCCAACGTGTCGGTGGACGTGGTACAGGTTCGACTCTATCTCGCTCATTGATGCTTTTTAACATGTAAGTATTAGTGGCTAACGATTCAGAGGGGAACTCGACTGGGCGCGAAAGTAATACGTAAACAAGGTCAAGGGAGAGCAGCACCCACTTCAGCACCCAGCCAGAATGCATCCCAGAGAGCACTCCCGGCATCCCAGAGAGCACCCCCAACACCCTCACAGTCTAGGCCCTCTGCACCTGTTTACGCTCATGAGTATACCTCTTCTACGCGCCATATCGATTTTTCCTCGATGCGCACTCATTACGGCGAGTCGTCCCCCACTTACCGGACATATCGTTCTTCACCGCCTAGCGAGGTAATTGGCGAGAACTCTGTGAGCAGTCGTCAGATTCCTTCAAGCCAACTTCACGGTCAAGGTAGATCGCGAAGAGTCTACGAAATCGAGTACCTTCCCTTATCTAGGGGGGGGGACGAGAGTACTCCGATGCCGGAAAGCGAGGGTATTTTGATTCCGGAAAGCGAGGTTAGTATTCCGGAGGACACTCACGATGTCTTTGAGAACACTGGCGACATTCCTTCGAGCCAATTGACTCAGAGGTCTGTGGTCCCTAACTCTAGGAGTGCAAATGTGCTGTCAGTGCAGGCTCAGAGGATTGAGAAGGAGTGTAGCGTGTTAATCGGGGAGCATACTCTTCTACATGAGCCCTTTCCACCTGCAGCAAGACTTTCGGTACTGGTAGTGAGCATGTGGGCAACTGCTAGTCGCCGAGTGGGGTGTAGAGTAGACCTTGATGAGGTCGTTATTAAACAGGTGAGTGCCCCCAAAAGGATTACGAGTGCTCTGGAAGCATAATTGAGAATGATAGGTCAGAGGTCTGCACTCCCGTGTCCGTTCCCACTTGATGCACGAGGTGAAAGGGCGCCTGGCGGACTCTACGATATACGGGCTTGGAAATTTTGTGGGGCCTGAGGCGAGGGCGGCTCAAGTGGAATACCTTTTGAAGAATGATCGTTTCTTGAGCCCCCAACAGCATTACGAGGTATGATGCCAGTGGATGCCCAGAGAGCACTCGGGATAGCCGGTAACAGATTCTAGACCTACCGACTGCGCTTCCTGGCTCCGGAAATTATCGATATATTGTATTTTAAATACTTCGATGGGGTAAGACTGCGAGGGGTTAGGGATCCCGAATTTCTAGAGGGGATAACCCCTACCCTTATTTGCCTGATATCGACGGCGATCTGGCACGGCATTCGGGCGTGGTCAACAGGGAGTTACGTGAAGCCTGATAATTTTCAGTCGCAGAATGAGAGTGTTGTGAGTAAGTATGGCCCGATGCCCTCATTGATAAGGCGAGTGCCTTGGAAGCAATGACGGATGCTCCTAGGGCTATACGGGATTGCCAAGCTGACATCCAAACACGAGTAGAAACGTTCAACAGGATGAGCAACACTTGGAAGGGGAGAAGTAAACAGAACCAGGAGGCAACCTTGGAGGTAATCAAAGATAACCTTCGAGAAAAGGTATGATACTTCTAGATGCCGGTAATGCGAGTGGTATTCTAAATGCTAACCCTAATAGATACGAGATAAAAAAGGGGTAACGATTGAGATTATACCGGAGGAGGGTTTTAGCGAGGACGATGAAGCTCTGGCTGTGGATCTTGCCGCATTCTGAGATGCTCGGAGAACACCCACGAGTGCTACAGGAGGTCGGGTTGATTCCGACAGCGCCCAGGACGAAATGATTAATGCCCGACTTCGCGGCATTGACACCGAAGAGGAGGGGGAGGAGGAAGAAGAAGAGCCGGAATTACCTGTAGCGGGGGATTACGAAGGGGGGGGGGAGGAGGATGTGTAGAACAATCACGAGTGCTAAGGGAGGTAGTGGGGAATTTCTTCTGATTCGTATATTGTATTAGGGTTAGTTAGGGTGTTAAATGGCGTATTGTATTTGGTATTAGGCGGAGGATCACGGTGTTGAATACACCAATTCTCAAAGTGCAGTCGCGAGTGCTCTGGAGACAGTAGAGATCGTCGTGCGAGTGATGTTTTTGTAATCTCATGGGGGAATTGTGAATACCAGAGGCCGGAACGGCGGAGAGGTGTATGCCTAGAGAGAACGGGGCGCCGACATGTAGGAATCGGTACGTCGGGCATGAGCCAGATTTCAAAGCACCCCATCCGGCAACGTCAGGGGGAGTCAGGGCAATCATTCTATCCCCAGAGACCGCTGGAGCAGTGAAGAGTGCTCCAGGAGCAGTCAGGATATCCAACCGCGCAACTGGCGTTCTCTAGCGGGTAGAGTGACGTCCTAGTTACACCGGGCGCTATTATTTAGTGTCGGGGCCCGTTGTGCGGACTAGTGTGCCCCGGGGCGGAATAATGTGCGCCAGACCTCGCCAGGAGCACTGGCGGTATCTCTGGAGAGGTAGTTTACCTACCGAGCGCCCTGAGCGCCCTGAGCGCCCCGGGCGTCTGGTGAAGGCTACAGGTTTGCTGATGAAAAATACATAAAAACAGAGTACACTGCCGCTTTTCGGATCCAGACTCTGCACTTTTGGACCATACTGTATTCGCTCCTTGAAGATGGTATGTCCGACCAGTTAAATATTCCCATGGTAATGGAGTTTCATCAACATTACAGATCCGGTGATCGGGAATGCCACCTTCATCATGATTGCATATAAAATGAAGTGATTGTGGTGAGGGAGTAGCTGAAAAAGGAACCAGCAACGTAAGAATACGGTTGCGCCGATTAAATCTTAACCACTCGAGAATTTGTTGTTTAAAGTCGTCAGGAAGTGACTGGGCAGTATTGGTGACAAAACGTAAAACCATTCGGTGACGCGACAGAAATCCTTGAAACCATCCTCGTGAAAACAAAAAAAAATTGGATCCAATATGTGGGTAAGTTTCTTTCCATAGCTCTGTCGCCTTTCTTCTAAACCATCCGTCTCTCACTGGTCTTCCTAGTCCCCTTCTATCCATGAACGCATCAAACAGCTTTTTTTTCCATTTCTGGCCACATGCAGAGAAAAACCACAGGTGAATTACGACGCGATCTATTTCCTTTTTGTTGAAAGATTTTCTCTGTTGCATCTGGTTGAGCCCAACAAGCTATCGTACTCTTTGGAATTTGAAAAAATACTGATGCTTCATCAAGTGTTGGTGGACGCGTTTTGACTGCTGTATTGGATGCCTTATTGGGGAGCCGGTAATATTTCAACCACATCAATACCTGAACCTTTCTCTCACGGGGGTAGCTGCGCTCTACCCTCTGGATTGGCTTTATCTAACAGATACTTAATTAAGTCTCATAAAAGCGGGTCCAACTAAAACCTACCTGTACGCTTGGTAATCTCTCCTGTATTGATTTCGGTTTCCGGCCTCGGCGCCGAGAAGATCGCTCATTCTGATCGTTGTCCTTCAACTTCCGAAGCTGAGTGTTTTTTTAACTGCTGTCATTTTCAGTATCGTTGTGTGTATTATTGCAAACTAGCACGGAGTTGGAAAAGTTTTCACCCTACCTAATTCTTTTACTAAACAAGTAAAGATTTGCAAGCCACACTCTCGGCAACGGTCTGTATTTGTTGAGTTCCTACGGTACCTTTATAGCGAATTAGGTGACATGGACCAGTTTTGCCGCTAAACTCAACATGGTAGATCTTCATCGCCCATTACTGGATCGGGACGAGCGACTCAACAACGGTCGCTCAAGCTGGTTGGTGCCTTAAATTCGCTACAGCCGTTACACACGCATATCGGTGAGCAGTATTCCTGTCCTCGAGGAAGTTGGGACGTATCTCTCACCGAGACACCCAGATGCGTACCCAGTACCTACCAAACCAGTCGCTACAGGAATAAATGTAATCTTCTGCAGAGCGTTATATAATTATCCGGAAGGACGTCCTTCTCCCCCCGCCAATATAAGCCATACCTGCATGAAGCTTGTTTCCGAAGAAGGTGTCCGCAACTGCAAACTCACAAAGTAGGAACAATCACGTCGTACAAAACAAACGGCCCAGTATCAGTGCAGCTATCCTTGATCAATGCTCTTAATTCTTGAATCCAGCAAGTCGAAGGATTACCTTGATGTCGGGGGAGGACCCAGGCCCGAGGGTGCTCGTAAAATATGCGATGTAGAGGGAGAAGCACATCATGAAGCGGGTTCGCCTTATGCGTGTGTAAGGGGATGGATTAATCAGGTCCTAGCTAGGTTGGGCCAGCATATATATAGTGGATGGTTTGCGAGAAGTCTTGAGTGGGAGTGCTCGTCTGATTACTGCAAGACCTGAAGCTTACAGCAATGGGAATCAAGGCTTGGATACCAGTTGTTTCTTTCTTTTGTGGAGTCGTGAACGGGTTCACGCCAGAGTTTGTGCCTCGAACCCATCATTAGTTAAATTATATATGCTAATGGTTTGCTAGGCAATTAATCAGTGCTCCACGGAGAACAGCGGCTATCCCAAATAGCGTGGGGGTATGAAAGCAATCATGTCCTGATAAATTAGAGATTTCAAAGCTAATGGCAATGATGTTCTAGGATCTCGCAATTTATTATGTGTCTAGCTACTCTTTCGAAACACACAAAAATACTCATACTTGGAATCTTTTGGACCTAGGGACCGGAGATACCAGTGTACTGTTTCCGGAGCCAGAGGTCTCAGAGGTTGTGTGGATAGCGGACAATGCCGTTTTATATATCAATGGAACAAACGCGGATATTGCCGGAGGGGTGGAGCTCTGGGTGTCGGATATAACAGACTCCAGCATAAGGTATACAGTCCGGGCCTCCGCCATCATAGATAATAAACGTTCACTAACACTAAAAACTCTTAGATATAAGGCCGCCTCTCTCGCTGCGCCCCTCGCAAATCTCAAGGCCGTTTCGACTCCAAGCGGTGTAAGCTACGCAGTTTCAGGCCTCGCATATCCTAACGGCACTGCCTACAATGCAGAAATAGTAGAAGAACCTCTGTCTTCTGCTCGCATCTATGACTCTCTCTTTGTGCGCCATTGGGACACCTACATCACTCCGCAGAGATACGCCATCTTCGCGGGTAGTCTTTCTATCTCTAACGGGGTTTATTCATCATCGGGCGGATTGAAGAATCTGTTCAGTGGAATTGAAGGGCTTGAATCACCAGTTCAGCCTTTCGGTGGTACCTCAGATTTTGACATATCCCCAGATGGACAGAAAGTCACTTTCTTATCAAAGGACCCGGTATTGAACCCTGCAAACAATACCGCATCATATATCTATCTGGTTCCTCATTCTGGTTTGGAAAAGCCAGTTGCCATCAACTTGCCCTCGGAATCGTATTCTCCAGAGGGAGCTTCTGCTTCTCCTGTCTTTTCGCCGAGTGGTAAAACTCTGGCATACCTCCAGCAAGACGAGAACGGCTACGAGTCTGATAAAAATAAAATATATGTTTATGACCTCGAGAATCAAAGCATCTCTGTCCTGTCAGAGGACTGGGACAGATCACCGGAATCACTCAGCTGGTCGAAAGATGGAAAGATATTATTATTGATTGCAGGGGAGTACGGACGAGGGAAACTATGGACTCTCCCCGCAACAGCAAAAAATGCCGAAAAGCCAAAGGCAATTACTGGAACTGAGAATGGATCAGTTGGTTTGGCGGTTCCGTTATCGGATGATGAGTTACTTTTGTCGACTTCGAGTTTTGTTTCCTCGGCTGGGTTTTCAAGACTGCAATTGAGTAGCGGAGAAGTTACTACGCTATTAGATCCGAATGCAATTGATGCAGAGCTAAAGGGACTTTCAAAAAGCTCGGTTGGGGATTTCTGGTATCAGGGCGCCGCTAGCAAGGTTTGTTGCCTTTGCGGATATGTTTGATGTGCGGATCCATTTTAATCAATTGATGTGGATGTCTTTAGGTACACGGTTGGATCATCAAACCAGAGGGCTTTGATGAGGAAAAAAAATATCCTATAGCGTTTCTGATTCACGGAGGACCTCAAGACTCATGGGCAGACGCATGGAACACAAGGTGGTCTCCGAAGGTCTTCGCTGAGCAAGGGTATGTCAATCCTAATCTCAAATCCGCACCTCAGGCTCTAACATTCTCGCAAAGATACGTGTCCATTGCCATCAACCCAACTGGAAGCACTGGATATGGAAAGGAGTTTGAGGATGCTATCCAAAATGATTGGGGTAAGTACTAATAGCCGGATTATGTCGACTGAAGTAATCTAATTATGAACATTTTAGGTGGCGCACCGTATGTGGACCTTGTAAAGGGTTTCGAATACATTTTGGAAACCTATCCGTTCCTTGATGCAGACAGAGCAGTTGCTCTTGGTGCTAGTTATGGTGGATACATGGTGAACTGGATCCAAGGACATGGTTTTGGACGCAGGTTCAAAGCTTTGGTGGGCACCATCTTCATGCTCAAATTGCCTCAGAAAGTCTACTAACATCCTCAAGGTCACTCATGATGGGGTGTTCTCAACTTTGAACCAAATAACCTCGGAGGAGCTTTACTTCCCCCAGCACGATGTAAGTTATAATATTAATCCCTCTCGCTCTGTAGCTACAGACCTGACTCAATGTCTTCACAGTTCAACGGAACCCTCTGGGATGACCGGGCAAATTTTGAACGCTGGGATCCCGCAGCGCATATTGTAAACTGGTCGACCCCCAACTAGTGATTCATAACGACCTCGACTACCGTCTTCCATTCCCTGAGGGACTCGCTGTATTCAATGCGCTCCAGGTCAGGGGGGTACCGAGTCGGTTTATGAACTTTCCGGACGAAAATCATTTGTAGGCACTTTCTTTAATCAGCGTTTCGGGAGTGTGCTGACTTCTGTTGTAGGGTCTTGAATCCTGAGAATAGTTTGGTCTGGCATAAAGAGGTGATTGGATGGATTAATAAGTGGATCGCGGATATATAATGGGGTGATTTATGCGAGGTTTCTTTGGAAGGTTGAGGTTTCTGTCTCGAAAGATTTTCCGATAATATAAGATCTTTTGAAGTCTTCCATGAGACAAAGTTGATACTCTTTCCCCGGAGGCCTGGACATTGGAAATGAATAGCAGGCTAGCTGGCCAGGCTATATCTACTGAAACGGTCCCAATGTTGCTACCCTGTAGTTTTTGTCTACGGCGTAAAAGCTCTACTCAACCGTACTGGGTTGGGTTCGTTTACTGGCTGGTGGTCCGAATAACGGAGAGGCTTCGTTAGTGAGAAGTGATTATGAAACCAGGCTCTCTCCTGAGTTTGATTTTCATCAGACCTTCTATAACTTCATTTGTGGTAAGACATCATGAGGGAGCTTGCATGCGTTAGACCCTGGGTACCAGCAGTTTTGCTCTCTTTGGGGCGGGGATGAGTCGATCTAAGTTAGTTGAAGTACGTTCAACGAGATCCGGGAGTTTTGAGAGGCGTTGGGTGAGCGGTGTATCGTACGGTATTACAACTCCGCAGTGCAAGCCCTAGGTAATGTTCACACAACGGGCCTGACATATTTTTTTTATTTTAAATCATAGTTTCATTGCTTTCTAGGTACATGAATATCGCATGCAGCTAACGCTATGGCGTACGGGTCTGACATTATGACTCATTTTCCTCACAACTAAGCCAAATGGGAAATTCGCATACGAGGCTCATAATGTAGTGCCTACTTCAATTATTTGAGAAGAATGTATGCTAATATAGGAAACCTAATCTTAATATCTTATTACTTTAGTTTTTGTCTGGAGGTAATAGAAATAAATGGAAAAAGCAAGATTAAAGACGTGTCTACTATCGAGAAATTATAGCTTTTGAATCCCCCAAAACTACACATCAGAATTATCGACGTGTTAAAATGATAGGAACTTCAGGATTTTCTCCAGTTGTTAGGGTTCGTGCCCCACGCCCTGTTGGATTAAGGCAAGTTCTTATCATCCTATCAGTGCTTTGGCGAGCAAATTGGCTACGAAACTCTTCCAGCACACTCACTTGTGTCTCAAGGATAATAATCGAGTCACGTATTACACTACCCGGCGGATGGTTGTCCGAATCCTGGGGGTAGCGATCTTGGAATGATTTTCCGGCCCCCTCCGTCCATAACCTATCTATATTTCTCTCAATCCTTCGAAGTGCCCTTGGTAATGTCCTCGAATACCATGGGTAGTATAAATTCCAGTAGAGATTCTGTTCGTTTCTCTCGTCACTTGTCCTGCCAGGGTGGTAGAGAAGGTCGCTGTGCATCTGTACCAATTCTCGGATATCCGCAAGGATGCGCTCTACTTGAGTAAATACTTCTCTGCAGCATGAAATTCTTTGAAACGCTCTTTCCCACTTATCGGCATTCCATTCGTTGAGGTAATCGGTGGGACCTTTAAGGTCTCCGTTTGAGTGAAAAACCAACATTGTGCAAGTTGAGAAATAGTGAGTAATAATGGTAAATGTATATGGTTCAACAGCTTCAGATGTTGAAAAACGATAAAGTTGAAAATAGCGGTGTTGGTTTAGTATAAGAAATATTATTCTCTTATGTATTTTATAAACGCTGATCCTGGCATTTTCTTTCTATACAAATCATTTCCAACCCCAAACAAGATTTTTGGTCTTCAAAATACATTCTATATCTGGATTCGGACACATTAGGCCGCACCCCCAACCATTAATTTCAACTATCCAAACTACAAACTTGACAGCTGCAGGAGGCGAATTTGAGGGTTCCTTTTAGTGGGTATAATTAATTTGATTAACTGTACGACGAAGTAACCTTCGGAATTCAAGCTGTTCATCACGATGCCTGTGAAATTCACGGCAGCGAAACCAAAAACTCATACCCATGATGCTATAGCTAACCACGCGGATGGTGTCAAAATTGAGTAACGTACTTGACGGTGAAACCGCCCATGACAGGGATTCCGCTCATGCTTATGTAATCGATTTTTATGCATTCAATTCAATCATTTCCCCGACCTCAATACCCTCCCGCTGCCAACAAGTGTAGTAACTACATTAGAAGAACTTGTAGTAAAGTCCTGATCATCTATGGAACACTTTCCCTGCTTGTGACAAGGGGTTGACACAAATTCACGTTCCCCGCTACTTGACCATTCCTCCTTCTCACTGGCCCGTAACCCACCCACTCCACCCTCATGTACTTCTAGATCAGAATCTAAACTAATGATAACTTTTTTTGATATCCGAACATTCTTTTTTTCCTTTGGTGGGGTGCTGGGGGCAGTTCCTTCATCTAAATTCGCTTTTTTAGCCCTCCCTCTAGGGTTTCTTTTCTTTTCTTTTTTAATTTTATCAACGGTTTCCCTCTCTTCTTTCATTCTCAATACATCCTCAGTAGTGATGACTTTTTCCTTAGTGATTCTCCGCTTATCATTTGTCTTTGCTTTGGGCTTATTCTCAACTCTTTGCTTGTATTGTCGGTGCATTTCCTCCCCAATTTCCTTGTCAGTGATGGCACCTTGGAGACCTTTATTAAGCTGTGTGATAATAGCTTTTAGCCGGCGAGCACTGTCTGTATTACCCTTTAGTAGTCCCGCTGCTTGTCTAGCAAGGCTAATTGCACTTCTTGAAGTCCTGGGAGTTGCGGATACTGTCATGGGCGGGCGGAACTTTGAAAGCTCGGCGTTCTTGGCGTCCAGGGTCTTTTCCCTATCAATGACTTTGCGGGGATTGAAAGGAATGATGCCAGTCTTTCTCCATGCACTGAGGATATTGTCCTTTGTAAATGCGAGATTTCTGGCTGGAAATAAAAGCCTATATTCAATTAATATACCAATTTCCAGATAGTTAGTTGTTAGAAAACAGTTTTAATGGTACGTACTGGAGGAAGATTCCTTTATTGATTCCTGTTTCTCCCGCCTCAACTAAAAGATTCAACCCGTTACTATAATGGGTTTGTAGGGGACTGAATATGCCGACATCAAGAGGTTGTAATATATGCGTGGAGTGGGCAGGAAGACAGAGGGGTATAATCCGATGGCTCAAGCAAAAATCGAAAAATTCCCAAGTTAAGTGGCTAGTATGCCCATCTAGGATTAGGAGACGATAATCACCATTGGCTCTGTTTATAATTAGTTGCTGGATATGAGATTGGGATTTGAAGTACGATTGATTGCTTACTGTTTAGCCGAGTTGGGTTCAAAGTCCTTGACTAGCAATTCGAAACCAAGCTTTTGGTCACTCCAACCTTTCGGGGAGTAGCCAAATACTGCTTTGTCACTATCTTTCAATGCTGCATACCAGCCCATATAGTGACCATCACCTTTGTTTATTATCATTGGTGGTAAGGTGCGACCGTCACCACTGATAGCCTCAATGACGGTCACCCAAACTCGGCTACCGTCATGCGTCAATCGCGGATTTCTCCTCCCCTTTTTACAGATCACCTTGCAGCGTTTAGCCACAGCCATCATGAAACCTTTTTCGTCCATATTGTAAGTATTTTGAGGCTGAATATTAAACTTCTTGGTCACCTCATTTAACTGTTTCCATATTGATTAGAAAGAGTTTTAAACGGGGAAATTGGACTTTTACCTTGCGAAAATAATCTTTTAACGCTTCCAGATTTGATGCATAGGCTCTCTGGCGATCTAAGCGATTGCTGAGCTTAGTCGCTACATCAGGGTTGCGATCGAGGAATCTAGTAAGCCAATGTTTTCCTAGATTTCGATGACTGGTGCGGTTTTTGACCAATACAGCCGCCATTTCCTTTACTATTGCTATGCGAGGTGGGAAGCCCCACTCATCCATCTTCAAAATCCATCGGGCCATTGATTTCTCCTCTTGCTCAGTTAAAAGCTGTTGATGCCGATGACTTTCCTTTCTACTTTGGGCCCCTCCAAGTCTATCACGTAGAGTTGAGTAGGCAATTGAGTACTTCTCTGCTGTTGCACTTATTGATGGTTCTGTACTCTTTCTGTAGTGATGAATTGCCAAAATCATCCGCTCCTCCCGCTCATCCTTCTCTCTCTGTGATAGTCGACCCATTATGCGTTGTTGTTTGGTTCTGTGATGCCTCGTACTCTTTCTACAGTGATGGGAGCTCGTTTGCTACCTCTGGCTCGGCGCCGAGCGGAATCCCTGTCATGGGCGGTTTCACGGTAAAGTACGTTACTTATGATTCCCATAATATATCTTACATCATACCGTACCACTTAAGTCCAAAATTGACACTACCGATTGCGATTTTGGAGTCTTACAATTTCTAAATTTTTGAAATTGACTACTGTCCGGCCGGGAAATAACTACTTCCTATTTTAGCTCTACAACAAACTCAATTAACTAAAGGTATATATTCTGATTAACTCCCAACAAAACACAAATTATATACTAATTAAGATGAAATTTGATATTGTAATTCGTTAAGAATAGTGTGGCCGACAAGACAAGTTGACTCGAGTCCTCGACTCGAGCCCAAAGCTCGAGCAGCCACGAGCAGCCACCCTCCCCAGTCGAGTTGGCTCGAGCTCCCTCCACTACTCGACTTGAAAAGCTCGAGATTTTGAGGTGTTATTTTAACCATACTAGAAATTCGGATAATATCCTTCGTAATTGATTTTACAAAATGTGTCAGTGGGAAACCCTAACCCTGGAAATACCCGTTCCAATGAAGAGATCGATATTACCTAGAATGACCTAAGGACAAACATCTGAGACCACTGAAAAGCTCGAGTGGCTCGAGCTACGCCCGAGCACCTACAAGTCGAATCGAGACGAGCAGCTGTTATCACGAGCCGATTCGACCTTTTCCTCTTGCTCGTCTCGAGCCGGCTCGTCGACCACACTAGTTGCGTTGATTAAGACAAGGTTTTCAGTGTCATAACATTCATCTCCCTAGTGCTGTCTACCTAATTCTAGGTATGTACATATTTGCTAGCGTGCTACCAAACCCAGCGCCAACCTAAATATCTGCCTATATCCGCTCCTGACTGCCTACCTGGCTACCTGCCACCTACCTATCTACCTACCTCTCAACATCTACCTCCTACCTACCTACCTCTCAACAACACCTATCTCCTACAAGCATCGATGCCTCTATATGTATTTATCTACCCCTGTATTTTGAATTCCATACTCGCACCGCTAGGACTCTTAATTTACACCACATCAGTATCAAATTGATGCCCGAATCAGAACCAAGTTGACGCCTGACGGTGCAACAAATCAATATCAAATCAATGGCTGAATTGTCACTAAATTGACAGGTAATTGGTATCAAATCAATACCCGAATTAATGCCCCAGTCGAAGCCAAATAGGCAAGCGAATATTCTTCTTATATAACAGAAATAATCAAAAGACATATCAGGAAGTTATTACAATTTGAATGATATTATCATAGATTTCTAGTTACAGTCGGAGTACTACCAGCCCACATAAATATTTTTGCACCTCTTGCGGTTGGATTCAAATTGCGTCGGATCATTGAATCATTACACTGTTTACAAAAATCTTTCTGAAATAATTTCAGAACACCGTATTGATTACTGAAAATGCAGTAAACCATGTACTCATAACTGGTTCTACTAAAACCGTCAACTCTATCATTCGGATAATCATCAAAATATATTTTACCTGGGCCACGCTTGATGAACGTCTCTAGTTCAGTGCGTAACTCACGTAATAGAGTTGGTTTCTCTCGAATATACCAATGGTAATAATCTTCCCAATATTCATTATACTCTTGTGGGTCACTGCTTGTTCTGTAAGGGTTCCAAAGAAGATCACTATATTTTTGAACTAACAGCCGCAACTTGTCTAGAAGTTGCTGTAGCATACGTTTCGCTGCCCGGGCAGATGGGGCACGTCTGTAAACTTCTTCCCATTGTTCTTCGCTGAAATAATTTAAGTGGTCAGTGGGACCTTGTAGGTCCCAATTTTCGTAAAAATGAAGCATGTTTCAGAATGGAAAAATAAAACTTTTATGGATTGAGTCAAATGAATATAATTACCTCTGTTTTGTAGGGAGGTAGAGAACGGAGGTAGATAAGCAGGTAGGCCGCGGCTGGTAGACACGGAGTTTGATAACACACTACCAAATATATACATAGAATTCGTTACACAGATAGAATTTGATAGACGAATGTTATGACAATTGCACAGAAACTTTTTCCTATTTATAAACATTATTAGAATTTGGATTTTATAATGGATTTGTAGTTACTGTAGGAGTACGTTCATTCAACATAAGTATCCTTGCGCCCCTTGCAGTGGGATTTAAATTTCGCCTAATCATATTATCATTATACCGATCCCCCAAGTCTTTTTTGAATGTTTGCAAAACATTATATTGATTCTTTATAATGTAATAAGCCATATACTTATAACTTCTCTTCCTCAAACGGTTTATTTCGCCATCACTATAGCCATCAAAAAACACCTTACCTGACCCTCGTTCAATGAATGTTTCTAGTCCAGAATGTAGCTCACGTAGTATAGTTTGTCTCTCTTGAACATACCAATGAGAATATTCAGTCCAGTATGCATTATACTCCCTTGGAATGTTGCTTGTTCTGTATGGATTGTATAGAAGATCGCTGTATTTTTGTACCAATAGTCGTAGCTTATCGAGAAGTCGTTCTAGTACAGCTTTAGCGAGACAAACTGATGGAACTTGTTGGTACACTTCTTCCCATTGTTCATCGTTATAATAGTTTAAGTGATCTGTAGGACCCCGAAGATCCCCATTTTCATAAAAGTGAAGCATTTTTAATGGCAATGGACAAACAAGTATTGATGTTTGTCGATAGATACGGTTCTGTCTTTTCGAAGAAAACATTCGCATACCCATATTTAATGTACCTGGATTATTATTTCTCAATTCTATAGTCCTATACCTATTCAATTTATATATTTTCTGTGAATTCGAGTCATACTATCACTTCACAATCAAATTCCATCGATACTTTGAATATTAATTCTAACTGAATATATTATAACGGTCCCCATACATATACATTCGAAACTGCTGAAAACATACCAATAGGTTACTAATTTCAGTACCGCACCATTCAGGACCACACCCCTGATTCCTCAGCTATTTGCAGTTCATAGTATCAAATCCTATCCCTATCGGTTCGGGGAATCCTTGGAGGCCCTTATGTTCAATAATTTGATGCAGTAGATAGAATAGGACCGGATTCATACGACTTGTGTATCTCATAAAAAAAAGTGCAAGTTCGGCTCAACAGATGTATATACCCCATGGCCTGGTAGAGATTTAAAATTCCGGGACTTCCTATTTCAGCGAGTGGCAAAGTCACTGCTCCACGCACTATTAACACTACTCCACACGCTACCAGTGTGGAGCAGTGACTTTGCCACTGGGAGGGCCTGCTGAAACAGGAAGTTCCGGAATTTTAAATTTCTACCAGGCTATGGGATAGCTCCTCTGATATCGCAGAATCAACGGATGAATCATGAAATGTCACTCGGCTAATGAGGAGACCGTTTGATCATTACACTGGGGCGAGGTAGCAAGCCTAACATCTCGCCATTCTTCTATTTGATATCAGGTGACTTTGAATACCTTCTGGGTTTAAACCGGCCTCGGGTGCTTGGCTAATTGAATGAGGGCCTCACCCCGCCTTGCGAGGCTACACTACTCGTTTACTATAGCAGGTGAAGAGAGGTCTGATGCAGGGCGCTGTGATGAAGGTATCGCGTATAAAACTAATGTAGAGGCTGAGGAAGGATCAGAACTATAACCCGATTCATCGTATCATATACACAGCTAGGACAGTGGATCGTGTAAAGTATTGTGGGGTGACAAAAGTTCTCGTGATTTTCGCATAGCAACCAGCAGGGGAGTTTCCAAAGGGCCAGTCCACAAAGTCGGTAATTGGAATTATACCTCAGAGGTATGTTCCTATCAATCTTAAGCTCTCGAGTCGCGTAGCTGTCTCCTGAATATCTTTTGTAGTCGTGGAGTTATAGTCGTTTCATGATACATCCACGTAAAAAATCACGAGAACTTTTGTCACCCCACAATACCAACCCCGAAAACTCTGAGTTCCCACTGTTAGGATCCGAGTTGAGGATTGAACGGAGATAACTTCAAGCTCCAGCCAGGTTAAGTTTATGTACGAAATGAATCGTGGTACTTTGCCCAATATGCCAGATAACCTGTTGAAAGTCATAAATATTGCACAAAATAGAACCCTCACGATAACCTCCGGAGTGCTAACCTCCCTGCTCAATACCATTAACACTGTTCTAGTCTTTGCGTTGAGTGATTCGTTCTCTAAGCCAGTCCTGGCATTTGAGATCGATTGGGTCGATCCAATAACTCTTCATACTGGCTCTTACAGACAAACCTATCACAACTCCACACGACCAGACACCCCCGGAACCCCCAGCACCAGCGCATGACAATTGCTAATCCCCACAGCACCTCTCACTCCGTCCTCTTCCCGCAGTCACCTCCAGCAGATATTTGCGACGGCGGAAATAAACTAATGATAAAGTTCGCTGAGTTTGGCCTATCGGTTGGAGGATCACAAACTATCACTCGACTCTGTCCAGTCTCGTTGCACTACAGCTGCAGGGGGCGAAACAGCGAGACATAAGATCCTAGTAGTGCACACCGCTGTTACAGCTTTCGAACCCGCTTGTTACCTAGCTAGATCGATAGGATGTTTGGGGTGGTCTTGATGTTCTGTCTAATTGAATGTGCGAGCTCCTTACAGAGAAATCCATCATAACTCAATTGGTCCATTCTATCAGACATCACTCGTTACGGCACTTTCTAGGCTTGGGCGGGCTGGTGTATCTAGGTAAACATTGTAGCTTGCTGAAAATTCGTAGCCGACTCGCTCCTCCTCCGGCCCTGAGTCCCACAGACTTAACTCACTGCCAGCGAAACCTGGCCACTGCGTAAAGAACATTATGACAGGCTTTGCAGCACTTTAATACTATCTCTATCCTGTGTTGGCGTCCCAAAAGGAGCATGTCAAAAACGAATTCAACCGCCCCCCCGGCCGAGGAAAAATCACAGGATATCACTCGGCTTCTAACCTGCCCGCTGCAACGCAACCGCCGAGTGAGATAGCGTGTTACAAGCCCCAGAAAGGTGTTCTCGGTCCGGTAATACTATAGCTGACTATGAGTATTGAATGACCAGCGTTACTACCTACCTACGCTTGACGTGGGGTTTGGCACCATTGAATGTGTGCACGACCTCTTCCTCGCGGGTAAGACTACCCCGAAACGGTGCTAGCAGGTCATTGGTTATCACTCGGTCTGGGAGATACATAAATGTACTTAGGGCGAGGTCGGACTGTAAAGCGGGATAAGATGTAGTAAGCCACAACGCTCTGGGGATACCGCTGGTTCACCTCCTGTGTTTCTGGATTGAAGGCCGGATTCGCGGTATGGTCGTAGGGTTTGGTGTTATTTAAAAACAAGTGGAGAACGTATATCAGATTCACCTGCTGGTGCAAAAGGTCAGCGCACCGTGCATCACTCGGTTACGTACTGTCCTGCATGTCTGATCATGAGCGGGCGAAAACGTAAGCTACAGACAGGCTGGTCCGGCTCTGGGAGTATCAAGAATGGGATAGAACTGATACCGCATCAGTACTATATATATATATGGCATTATGAGAACATGTTGTGTCATCTCCGTGTTTTAGCGAAGGACAGCCACTCTACAAAAGTGTTCGTGATTCCAATTTCGGAGTGAGACATTTCTCCATATGTAACCGCAGCGGACCATCAAGAACCCCCCAAGAGAAGACTTTCCCAGTGACCAATGGCGCCCAAATTAATGAAGAATAAGATCAATGACCTATCTTCTTTTTATATATAGTCACAAACTATATTATATATTTTTCGTTGTTTTGAATCTCAACTTTAATAACATCAGTATAACGGGTGCGCCACTCTGCGCACTGACATTAAAACTATATCACGAACACTTTTGCTGAGTGGCTGTATATATACGGTAGTGTTATGATTACCGCAGTGGCACGGTAGACTGCGGTAGCCATTATATCCATGTTTCTGTCGCCCTACTTCAGCGCGAGGCCGGATTTATAAAGTCCAATAGTATTAGGCTAGGCGCGCCATAACTAGTGATGGGCACGAGCCGAGCCTAGCAAAACATTAGTAATAATTCAAATCCCAGAGCTTAGCAGTTTATATGAGAATATATCCCCCATTATTCATCCTGAATACAAACTCTATATGCCGACTTACTGTAAGGTCTATTTTCAGGTATAAACATGAGAGCTCGAGGCTGAGCTCGAGCCTTTGTCTTCGCAATCCGAGCCGGCTCGAACCCTACCCCCGGGCTCGTGCCCATCACTAGCCATAACCTTTCAGAGATACATGCTACTAGCTCACGTACTCTCCTCCCATACAGCACTCATTCCAAAGACCGGTCTCAAGGAAGAGGAAGAGATAAACGAGTGATATTTCATGAAGGAGACGCGCATCACTCGGTTTGCTGGCGCGCGCACATGCCACACGAGCGGGCTTTTTTTTCTTTTTTTTATCTATTAAGTGCATGCAGCCTTACGGCTATGGCAATTACTTGCTTGGGCGGGCCAAAAACGTAAACCACAAGCTGTCCGTCTTCGGGAGGGGCATTATATACTCTTTCGATATATCGAGTGATATATCGTGACTACATTTGTGCCAACATTGGCTAAGAAGAGAATCATGTACTATCACTCGATCTTCGGGCGATTAAGAAACGGGAGAAAGATGCCAATGTATTTAGCAAGCTATAACGCCTCGCACTGGAGAAAACTGGGTTGCCGCCGTTTGGGGTGTTGGATGCGTGTGTTTGTGACTTGTTCGGATCTGGGGGCTTGGGGCTGGGGGATGGAGGCATTGAATGGTGTATGGTGAGGAAGTATACTGCCAATTGAACGTGGACTTAGCTGGAGCTTGTGGCGGGAGGAGACCAGGTACTCTGGCCAGAAGTGGCTCGAGAGCTTCCTTGTTTTCAGGGAAAAACTACGCCCCCGTCCAGTCGAGCAAGAACTGGATTTTTGAGTTGGTAAGGGGCGTGCTTGGCGATGCTCTATTTAAGAGTCTGGGGTCCTGGCAAGTGTGTTTAGTATCCAGGGACCATTTAACACCCCTTTCTCCATCTTCTCCTGCCAGTCGCCTCCTCCTCCCATCACACACCATCACTCGCCTGACGTCACACGTCCTTCACGTTGACATCACAACACGTGACCTAATATTCAGGGTCCATTATTCCCGCCCCTTTTTCCCCCACACACGATCCCAACACCACAAATGTCCCGCCCGCGCTGGACCCTCCACGCCGAAGCGCTCTTCTGGCGCACGCTCATGGACGCCGGCATGACGCTGCACCGCCTCGCGCCCCCCGCGCCCCCGCAGCCCACCTTCACGCTCACCATCCCATCCACGCTCTCGCCCACGCGCGGCGACATCCCACTCGTCTTCTACACACCCCCCTCCTACGCCACCCGCAACCCCGCACAAAAGTACCCACTACTCATCAACTTCCACGGCGGCGGCTTCACGCTCGGCCGCGCGACGGACGACTGTCGGTGGGCTGCGGCCGTGGTGGAGCAGGTTGGTGCCGTGGTGGCAAGCGTGGACTATCGCCTGGCGCCGGAACACCCGTTTCCGACGGCGGTGGAGGACGGCGCGGACGCGATCCTGTATCTCCTGGCGCACGCGGGCGAGTTGGGCGTAGATGCAGATCGAGTCGGCGTCAGCGGCTTCAGCGCGGGGGGAAACATGGCGTTCACGACGATCCTGCGGTATGAGGCTGCGCTGCGCGCGGGGCGGGAGCGCGTTGGGGGGCTGTGTGTGGCGGTGTCGTGGTATCCGAGCACGGACTTTACGTCTTCGCGCGAGCTGCGGCGCGGGACGAATACGCGGCCCGACAAGGAGCTGCCGAGGCTGTTTACGGAGCTGTTTGATGCGAGCTATCTGTATCCGCCGGGCGGGGTGGCGATGGATGATCCGTATTTGAGCCCCGGGGCGGCGGAGGAGGGGGTGTTGGCGGTGCTGCCGGCGGAGGTGCTGCTGTGGACGTGTGAGTGGGATGAGCTGGCGGCGGAGGGGGAGCGGTTTAGAGCGCGGCTGGGGGAGGTGGGGAAGAGGGTGGGGGGGAGGGTTGTGAAGGGGACAGCACACGCGTGGGATAAGAGCCCGAATCCGGTGTGCGGGGATAGCGTGAGGGAGGAGGTGTATAAGGAGGCGTGTGGGGAGCTGAGGAGGGTGTTTGGGGAGTAGAGTTAGATATCATATATATGCTCTTTTCTGTACCTAATTAGAAGCGGTGGTAGAAATACAGACAGATGCTCCGTAGACGCCACTGCTGTGGCGGTAAACAGGCAAACCACCCTGTGCCCGCGTGACAGGTGCAGAAAGCAGGTACGAAATCCTGTTTTGGCTAGCCTTATCTGCTGCTATCTGATCAATCAATAGACCATCCCAATCCGGACCAATAGTAGCCCGCCAAGGACGTACCAAGTCAACAACCCAGGTCAAGTCAACAACCCAGGTCAAGTCAACAACCCAGGTCAAGTCAACAACCCAAGTCAAGTAGCAACAACCCTTGGACCCTTCCCAATCTGTACTGCTGATAATTAATAATTTGTAGTATTTATACCCCCCCCCCCCCCCATAACCCCCTGTTGGATACAGACTGACTGACAGCGAATGACGTAATGCTGTACCCGACCGTCAATGATCGGCGTCACGTCAAAGTTTCATCACTGGCCCAGAGGATGATTTAACATCGACATTTCCCTCCACCTTTCGAGAGAGAGAGATCTCACCTTCCACGCCCATTTGCACCTCCCCTCCCGCCAACCAGCACACCAAACACCCAATATGTGCCTCGACACATGCCACAGACACAAAACCAAACCCAAACCCAAAACGCCCTCCCCCGCCCCCTCCACCACCTCCCGCCCCCTCAACATCCTCCTCACCAACGGCCGCTTCCCCGCCACCATCGACCTCGCCCGCCAGCTGCACCTGGCCCACCACACCATCACCGTCGTGGACCCCATGCACTACCACGTCTGCCGCTTCTCCCGCTCCGTCCACAAGTCCATCCACGTCCCCGCCCCACACGTCGACCCATCCGGCTACATCGCCGCCGTCTCCTCCGCCGTCTCCTCCGAGAACATCGACCTCATCATCCCCATGCACGAAGAAATCTTCTACCTCGCCGCCTGCAACGACCAAGCCATCCTGCAGCGCCTCTTCGCGCCCCCCCTCGAGCCCCTCATTGCCCTGCACAACAAGTGGGAGTTCACCCGCCTCCTGACCCGCGCGGGGCTCGCCGCGCCAAAGACGTGGCTGTGCCGCTCCCGCGCGGACGTGGAGAAGCTGGACCGCACCATGGCGCTCGCGCTGAAGCCGGTGTTTGGGCGTGCGTGCGCGGGCGTGTATAAGCTCACGCCGGGGAAGCCGATACCGGCGGGTCTGGACGTAAGGGAGGACAACCACTACGTTGCGCAGGAGTGGCTTGTGGGACGGCGGCTGTGCAGCTATGCGGTTGTGCGTGCGGGGCGGGTGAGGGCGTTTGCGGTGTACCCTGTCGAGGACACGATTGATGGCAGCAGCGCGGTGAGCTTTGTTAGTGTTGAGCATCGGGGGGTGAGGGAGTATGTGGAGGGGCTTGTGAGGGTGTTGGGGGAGGTGGATGGACAGGTGGCCCTGGACCTCGTGGATGTGGAGGGGCGCGGGGTCGTGGCGATTGAGTGTAATCCGAGGGCGACGAGTGGGATACACCTGTTTTCGCGGACGAGGGCGCTGGCGGAGGCGCTGGTGGGGGATGGGGATGGGGTGTGGGAGGCGAGGCCGGGGGCGAGGAGGCAGTTGATGCCCGGGATGCTGATGTGGGATCGGAGTGGCGGGTATTTGGCGCATATGAAGAGGTTGATGGGGAGTAAGGATGTGTTGTTTAGTACGAGGGATTTGATGCCGAGTTTGATGCAGCCGTTTCTGTTGACGAGTTATTATAAGATCTGTCAGGAGAGGAAGATGAAGCTGCCGGAGATGTTTCAGTGGGATTTGACGTGGGAGCCGGAGGGGGAGGAGTTGGCGAGGGTGAGGAAGAGGGTGGATGGCTTTGTGGATGGCTTTGTGGAGAGGGGGGCGGCGGTGGATAGTGTTGAGGCGTAGTACATTGTGGTGGGGGGGTTGGAAGGCGTTGGGAAGAGTTGGGTCTGGATGTGGTGTATATGAAGATAGATGGATGCTTGTTTAATGTTGTGTATATTAGTCTAATTGCAATCACATACCCCGTACGTATATTTTTCCATAGTCTCGTTCCCAGACCCATTCAGCAATTTGGTGGTGGTGGTGGTGGTGGTTGAGTACATGTATTTTATACCGGGAGCCACATCAAAAGTAGGGGATGGCTACGAGACTAATTGTCTCCTATTCCATCAACGGGAACTAGCAATACTGAAACATTTAATCCACCCGGCGCCGTAGGGCTGACCCATCGTGTCGCCGGCATTCAATTAGGAACGTCAGGCATTCAATTCTCCAGTTGAAAACCCAGCCATATCTGGCAAGAACCGCGCACCTTAACACCAGAATATGCCTTATACCATCTTGCCCTACTACCATACAGGTATAGGTCTGGACGTGTGCCGTAGAACGGAGGAGGCCCGGACCAAGTGTGCTATGTACGCCCGGCGCAGCCCAAATCGAGATCGGTCGGCCCGGCCCATAGATTTTTGGCTCATACCTGTCATTCCATATGCCATGAGAGATTTGTTAATTATAACCAGTCCTATGGCACATCGATTTGGGCGGCAATGTGATAAGTTATCCTTTTTGGCATGTGTAGTAAATGACAATTGTTGCATGTTTCGGGTGAAAATGATAGCTTATAATTATAGGATGGGCAGATTATCCTGGGGGATTAAATATAGGTAATCGGCATAGGAGGTATAAGCTACTTCAAGCTGTCACGATATCCTGGCAAGCAGGATATTCTGTCGATTGTCACGATTATCACGAACGTTTACGACTTCATCACATAAATGTCTTCTAATTAATAAACCATTAACTACTGCCATCAACACCATCTTCAAACTATTCCCTTTATAGATGGGCTTGTAAAAGTTAGGAAATACAATTGCTTTAAAAATAATATGTACATGAACCTGGCGTGAGCGGGCCTAGCATATGACCGGTATTGATGTATTGATGGTGATGGTTTCGATGGTGGTGATGGTTTCGATGGTGGTGATGGTGGTGATTGTGGTGATGGGTCGGCCGGAGGTCTCATGCGGCTGTCACGCAGGCCGCGTTTACTATCATATTGGTGGGGATAACCTTATCTATAAAACGATAAGATACGGCAGGAGGGCCAAAGTGTAGGTACATAATCATTACATGATTTGCAACTTCTTGCGAAATTATCATTTCCATTCCGCTATGGAGATCGCTTCCCAAGCCTAACCCTAAAAGGGCTGAGGTAAGGCATGAAACAAAACCAATCATCATCACACATATGTCAGGCGCTGAGCCTAAGGCTGAGATTTACTTCTGTTCTCGCAGTCATCACCACATACCTACTTTACATACGTGTACTCACTATGAACGAACCACACGAAACGCCCGGATTCGAACGCAAAACATAGAAAGAACCGGCCGCCAACGCCCAGGGTCGAGATATAAGTCCAACGGCTCCATCTCTATCAGTGAGCTTGTCGCCCCCGATGAATCGCTTAGCTCAAATATCAGAGGTAAAAAGAGAAAACTATCCTTTTCCCGCGAGCGGTTAACTCCATCCTCAACCTCGCTGTGACACGCGAGACTTACGCACACCCGCCAATATAGTATCTTCCATCTCCCTCGCGCTCGACAATCCCCCACACCCGAAAAGGATTAAGCCTCTTTTTACCTTACGTTCGTACCCCTCAAGAATAGAAGGGATGAGGTTCGCTTCTAATATAATACTATCTGTACCCACTCGACGTCTTAGATCTTAGCTCATCTGGGCGTCATTATGAACTTCGAGGTTGCTCATCATATGATGGCCAGGCTCTGGCATCATTCACTATACGTATGCGCCCTCTTCGTACCCTGTTTGTTCATTGCAACAACAAGTAATGCTAAGTTCTTTTGCGACAAGGTTCAGACCCTCTCTCAAAGCCATATGCTTGATAGTCATAGTATCTAGCCGCCAATGTGGATCGTATTGATTTTTTGTTCATTGCCATTTGTAACATCCGCTCTTATCGGGCGTGAGGACACTACCACAGTTCTCGACAGCGTCCTATTTTTTTTTCTACCATTCACTATGCTTACCACTATCATCCCATATATTCTCGAGTTGCGCAAGACCTACAAGTTAGCCGCGGAACAACCAGAACCACCAACCCAGACCCAACGGAATCTGGTCTTACATAGCCCTGCTGCTGCTTGGCTCTTGTTATCTGTGGTGATCGTGATACTTACGAGGGTGTTCTGGCGGTTTGCCGAATCCCTACAAGGGTGCAGCATCCTAAACCCAGATGTTGCAGGACTGGGTGTTCGAGTTAGTCTGTGGGTTCCGGCAATAATAGTAATGTGGATAGCAGTTTCGAGCCACTATCATGCAGAAGAGACGGGCATTAAAGTCATAGCTCCTGCTGTACTCGGGACACAGATAATATATATCTGGAATCTTTGGACGAAGGAATTGAGTTCTGTGGATAAATTGGTTGGCTCTATGATTTTGGATTGTTTGATATTCCTTGCACCCATTACCTTTTCTATGAAAGAATGCCTTGCAGCCCGCCAACTCATACGGGTAGGCTATTTGGTTCAATTCCTTTCAACGGTTGTTCTAGTAAGGACTATGTCTACTTTTCATCGCACTCGCTTACGGCAATCAAACACCTCTGTCGAATCATGTCCTTGCTTTCAGGCATATTGGTGGACTCCTGCGTTGGTCCCTCGACAACTTTTTGGATGTACCTAGCCTGCAAGGCTGTCAGCACAATTCATGGAGCATGGCTCTGCTTCCTCTACATGGACCACTACGATGCGGCCGAAAAGATTTCACGTGAAGACAGTAACACCAATATTAAAAGCATCAAGAAAACTGTATACGATTCCATCCCAGCAACCGCGTTCTCCAAGTACCGAGAATCCATAGTCATCACTCTCTCTTCAATTGTTACTATCGAGGTCACCCTATCAGGCTTCGATCTCCCAGCGGCCAATGATATAAGTAGTTGGGGCCAGACTGGGCAGATTCTTGTTGCGCTTGTGGCATCTTCCTGCTTCACATATGGATTCTACTCCATGTGGAAAAATAAGAACGTTGAGAGACGGCGAAAAGCCATCCATCAATGCAGCGTAGGCTCGCAAAGACCAGATCTGCCCGTCCGCCCGCCGTGCGATGATTGGTTTACCTGGGTTAAAAGCCTCCACTTAATTGTCCGGGACCACCATCCATTCCATTTTTCGCAATTACGAACCACCGATCATTGCCGGATGGAGAGTAGAGGATGGGAGGAGATTATCTATAAATACCTAAGATGGGAAGACGAAACTCCCGATCAGCTTCGTCTTATGCTGCTTGATGGCGCAAAGCTCGGTGACTGGAATAACGTCAAAGATCTGATAGCAGACGGCGTGGATGTCAACGTGGTCGGTAGTGATGGAAAAACCCCTCTACTCATAGCCGTGGAGGGCGGTGGCGCCGGTCACCTGCGTGTCGTCAAGCTCCTGCTACAGCACGGTACTGTGGATGTCAACGTGGTTGATAGTGATAAAAACACTCCTCTACTCATAGCCGTGGAGAAGAATAACCTGTCCCTCGTCGAGCTCTTGTTAGAGCACAAGGCTCGTACTTCCGACCAGAATAGGGGGGGGGGGGGATACGGCACTTCATGTGGCGGCCAAAGAGGATAATTTCAACCTAGAGATAATAATACGCCTTCTAATGGAAACCAGCGACATCAACATTCAGAACAAGAATGGCGAAACTGCACTTCATCTTGCTGCCAAGGGACTTTATAATGATAAAAAGGGTATTGTGGCGGCGGCGTGTATGCTTTTAGCACTGAAGGCTAGCGAAGCAGCGGTTTCTACACCGAATCGCTGGGGGCGAACCGCATTGTATGATATTATCTCGGTGGTTGGGATCGGAAATGAGTGCGAGGATCTAGTAAAGCTTTTGTTGGAGAAAACCACAAACCTTAAAACACGTGACATGCATGATAACACTATCCTGCACCATATTGTTGAATCTATAGTCGAATCGGCGAGGTATATGGGCAATCCGGTGCTCGAAAATACAACCGTCGAGATGTTGAAACTTGTATTGGAGAAGGACAGTGACATTGCAGACATACAGAACAAAGAGGGGATGATTGCTCTGCATCGTGCTGTGAAAGGGACGTTGTACAACGCGCTAAGCGTGCAGGAGGGTCTTGACAAAAATTTTCTTGCTGTCTTCGACCTCTTAATACAGAAGACCACTAAGACTGCTATGTCACTAAAAGATAAGTGGGAAAATACTGCACTACATTATTACCTTTCGAATCCGAATACATGGTCGAAGGGGTGGCTAGGAATAACACGGGCTCTCTTGGAAAAGACCAACGATATGTCAATACAGAACGAAGAGGGGAGGACTGCACTGCATTGTGCTGTGGAAGTGATATCAAGGCTGGGGCAGGTGGTGGGGGGCGAAGATTATGGTAATGGATGGATCGATATTATCCGCGTGTTCGAGATCTTATCCGAGAAAGTCACCCAAGCTGAGATGTCACTAAAAGATAAGTGGGAAAATACTGCACTACATTATTACCTTTTCTGTCTGGGTACATGGTCGAAGGAGTGGCTAGGAATAACACGGGCTCTCTTGGAAAAGACCAACGATATGTCAATACAGAACAAAGAGGGGAGGAGTACTGTGCTGCATTGTGCTATTGACACCTTAGCTTCTGATATAGGGGAGCCCGTCGATGAGACGTTGAATGCGTTTCTCGGGGCGCTCCGGCTTCTGCTGGAGAAAATAAACCCAACCGTGATTTCGATCCAAGATCATCTAGGGAACACCCCACTACACCATGCGATTTTAAAACTCGGAGTTCAGGACATACACAGGTGCCTATGCGTGGTACCCTTGTTGTTGGAGAAGACCATCGAACTTGGAACACAAAACAAGGATGGAAGGACAGCATTATCTTGTGCTATTAATGCTGTGGCAAATATGGAAGGTGATGAAGTCAAGTACTACGGTCTTGAGTTAATCAAGGTTTTGTTAGATACCTGCGACTATTCAGTAAAGGATAACGATAGCCGAGCTCTACTAGATCTCGCGCTGGCGAATCGTAACTGTTCCCCCGGCATGCTAAGGTATTTGTTGGAGAGAACAAGCGATCCTACGCTCGTAGATGTCACCGACTTTTCAGCAAATAATAGCGATGGTCGAACCGTACTTCACCTTGCCATGGCGAATCGTAACTGTTCCCCCGGCGTGCTAAAGCATTTGTTGGAGAGAACAAGCGATCTTACATTCGTGGATGCGTCTGGAAACACCCTCCTCCATCAGTATCTTTCTAAAGATGCAAATTGCGACGAAGAGGTGGTAAAGACTTTGGTATATGTCACCGACTTTTCAGAAAATAATAGCGATGGCCGAACCGTACTTCACCTTGCCATGGTGAATCGAAACTGCCCGGACAATGTGCTAAAGCTTTTGTTGCGGAACTCGAGAAGTAGCGATCTTACGCTCGTGGATGCGTCTGGAAACACTCTCTTACACCTTTATCTTTCTATAGATGCAAATTGCGACGAAGAGGTAGTAAGGACTTTGTTAGAAGCGATTGATGTCTCGACGGAAAATAGCCAAGGCTTAACGTTACTAGATGTTGTGGTCCGTCGTGCGAATCTCGATGATAAGACTCTAAAGGTTCTCCTGAAGAAATTTGAATTAGTCGGTTACTTTAGGATACCAGATGGCAATAAGATTAAGGCTGTGCTGCACGTTACGGCCAGGAAACGAGATTTAAAATTACCTATGCCACCGATGCTTTATAAAGCTGTCGAACTTGGAACCTCGGGAGTCCTGTGCCAATCACCTAAAGAGATTGATAGATACAACCACGATGAAGCACCGGTGCTATCACCAGACGATAGTACTTGCATTAGCAAGTGCCCGCGGGAGCTTAAATTCAATTGTGGTGATCAGAAATGTTTGACAAAGTCAGGAGTATCTTCGTTTAGCACGCAGGTACAAATCCCTACGTTTTCTGACAAGCCCGATCAATCCATCTTTCCTTATATCTCCGCTGAAAGCTTCGAAACGTCGATGAGGGCCCTGCTTGCTGGAACAAGGCTTGAAGACACACCATTCACGGCGGCAAGTCATCTATATCTAGAACTGGATAAAATAATTAACCTACTACACTGTTGTGATTGTTGCCTCGAAGTTCAAGAGGAATGCGGTCAACCATTACTTCATACTTTCCCACTCAGTCCACAGACGAATGCCAAGGTATGAGGCAGCGATGGATGTCATGGAAGAAGGAGGGGGGAAAAAGAGGAAGAGGCACGAAGAGGATCAAAGCCATAGAGAGGATTTCTGGGATGCATGGATGAACCCAAGGAAAATTATACAACCGGGGAAAAAACATATTATCGAGAAGCTGGTCACGGGGCTAAGCTCAAGTAAATGGGCCACCATAGCCAGGAAAGAAATTTGACAGGGCCTGATGGCATCCAAACATGCACCAACACGCACCAGAGGAGGGCGAGAGCAAAGGGAAACAAGACAGCTAACGCCTATTACGATAAGCAGCCAGAGCTCAAGGAGAAGCACCCCGGCACTGGAGGAGCTCAAGAAGGAGAAATTGCCTGACTGGGCAATGGCAATGATCAACACTATTAAAGTGTTACAAAAGAAAGTAGCTAGACTAGAAGGCGAAAAGCTAGCGACAGCACGAGTAAAGGAGCGAAGAGGAATGAGGAGCGAGGAACCTACCAGGGGGGGAAACAAGAGGCCAGATAGCAATAGGAGGAAAGAAGCCGAAAGCGCAAATGAAAACCAGGGAGAACCCAAAAGCACCATCGGCGAAGTTAAAGGATGGGCCCCAAACGGAGGAAATCCCACCCCCAGCGGGGAGAAGAAAACCGAATCAAATATTCCGGCAGGAGGCGAGGAAGATTGGAAGAAAATAGGGGAAGACCGGAGGAAAAGACAGCTGGAACGTATCGCAGAACGAAGGGAGAAAGCGAGAAAGAAAGAGATTATTGTGGAGGTTAAAAAGGGCGATTCAAATCAAACAAACAGCGAACAGCAACCCCCAAAAACGGCGGAGGAGCTCATCCAGAAGCTAGGATTGGATGAAGAACAGGTGGAAAAAATCACGATAATCTCGGACGAAGCTGGAACCCCCAGAACACTGAGAGTGGTCTTCTAGAGTGAGGAAGCAGCGGAAAAGGCACTAAAGGAAAAGAAAGAGGATGTAGAACTGGGGAAGAGGCTCGAAATTAAAAGGAAGGAAGAAGACTGGGCAGGCATTGTCGTATATGGAGTAGATACACAGTGGGAGGACAAACTCGAAGAACTCAAAACCCACATCGAGAAAGAGAACAACATTATCCTCATGAAAAACCCCCATTGGATGACCAAGAACGACACAACGAAAACGGGGAAAAAGGACCTAGTAATTCACCTGGCGACAAGAAAGGCGAGCGAAGGAATAAGAGGCATTAAGCTGGCCGATGGGTATACGTATAGTGCCAAAGACATCAAGGAGCACCATACCAGAGAATATATCACCAGAGGAGCGGCAAAGAAACTCCAGTGTACAACGTGCTGCAAGTTTAGACATTGGTGGGCAATGTGCCGAGCTAAGAGAGCAAGATGCGGAATATGCGGAAAGGAGGGCCATCGGACGGACCAACATAAATGCGATGAAGAAACCTGTATCGCAAAAGAATGGTGTAAAAACCACAGACAATTCTTGAAGTGTGCAAACTGCAAAGGACTCCACGGAGCCCGATCTAAGTGGTGCAGGGAGCATGAAAAGTGGTTCATAATGTCAATAGGAATAGAGGTGGAGAAGAAGGAAGATAAAGAAGGCGAATCTAGCGCCGTGAAGGAGACCGCAAAGAGCGCGAATGCTTAAATCTTTCGTTATCATACAGCATAATTGCAATGCATCCACTAATGTAATGCAGGGGCTGATGGAAAGCGGTGGAAGGGCGGACATAATAGCAATACAAGAGCCATACATAGGAAAAGCGAGAGCAAAAAGGACAGTAGAGGGCGCAGTTGAACTAGGAAATGGGGAAATTACTGTCGGGAATAGCAACCTAGACATAGTATACAGACCCGGAAAAGAGGGAGAAAAAAGCAGAGTGATGTGGATGATGAGAAAAGACAAGGGCATCAGATATGCGGTAAGGGACGACCTGTGGAAAGACTGGGACGCAAGCGTTATCGATATTCTGACAAAAGACAATCAAACGGCACTCCGAGTTATAAATATCTATAACCAAGCACACAGCAGCCGAGAAGGGTGGTGTGTGAGAAGAATACCGGCCAATATATGCGAAGGACAGCAAACGATAATCCTGAGTGACTTTAAGGTGAAAGGAAAACTATGGGACTCAGCATCAGACCCAGTCAGAGAAGACGAAGTTATGGATATGGTAGAAACCACAGCCTTACGCTCCTTAACATACCAGACGTTACGACATGGCAAAGAGGGAACCGAAAGTCAGTACTGGACCTAGCATGGGACAGTAATAGCATCCATCTGTGCACCAAATGGGAGCTAGTACAAGCGGAGGATACCGGGTCAGACCATGCACTCATAAGATTGCGAATCGGAAAAGTGAACCTGGAAGAAACATACAACCCCCTCGAAAGCCAGTACAATTTCAGAAAGGCGGACTGGAAGAAGGCAATAGATGCAGCTAGAGAACAACGAACAAGACTAAGAGAGGAATGGAAAAGAGCTCAAGATAATGAGGACATGGACGATATGGCAAAGATCATAGAAACCATCATACTAGCGGCGATAGAGGAAGGGGTCCCAAAGACAAGAAGATCCTGGAGAAGTAAAAAATGGTTCGACCAAGCTGTTAAGGAAAAAAGGAAAAGAATGGCTAGATCCCGCAGATGGTGTAGGGTGGGAGAAAGAGAAAGTGAAGAGGCGGAAACAAGGAGAGCCGAATGGAGGCTGAAAAGGAATGACTACTTCCGAGAAATAAGAAAGAAGAAGAAAGAATGCTGGTATAAATTCGTTGGCGAGGCAGAAGGCAACGACCTATGGGGAGTATGGAGATTAGTTTGCAAAAAACGATATGCAAAAACGCCCACTATCGAGCATGAGAATACAACGGTGGTTACATTTAAAGAAAAGGAAAAAATCTTCATAAAACAACTCTTCCCCAAAGCGCCAAACGATACAGATAGCGTTAGAACAGCACCCCAATATGACGAACTACCAAAATACACCCTGACAGAGGAAGAAGTGGGGGCAGCGATTTGGAAACAAGGAGCCTATAAGACACCCGGCCCGGATCGCATCTGCTTTATTGCGCTCAAAGAACTCTGGTCGGAAATCTGAGACTTGATAACGGAAGTATATCAACTAGCACTCAACCAAGGCTACCACCCAACTGCGTGGAAAAAAGCAATAGGCGCAATCATCCCAAAACCGGGGAAAACAGACTACTCAAAGGCGAAAGCACATAGACCAATATCATTATTGAACACATTAGGAAAGGGACTGGAAAGACTATGTACAGATAGACTTGCCGAAATCGGAGAACAAGGAGGATTCAGCCCACACCAATGGGGCGGACGAAAAGAAAGATCAGCGGAGGAATGCGTAGGACATACGCTGGATTGGGCGGAAAAGAGAAAAGAAGAAGGCGAAAAGGTTATACTTGTAGCAATGGATATCGCTCAAGCCTTCCCGAACGTCAGCAAAGCAAAGCTGTCAAATATCGTATACGAACAAGGAAACGACTCAAGACTGGCGCGATAGGTACATAGCTTCATGAGCGATAGAAGAGTTAATCTCAGATTCGACGGAGAAGTAGGACAAGAGCATAGAGTGGAAACAGGAATACCGCAAGGAAGCCCCGCATCACCGATTCTCTTCAATCTCTATATCGCCCCCCTTATCAAAGAAGTCAACAAACTGGTCGAACGGGAATTCGAAGGAAAAGCAATTACGCCCACCTTCATCGATGATTTCACAATTGCGGCAGCCGGTAAAAACTGGGGACAAGCAATATCAAGGGCAGAAAGAATAATAGAAGTCGCCTACAAGTGGGCAGAAGACAACCACGTCAGATTCGAGGAGGACAAAATGGAGTGGATCAGGCTGGGAAAGGATTATGAAGAAGTGGAGGAAATCGAAATGCCAGGAGGAGGGGGAAAAAATGAGAAACAAGAACTAAAATGGCTAGGCGTCTGGATAGATAACAAACTGACGTTTAAAACCATGTAAGAGAAAAAACGGCCAGGGCGTTCAGAGCTGCACAGAGTGTGATAAGTTTAGGAAGAGGAACAAAAGGAATGGGGGTGGGAAATGCGAGAAAATTCTATATTGCATGCTCCAGGCAAATTGCGGAATATGGCGGAAAAGTGTGGTGGAAAGAACAAAAAGGACTGGCAGCGAAAATTGACAAAGTCAACATACAAGCAATGAGAAGAATCGGGGGACACTTTAAATCAGCCCCTACAGCTGCGATAGAGGTGGAAAACGATATGATACCCACAGAGCACAGATTCAACCATAAAGAACGAATGCAGGCAATAAAAGGACTAAAGCGTGCACCAAACCACCCCACCTATAAGACAGTCAAGAACGAGATTAGCGAACTCATCGAGGAAGAAGATACATGGCGCGCAGGGAGACGAACGGGGCAAGGGAGAAGACGGGGAATGAAAGGAGCAGTTAAGAATCTGGCAAAGATAGTTGGAAAAGACTGGAAGAAAATTGAAAGCTGGAAAAGCTATTACGAAAAGGAAAGGAAATGGGAAAGGAAGGCTAGGGAAGAGATCGAGATAGATATCAGACCATATGATGAAAAGGGAGCAGAGAAAAAGAGGCAAGAGGAAAGGAGAGAACAGGAAGGAGAGATCGTCATGTATAGCGACGGCAGCAAGACAAAAGGGGGAGTAGCAGCGGGCGTATGCAGGATAGGAAACGATGGGGGAATATTGAGAAAGATCGGCTACAGACTGGGGAAGAAGATGGAGATTATGGATGCGGAGATGGTGGGGATCAAGAAAGCTATCGAAGTCGGACTAAAGGAGGCGGCAAAGGAAAGAAAGAAAACGATCACGATCAGATGCGACAGTCAGGAAGCGATGAGACGAGTAAAATGCAGACAACAGGCATCCGGAGAAATGATGGCCCATAAGATACGCTATTGATATGATGCTGGCAAGACACAAAAAGTCCGAGTAAGATTGGAATGGGTTAAGGGACATAGCAGGATAAAAGGAAATTCGGAAGCAGATAAAGCAGCGAAAGAAGCCATCAACAAAGGGAGAATCGATAACGAATGGTTCGTTTCTTTTGCGTTCCTAGAAAGAGAGTCCCGAGAGGAAGCAATAAGAGAATGGGAGGTGGAGTGGGAGCCAAGAGCGAACAAGGAGAAAGCGGTATTCAAACCGTCGCATCGAAACACCATCAAATTTGACGATACGGACCAGGCGGACAGAGTTATTATCAGCCGGCTCAGGACAGGTCATATAGCCATCAACAGGTACCTAAAAAGAATAGGAAAGATCGAGAGTGCCGAATGTGAATGCAGCAAAGGGGAGCAAAGCGTAACTCATATACTCACCGAATGCGATGCAACGGCCGAAACCCGTAAATCCTTTAAAGAGCACAACACGGTCGTCAAACTCCTTTGGAAGGCAAGTGGTATTGAAGCAGCTATAAAAATCTGGAAACAATTTGCCAAATGGAGACACAAAAGGAACGGACAAGACGAAGATGGAGAAGAGGAGAGAAGGGAACTAGGGTACGGGTGGGGGACGCTGAAAGATGCGGGAAACAAGGAATAGAATGAGAAAAAGAGTTCGGGGCGTGTTTCCTATGTTAGAAATATGTGAGAGGAGGCGGAGGAGAAGGGATAGTTCAGGGGTATTGCCATAACTGTAAAGTTACATGCAATTAATGAATTAAACAAAAAAAAAAAAAAAAAAACAGACGAATGCCAAAATAATTGGCATTTTATTGGATAATTGTACTAGTATGAACATATCGGACGGAAGCGGACGAAACATACCGCAAAACGCTATGTTTTTACGTTCGATAGAAGTGGTAAATCTTTTATTAAAGAGAAGCCTCAATATTAGGGGCGCGGTCTATAATACATACAGTAATAACACCGGCGGCCAGAAAGAAAAATCAGTAGCGATTACACCTGGCCAAAGAGATACTTCACCCATTGCGGGTCGAAAAATACTTCAATCTAAGGGTTTGCAGGGAGGGACAAATCGAAACAGTAAAGAGCCGGCAACGAGTAGGTACAATAGCCCTATTCACCAAAAGTTCTATCTTTAACATCGTATGTCTAGATAAGGAAGTCTGATGTTTGGATCAGCGATGGTATCTGTTGTTCAAAGTACGACAAAAACGGGGTATATTGCTGTTACAGGCTTGGGGATCGTTGAAATTAATGGGGGCCAAAAGTATTACCGTACGGGTATTACGTAAAAAGGGTCGGGTGTGTATTCTATACTATGTATGAACATAGGGATATATTCTGTTTTTTCTTTTCCTACGCGGCTTTGTTATATCTCTTTCGTTTTTTCTCTTCTTTCTCAACGCTTCTATTTCATGCACCTTGGCGGTCGAGTGACATGTTATTATATTACGGGCCTTTCGAGATATATCATGTACACCGCCGGGACTTTTTAAGTTTCTTTTAGACAAAATTATCTAGCATCATCTTCTATAGCTATATATAGATACTACACAAAGACACCCGGTACCCCTAAAGATACTATGGTAGGACCGGTAGCTAACTCTACCAAAGCAGGAAATGCATCAATTGATGCATTTCCCATACGAAAGCGGCTTGCAAATGCATCAGTTGATGCATAAGCTTGTCAAGGCCTCAATAAATGCATCAGGCTACACATTTGCTGACGATTTTACCTACACCTTTACCTACTGTCGACGATTTTACCTATACCTTTCCCTACAACTTTCCTGGGGAACATTGTCAATCAGTAGGGAAAGGTGTAGGTAAGATCATCGACAGTATTTACTTAGTAGGGAAAGGTATAGGTAAAATCGTCGATAGTAGGGAAAGGTGTAGGTAAAATCGTCGACAGTAGGTAAAGGTGTAGTAGGGAAAATCGTCGGACCGCGAATACTACTAGTACTAGTACTGTTCTTGGTATTTCTTGTCTCTACTGATTATTGACTTAGATATTCTTGGATCTCCAGTTCGGCTACATATACCCATTGAGTCAGCTTATACGTATTGCTTGTACTAGTAAGTGCTATATATTGAACAGATATAATGGTACAGGTGGTAAGCTCCAAGTCTAAGCTAGATAATCGGAAGGATTCAGGTTCAATCCCTCCACATTCATTTGTTTTGCATCAGGGCAAGAGTGTTCTTTGGTATGATGCATTTACTAATCTCTTTACCGATGCCTTTACTGATGCCTTTACTGATGTCTTTACTGATTCCTTTACTAATGCATTTCAACCCACTGGCATGATTCAGAAATCCGGCACTGTTTGCATTTCTATTTTCCTGATATAAGTATTTCCCGAACTCTTGGCAAAACGAGACTGTGATGCATTAAGGATGCATTGGTTGATGCATTAGTTGATCCATTATCCACACGTTTTAGGAACAAGGCTTGATAAATTGACTGACGACTTTCACTGATGCATTTATGATGCATTTACTGATGCATTTCGTACCATGGTAGAGTAACACCAGCAAGATATGGAACAAGAACACTAGGACACAGGCCTTGATCCGCCAGCATAGGCGCAATACACCGGTAATACTAAGAGATTTCTATTGTTTGTTTCCACTTTAATTCGCTAGAGCATGTGATATGGAAAATTTTCTCTCAAAATATATTGTTTCCGGATGAATGATACTTGATGCTTGAGCATAACTGTAACATTGATTATTTCTGCTAAAATTCTATTCAGTAATTTTATTATAATAATAGAAGGATATAATACAGTACCCTGAATAGAAATGAATGAGCAAGAGTAAAGTAAACAAAAGGAAATTAACCGGAATTTATTCAAACAGGTAAAAACCGGTTTCATTAATAATCTTGTTTTACAATCTTCAAAATCACGGTTAGCATTCAATTCACACCAAACCGTTTTCTAGGAACAATGTTTGCATTTTATGACAATGGAGATATCAAAGGTCCCACCGATCACCTTAACTTTTGGACTGAAGAGAAATGGAGTCGAGCATACCAACTCGTCCCTGATCTTGAAGAGAATAAGAAAGTATTGGAAAAGCTTCTAGATGATACTAGGGCTATAGTTCAAGGCTATAGTGATCTCCTATTCCACCCTTATCGAACAAGTGAAATTGTTAACGAACAAAATCAATATTGGGATATGTACTGTCACTGGTACAGGTACAATCTTTTAAGATCACTGATGGAAATTCACACCGGTTTGAAACAGTTTTGGGCATCGGAAGTAGCAAAATCACTTCATAGTCATTACAAAAAACTTGCAAGAGAAGATTTATTAGACAAAAACAGTGTCGAATATCAAGCATGGGATATACTGAATTATCAACTAGGTAGTTTGATATCTTATTGTAAAACTCTTAGCGATCCAGCAAATAGGATAAGATTTCGTCGCCATCTTAACCCTACTGGATCTGGAGCGAGGATTTGGTCCACAGATGAAGCGCCAATGGTGGTTCAATATAACGGGGTTTACTAAGGTTGAAGTTTAAAATCATGATATCTGTTGGTAAAGAATTCGAAATAAGTCTATTTTAGTGTTCTCATTAGTCTCAAATTCTAATTAACAATCTTTTTATTAAGTCTCATGGCCAAATTTCACCTCATAAAATAGATTATATAATTATTCAGTTAACAATATTATATGACGAAAGTCTTTTGAAATTAGAAATAAAGATTGGTTCTCATGATCATACGTTATCGCAATTAACATCCGAAACATCGATATTTTAGATTTTCAAGCTATATATTCCCATTATATGAAAGTTGGTTAGAATTTTCTTCAGTAACAAAAATCTAATATGTATGAACAAAACGAAAACCCATGTAACAAATTCTATTCTGAACCGAGAAAGATTTTATCCTACTGTATGTTATCTATATGGGCTGTATTTCGTAGAATGAGATAACCAGGATTGCATTGCATATAACACTCTCAAGTCACTTATTTACCTTTTTTTAGACACCTACAAACAATTCACTGAATCCACCACCGAACAACTCACAATTCCAACAATGTTACAATTTTATGGAAATGGTGATTTGCAAGGCCCGACCGACTATCTCAATGAATGGACCGATGCCCGATGGGAAGAGGCTTACAGGTGTATTCCGCACTGTAAAGAAACAAAAGAGTCGCTAGAAGACTTGCTTGCAAATGTTCGAGTTTTGGTTCAAATGCACAGCGACCTTCTCTATAATCCGTACAGAACCAGCAACAATCCCGGAAGACAGATTTCATATTGGGATATTTACTATCCTTGGTATCGAAATGATCTAACGCAAAGCATTGCTTCACTTAAATATAGTTTAAGGAGATTCTGGACATCCGGCGTTGGTAAACAATTTGCTGAACCGTATAAGGGGAGATTGGAACTTATGATTCCAAGTAGTATTCAGGTCAGAGCTTGGAGAATGATTAATTCTCAATTCGATTCCTTAGAGACATACTGCTCAACGCTTGGCAGAGGTGAGACTCTCCAGATGATTCGAAAGACTTTGAACCCGACTGGATCTGGCGCGCAAGTTCTTTCAGTAACCATGTTACCAAAAATTCCTGTAGTTCTTCGTAATCCAACTTATCGAACACTTTAGTAAAGTCTCTTTTTTTTCGAAGCAGTAGTTGAACTTTCTTTTCCTTGCTCAATTCTTAATTTAAATAACTATTCAAGTATTTATTCGAGGATCTTTTACAGAGAAGGGGGGGGTTTTAATTTTCTAAAGTAAAAAATAATAGCAAACAATAATGAAAATACCAAAACTATACCATAGCAGGGTAAAAAAAATTGTAATCAAGTTCAGAGTCAGCTCGATCAAGTCTGGTTATTTCGATAAAACACTCATCCTTCAAATGACCGTAGGGATGAACTTTGCTTTAACTCGTATTGTGACATTATTATTACCGGAATGAACGGGAGAGGTTAGAAATTAGACCTATAGCGCATATCGTGATAAGCTCCGTTCCAGTGCCGAACTTTCCTTATACAGAACTTTGCTATCCCTAGAACACATATCTTTGCTCGTAGTTCAAATCACTTGTCCCCAGCACTCACAGTGTCCGACCCACCTCAAACATAGAATGGCTTTCCCCGGAAATAGATCTCCGTCACCATTGTTTTCAAAAGATACTTGCACCAACCAAAGAGGGCCTGATATTATGTGGCGTCGCAAGAGTCATCGAGCGCTCCAGTCGGTTCTTATAACGTTGCTGAAGGGGGTATATGTGGCCCGCTCCTACTCCTCGGTGCCGTCAACTGCAGAGGAAGAGCTAATAAAACAGATTATTAGTAGTTTCAACATCAGGCGCGTGAATTTTTTGCATTTATTCCCGCTTTATTTCTTTCTTTTACCCCCCTCCGAGTGAAGGGCCCTACATCGGGGTAGGTGCGGGGTGTTCGTCGAGACGTGGGTATCTACTACCGGTGGATAGTTTTGGTTATAATAGTAGGCAGATGCCTGCCTTCGGCGCCTAAAAGCCCCACTCATAAGCGGTGACACGACCTATGAGTCGTTGTATTACACCACCTGTGGTAATGATAGTAATTACATGTTTTTCGTGCCGAGTGATAGTTTATGATTCGTGCTTGGTATGCAAGCGATCTCGAGTGAGAGATAATACCTGACTTTAGACAAGCTCTTCATAAATGTTATCCGGGGGTTTGCTGCGTTGTTGGACTATGAGGGACATGTGCGGTGTGGATGTTGTTGAGGCTGTGCTTCATAGATTATAACTCGATGAGCATGTCCGGAACCAGGAGACCAGAAAACCCCCAATGTCCAGCACGCAGCCAATAGCTGTAATGCAAAAACGAGAAAGAAAGAGAAAAATGTGCAAGGTAAGAAGTTAGCCTAAGGTCCTTGATTGTAGGGTGGGTCGGTGGTGTTGGAAACGGACTAACAGAATTCTAATTTCCATATATGTATGAGTATTTCCATATGTATGAGTTTAGGCTTAACTCCTTATATTCGGTATCTGGGTTCTCAATGATAAGATCTTAGATCGTACCGTTGTCAGAGTCTAAGTGTGTGACGGATACCCGGCACGAGGTAAGCCTGTTGCGTGGCTGAAAAGCATAACCGTTTCTGTAATGATATGTAAGCGGAGTTAAACCAAGATCAAAGGGTATCCTTTCCATGTCCATCTCCATTCCAAGATTTTACCCCCGTACTAATATGTAGATGGATGTAAAGCGACCAATAATATCTGCTGTCATTGCTCACATGCCCATTTGTGACACGTTTTTTTCTCTGCTTGTTTTCCCAATGGTAAGCTTCAAAACTATCGTTAGCCGAATAAACAATACTGGAGAAAACTTATACTTTTCTCACCTCGCAGATGGTAGTATAAGACAAACTCACGCATGAGATCAGGCTCGCCATCTTGCCACCTCACCATCCCGTTGAAACCCACCACCCCGCATACCCACGACCAGCGACCAGCGCGCCGCTGGCGCCCGCCTGTAGGCTACAGGTAGCCTGAATGTACCGCCTTGGGTACCGAGGGGTGTATTGCTAATCTCGACGTCCTTGGCGGCCTTCCTATTCCGCAACGGATGTCCGGACAACAGATTCCTACATAAGAGAAGAAGTCGGACGGGTGTTGTATCCTTCGTTTGTGGTAGCCACCAGTGAAGCACTTGTATATATGTGATCGAGCGAACTACCTGCCGCAGACCATGGGGCCCGTCCCCGACCTGTGGAGTCTTAGTATTCTGAATTCGGTAATAAGGTATGAGGGTATCTATCCGACTTTATAAACCTCACCTGGGCCAAGAAAGAATGATGACAGAGGAAAGTTATATTTGCAGCCTTCGTTGGGCACCGATGAGGTGTGGTGTGACCCGGAGGTGCTGTTGGTGCTTTTCCGTGTTAACGCACACAGGTGCGGGTTAGCATTGGGGGAAAAGCTGGTGAAATTAAACGGTGTACCGGTACTGTAGTTGAATCGATCCAGGGACAGATACAGCGCATGATTAATGATGTACTACTAGTACATGTAGGCGGTGTTGGGGTGCTCGGGGTGGCGCGATTACATGAAGCGGTGCACTGCCACACTGGGAGGCTCGGGCAGCAGGGAAGGTAACGTGGCCAAATGAGGTAGCAACATCCTCGAGGTGCCTCGTCGCCTACCTGTCCTTTAATCCTGATCAACCTCGAGGTTCACCACGATTGTGGATCTCGAGGGCTGATCTGGGGAGCCAAAAAAAAAATAGTATGTATTTCAACCACAAAGCATATGCTGTCTTTGGACAGTTGGCTTCATCGTTCCATCTCGATCGGCCAGATAATAACATGAGTATACAATACAGTGGCCTCTCGATATAAGGATACGGTCGGGACCGAAAAACTGTATTGAGTACAGTACCTACATATATTCCTATTAGGGGAGTATCACTATATGGCATATCATTGCCTACATTCCGTTCCTATTAGGGGAGTATCACTATATGGCATATCATTGCCTACCCGTTCCTATTAGGAGAGTATCACTATATGGCATATCATTGTGCCGGGGTCGAGTGTATGCCAAGAATTGCCGAGGCAAGGACCGACAGGTACGTACTTAATTTCCTCAAGACACCTTGTTACTCTTTTACGAGGCCAGAACAGGTAGTCTCCTTGCGAGGTTTTCGTGGAACACACTAAAGTTATAAGTGTTGTTTTCAGTACTTCCTTGTTATATAGGACAGATATCATATCTACACCGTTCACAAGAAACATCACCTCTTCCCGTGGTATTTATAACTCCCTATCTTCCGTTCAATCTCCTACCTTTCTTAACATCCTATCTCTCCTCTAAATCTCAATACCAACATTATCTTTCCAGAATATACCGACATCAAATCTTCGATTACTTTCACAATGACCAAATCTGTTCGTAGACAGCAACAAAAAGAGAAAGCTAGACGACACCTTGAGGATTTTACACGCATGGCATCAGCTACATCTTCAACAGACGGATCAGATGTGACGGTATTAACCAAAGAAACGGAGAAAGAAATGGTTGAGATTATTAAGCATACCCATCATGCCGGCTCAGCGAATTGTGTCAAAGTCAAAGTATTCGGCCAAATCGGGGCGCACCGCTTTCCATACCACACAACCTGGTGTCCCAACTGCGATATAAATTCTATCAAGGCTGAATTAACCACGATGCTGAATCATAATTCAAACTTTCTAACCAGATTTGGCAAATTTCATCTTGAGAACCTGATGATGCATAAGCGTTCGATCGATACGTACGATGTGAATCTGAATTCAGATGTCGAAAAAATCAGGGAACTGATTCCAGCAATGATCCAAAGCGGTGGAAATATCCGCTTGAAAACGACTTTTGTTGCTGAAAAGGTGAGTTCGTAACCCAAAGCTGTCCCTCCTATGCTAATTAAGATCACGCAGTGGGCTACCTGGTCTTTCTTGGGAATGGCTAGCGCCTTAGGCACCGCGTTGTGTATTCTCTTAACTGAGATGTCCCCATCAAATCTTTTTCTATTCCTCTTTGGTAAGCATATTTCCGTGCTATTGGGATTTTCAGTAATGCTAAATCAAACTAGGGATCATCATCGCAAGACTGTTTTGATTCGTGCTAGACTATCACTAGTGAACGGGAGAAAATCGAAGGGAGAATCTCAATCTTCAGATTAAGATGTTGTTTTTACAGACCACCGTCGTCCTTATTTGTTACTATCAACTGCATTACTGTAAGTCCTATTCCATTTTCCATATGCGTAAACTTGAATTTTTTCCAATATTTATAAAAACACTAACGCTATTTCTCTAGGCTTTAGGCATCGAAACTACGATATCATGGAATTCACAATGTACAGCAGACTGAGACCTAAGGCTTCCGTTTTAACCCATACATAGAATAGTGGCCTGAAATACCGCGAGAGAGAACCATGGGTGTATTCCTTGCGATACTTGAGTATCCGTTTGTACTTTAGCCCCTGCATACAATTAATGAATTATCAATCAATTTGTACTTTCGCTCCATCCCAGTTTCGTGATTGTTTCTTCTTACTACACGTGCATGTGATCAACACGACCTCTTGGGACACGTTCAAATAACGTCGAATTTGACAGCAGTTTACTCGTCATACATGACTCCAGAAGTGAGAATAATCAGTCCGCCCTCCAGCGAGCGTTGCCCTCTGTTTTTCCCGCTACCCGAAGCATGCAACATTTGCTACGCGCCAAGATTGGGGTAGACGTTTATTAAGGAGCTTCGCTAGTCGGAGGGAGGGCTGGTCTAATTGATCCTGTGGGGCGATTGTTTCGAATTCTTTATTAGTCGGTAGAATCATGAATTAAACAAAAAAAAAAAAAAAAAAAGTCGGTAGAATCATATGATATCACTCGGCGTTGTGAGTACACCACTGTCAGACAATTTGTCTAAAGAAGGCCGAGTAACCTCTACACTCAAGTATCTGTCGTTATTGTCAGTAAGAGAAACTGAAAGCTCGTTCTGCCACAGTGGATTTGATGACTCAAGGAGACAAAGAAAAAGACGTTATTTGTTTCGCCGCTACAGTGATCGTGTTATATTTAATAAACAGCGATCTACCACCTGATAGCAAACACACCCCAAGCATCCA